TCAATAATTAGATAAGAAACTATACACAATCTATAGCCCACTGGATAGCTGAGATTGTAACCTATTTAATGATGTATATCATTGATTATGTATTTCAATAATAATGAAGATCCAATGAGTACGAAACGATAACCAAACCCAACCTTAATACAATACTGACTCCAACTGACAAGAATAAGTGCTTCCGCTCCTACAAAGAATATTCAATATTACCCACTTTATATTTAATAAATTATACAATATCTTGATAATTATATGAACAATATATGATTTTTATTGTCGGAATCATCACTAAATCATACTACCCATCCAGAAATATCAAAGGGTACATTTCAATATCACTCTATTGTATGAAAGTGTATAAAACTCACCCAAACCCCACCAACCCAACACCATCTAATTTACATCATTAATAGATTATAAGAAATATAATCAATGATATGAATCTTCACTAAGTAATCTCTTAAATAACCCAAATAAATCAACTCTGAATCCTAACCAACCCCAACCTATGAGGAATGGACTTGTTTCTGATTGTAAATTACAAAATAAAGTGAAAATATTCCGATATGCTTAATAAGCGACCTCAATTCCGAGTTGTTAAAAATTTTCCATGCTCAAAAAATTATTCGAAATGTCTGGTAATAACAAGAACTCCACAAAGGAAACAACACGCAGTATCATCTCCATCTCATCCTAAACAAAGAGTGGACCCACCACTCCCTCCCAAAAACCGTTGCGCTCATTAATCTTTGGTAAAGGATTAATTTCTGAGTGAGGTTTTCATCAATGTTTCGGAAACATTGTAAAATTTTCTTTATTTCACTAACATTTCTTCTCATATTCACATTTATCGCTGGTCTGACGTTTTTTTCTTATCCTTAGGTCAACTATTGATAAGTTTTTTTTTACAGACAAATTTTAATTATCTCGGGACCTGCTCAATAAAGATTTACATCCTTCAAAGCAGGTTCCAGGCTGTTTCACCATTAAAGGTGGTTCAGCCCCTGAGCTTTAATACCCAATTGTCTAAATATTAGTTGAACTTTATTTTGTGTGTTTACTATCGAAACATAATCTCTTAAATAACCCAAATAAATCAACTCTGAATCCTAACAAAACCTTAACATTGAATATGACGGTCGATGCACAAAGCAAAATTGGTCCATTTGGGCCAATCACAAACGACTCCCTAAGGCTGTGGCCCTAGATATCTACAAATCTCTCGCAGTATATGTTAGTAACTGCTACAAAAATTCATCATGGTACAATCGTCCCACTGACTCCTTCATCAAAAACAAAAAATACACTTCTGCCTACCAAAGGCAACAGCTGTCCCAACCACTTAGCCCGAACCAAACTCGTCCAAACACTGAACAGAACTAGATGGTTGAACAGCTAGTCTCTAAGGTCGTTATGATTTTAGAGACTAATAAAATTACAATTTATTATTTTTCAAGGTAGTTCAACTCCAGCTATTTTGATATGAGTTGATGAAATACCTTCTATCTCAATTAATTTGTCAGATATTGAAGTAATAAATTGTATAGAGACTTTTGGTGGAGAATATATCACTGGGAATCTATCTTCTTCTAATGAATGTTTCTCATCCCTTATTTGTTGAATATAATAGTAAAGTATCACAAATATTAAAAGTAAAATATCCAATAGTGAAAATTACTGGAAAAGATAATTATCTGGTAGAGAATGGATGAATGACATGCTATTCGTGATGTTTCAGTGAGAAGACAATATCCACATCATGAGAAAAACAATAAAAACATGAAAATATCAGATCCATGATTTTCACAATTATACAAGACTCGAAATTATACATTCAATATCATAATAAACATTATGAATTGTTGTTTTATTGTTTGATTGTAATAGGGCTATTAATCAACTCTACATCAAATCGGAACTTAGTAAATTGACAACATGATTATTGGTACAAATTTGGAAGATGATGACACAGTGTTACTCTCCAGTTGTCTATCTAAGTTGGTCTTCACTAATAGCAATATGAGCCTGTCTATTTTCCCAAAATACCACAACTTCAATATCAGAAAATTTTCCATCTCTATTCTCTGAATGAACTGTGAATGGGTGCTTTCCTGGTGGTATAGATCTTGTAGTTCCGTTAAAAACATATAAACCTGTACTAACAATGTTCAAACTCTGACAAACCAGCTGTAAACAAGTATTGTACTTCACCATGTCGCTGTGTATCATCCTCAGTGCGAAAATAACTCTTGATTCTCTATCAATAGAAAGTGTAAACCTTTGTGTTAAGTATTTCCCAGATACCTTATCATCTCTTACCACGTCTTTAGCATCATACTTGAAGATTTGTTTGATTTGAGGATAAGTTGATGATTTATGAATTCTTTGCAGAAGTTCATGATTAAATTGAAGCCCAAAAACATTGCTCTCATTGGATAAATAGTCAATATTCACCAAATGACCAATGGTCATTGTATTGAACCTAAGAACAAGATCTTGAAAGGAAATCCAAAACATGCCATCATTTTTCACTTCCTCACTCTTCATTTTACCAGATTGAGAACGACAAAATAGTTGACCGTGACAACATAATTGCTGTACCAAGCAGGACATTTCAGTGACACGTTCGTTCAAGTCTTTTTTCACTTGTGGAGTCATTTGCTTGGAAGAATCTGACCACTCACCTTTCCATTCAGTTGAACCCCAAGGATTTCTCAATCTCACCAATTGGTTTCCCTTGTATTCTATTGCATCCACAAGTGCATAATAATGAGATCCCACTATTCCCGTTATTGATATATATTCATCTCCACGTTCATTATGAGATGACCCAAATCCAATAACATTTCCATCATTAAATGATTTGATAATACATTGCCAAGTTTCCGGCAATGAAAGGCCTCCATTTCTGGATTTTGAATTCGGTTGCACAATATGTTCATATTGAGGAAGGCATCCAGTAAACAAATACATCCCCAGAGGACCCTCACCTCCTTCAATGTTTGCATAACTTCCTAATAACTTTGCTATCGCCTTTTCAACAATAATAGGCCACAACTCATTCTCATTCTTTGAGTGAACGACCATTAGCTTGCCATTTTTATCTACAGGAACATAGTCATCCACTACAATGCAACGCCATTCATTTCTCCAAAATAATCTAACAACATACTGACCCATAGGGATATTTGCATTTACAAACAAATGGGCAATATAATGTGGAAATCTAGCAACTGTAGCCAATGAGCTCAATAACCAACAATCTCCAAAAGAGCCTTGACATATATCTGACACATCAATACCATCGACAACCAACTGAGGCTTAGCAAATATTTCTGATAATCTTTTAAATTTACCAAAATTGATCTTTTTCTTCTTACTGGAACCAAGAGATTTTTCATTTGGTGGAAATTCTGGATCAGTAAAAGGTTCCTTTAGTTGAGGAAGGGGTACAGGTTTTTGTTGAACCATTGATGTAATGACAGGTTGAGAAATTGGGTGTTTTGGTTGGGGAGGTTTTATGATTGGCTTTGATTCATCAATTGGCTTTGCAGGTTGTGGCTTTACAACTGGTTGCTTTGGTTCAATTATTGGCTTGACAGTTGGTTGAGGCACTGGAACCTTTGGTTCTGATTTTTCAATTGTATTTGGTTGAGGAGGTTTGATATGTGGCTGTGGAGGCTCAACATTTGAAGTTGGTTGTGGAGGTTGAGGCGGAACTATTTGTTGATTAGGGATAATCGGAACAGTTGATTGGTTAGGTACAATAAATTGTTGAGGATAATGTTGAGGAAATTGTTGAGGGTATTGTCCATTGTACTGAAAATTAGGATCCTGATACGAGTTCGGAATCCAATTGCTTGTAGTTGGTACTTGTGCATAGTTAAAATACGGATATTGTGGATACACATAATTCGATACTTGTTGATAGTTTACCGTAGGATCCATTGTTGGTTGTGTTGGATAAGGACCACTATTATAAATTATATTATTCGATGATGGAGCTTGTCCTCCGTACGGAATGAATGCATTGTTGTTGAACATTTTTTTAAGGTTCTCCAAGAAGGTCTCTACTGTTCTAGTTCTTGCCTGGGTTATAAAAAAGTTCATGGGCGCGACATGTTCTGATAGCATCTATTATATAATAATTCTGCGAAGAGGAACTGACAAACTAACAGTTTCATATGAGAAAAACAATAAAAACATGAATATTTAAATTAATAACAATCGCCTTAATTACAAAAAAAATTAACCTGAATCATCGTATGACCATTCTTACACTTCCAGCAAAATTTCCAATCTCTTGTCTTCTCACTTGCTCATTCATCTTGTTTTTAACTTGTGGTTTGAGTGTGTGGAAATTAAAAATTGATTCCGATCCATTCGCTCTCCTCACCTATTCATCATCACCTGCAAAATTAAAAAAAGGTTTGATGAATAGCTTATTCCCCAAATATAAATATATGAGAGCTGCAACTATCATATTAGCAGTGAATGAAGATAATTCGAAGGACATTATTTCAAAAGAGTCAATTTTATATTTTCACGAAATAATTACACGAATTTCTGAAATGAATTCAACAAACAGAGAAGGGAAAATTATAAGGTTTGAGGATATTTGCATGAGGATGTCATCTAGTGGATGCGTGGCTCTTGATGTTATGGCCTTTTGGAACTATAATATTGCCAATTTAATGAAAGATTCGAACATTCATAGAACCTTGTCAATTCCAAAAAAATTGGCAAATGGTGAGTTGTTAAATGCTGAATCAATTTTGGGATCTGTACAGTGGAACCCAATCAAAACAACTATTATAAGTGCAAAATCATTTAAATATTATGCGCTTTTAGTATCAGACCTTGAAGATGACATTATCAGTTGGGAGAAAGAGTTTACAAAAAACATGAAACAGGAAATTCAAGAAATGAAGTCTATGAATATAGAATCGGATTCTACTCCTAGAAATGTTTCATTATTTTTCAATTGTCAATATTCATTAAGTGAAGATATTACAGAAACCTTTGTGAGTGTGGGCCCAATGTTTTTGATTAGTTTTTCAATAACTCTAGGTATGGTTGTTGCTACACTTGTTTTCATGAGAGGAGAAAGGAGCGATTCAATAATTATGAGAATTCTTGTTGGATTTATTAGTATTATCCTAATTTCATTGGATATTTTCTCCTCTTTTGGTATTGCCAATATTTTGTGTAATTGTAATTTGAATCCACTCAGTGCGCAAGCTCTTCCTTTATTTTTAGTGGGAATTGGCTCTGATGGATTGTTTATTTTACAGGCCTATTTCAATAGATATAGAGAATATTTGAAAGAGTTGAAACCAATAGAAGAAAATGTAACTAATTTTGGAAAGTTTGTTAAAAATTCCTCAAAGTATTATAGAGAAGTTTTGTCTGCATTGATTTTTACACTTACCGTTATGTGTTGCATTTTACTTTTTGTGGTATTTGTGATGAAGCATCCTATTTCCATGGCTATTAGGTATGTTGTACGTTTTCATAAGGTACATTATGTTAGTGTTGCATGGCAAACATTATTTTCTGTTGTTTTCCTTTTTTTCACAGCCATATTTGGAATTACGCCTTTACTAGTGTTAGAATATAAGTTTAATACAAGGAATATTCAATTAATATATGCAACAATTCCAGAAACAGACCAAAATATCAATACAAATCAAAGGACCAACGAAGAGGAAGAATTGTCAAATCTGGAGAACGTTCCTCCTCAAAATGAAGAAATTTTGCAACATCTATCTTCACAATTAGAAACAGAACAAGCAATTACAGAACAAAAGGGAGAGATACCACGTAGTAAAGTGGAAAAGATAATGTACTCAATATTTAAAATAGTATTTGAAAAGCCCAAATATTTCTCAAGTCACATTCTCATAATTTTAATTTCCCTTGGTTTATTAATTTGTTCTGTAGTTGTAATTGCAACAATTGATGAAGAACCATTTGCAATGACAGATCTATATGCAAAATCATCTCAGTTGACTTCATTTCTAGACAATTATCATGCACATCATGGAGATTTGGAGTACCCTGGTTATCTAGTTATGTACGTTAGGGAGAATTCAACTGATCAGATAGATTTCTCATCTACATCAATGGCTAATTTACTTGAAAAGATCATTGAATCCCCTCCTCCTTTTATGAAAACTCAAATCAATTGGTTTTCTTACTTCAAGACTTGGACGTTTTTCATTAGCACACATAGAGATGAATACAAAGCTAACAAATTTAAAATCCCACCTCAATTATTTAATGAATGGATGGATGAATTTACACAACACCACACGTTTAGTAATCTTGCAAGTTTTGTCATTTCCAAACCATTGTTGAAGGATGTGAAAGCTGCCAGAATTGTTTTTTCAAATAAGAATGTTTTAAATTCACAAGTTACAAATGAAATCGTACAGGAAAATGCAGCTTTTATGAAACAAATAGCAAGTGATTATCCAGCCATTGGTTTAACGAGCTCAAACTCATTTATTGTCAATGACATGGATTTGATATTTGAATCATTTGGAAGTGATCCATTGAATGTTGGAATTATATCTGCACTTGCAATTCTATCTGTAGCAATTATATCCACACTTGTCACATCTTTATTCGAAATTCCAATGATCAAAAAAGGGAAATTATCACTTTTCATTAGCATTATAATTTGCTCAATACTTACATGCTTTCTAACTTTGATCAATGTACTTGAATTAATTGCTGGATTAAGATTATTGGGAATTCCAATTAATGGTCTATCGATTATGAATTTCACACTCCAAATTGGTTTGTTTTCAGAATATCTGTTTCAAATCACAAGGGCATTCTTACTAACAAAGAGAACAAAAAAGACATACACACTATTGGCCTTTCCTCTGTTAATCTGTTCTCTATCAACTATTGTTAGTATATTTCCATTGGCATTCCATGAGATAAGGATGGTGAAAAAGTACTTTTTTGATATCGTCATACTGGGACAAGGTATTCTGCTTTTTAATGTATTGTCACTCTTTCCAGCAATTTTGTTATTGATTGAGAGATTTATGGGAACTTGTACTTCAAATAGTTAAGAATGACACCATTTCTTCTGTCAATAACAAACCCTATATGTGAAGTTAAATATTTCTTACTTTCTTCATCAGATAAAATTTACTGATATTTTAATGAGTTGCAACAATGGAGTAAGTTCCTTTTTCAATCTTTGACAGGCAATGTTTTAAAAAAAATGTCAGACATTGAACCTGCCAAGAACGAATCCCAAGATGGCATCATCAATATTGACATTTCACCAACACAATCCTCCACTTCATCTTCCACGAAACCAAGTATCATTCCTCTCCTCAACATTTTAAAAAAGAAAAATGAAACTCCAGAACCTAATAATAACGGTGGGAGTTCTTCTACCGGAAATAACGAGTATCATCACATCAATAATAATAATAATAATAATTATTTAAATATTACCAGATCGAATAGTACACTAAGTTCTTCTGGTCTGGTAGATAATTATGAAAATTACTATCAACAAAATGTTATTCAACGATCGGATAAGCATGTATTTGTTGTGGGAAGGAAAGGAAGTGGTAAATCATCATTGAGTAGAGTCTTGTTAATGTTGGATCAATCGGAGGTGTATAATCAACCTCCTTCACCAAAATTACTTGATAGCAGCTCAACTAGTAGCTCCAATATTACACCAAGAAAATCTAGTTGGAAATTTTCATCCTCTACCACTGATGAGTGTGCATTGACTTCGAGTGGAACGGAAACCTATCGATCATTATCTTCATCACCAAGACAACAATCGGAAACTACCAATTCGCAATCAGTCTCTACTTCATCATTGAATGTTGCACAAAGCTCTTCGAAATTATCACAATTCATCAACAATTTCAGATCCTATTCACCAACAACTGGAAAGAAATCACCCTCCTTTGAGAATATTCAAGAATTGGAGAGTGTGGATTCAAAATCAATTATGGCTTTTAGGATTTTACAATATTTTGCGTGGCAATTAGAATTGGAAACTTTACTGATATTGTATCATCCAGATACTATTAACAAGTTTCTTTTTCCTCCACCTTTAAAAAAGATATTGGGATGGGAAGAATTTGTTCAAGATTCAGATAATGAATATCTTGATATTGTGGAAAGAATTGCTAATAGTGAGCCAGAAGATGTTAGATTTGAAGGATTCTACGAATTGGCCAAACAACATCAAATATTTAAACTAACAGTTTGGGATCAGAGACATGAAGCCAATGTCAATTTTGAAGAGATTCCAACACTAGTACAATTGAAACAGTTACTTTCCCATTTAAATATTTCTTCCAATAAGAAATTCTCAGCAAAAAAATCCTATTCATTCAGAAATTCCTCTATGAAACTATTCACAGTTCAAGACTTTCTCAAAGTTGATGGTTTGGAACTTCCTTTCTTGTCTAACTTTTTACAAATACTTTCCTATAGAAATACTATCAAAGAAATGAATATTAATAGAAATTCAGATTATAGACTCTTACTGGCATCTGATAAAATTATAGGAGATGTGATTTCAACCTCTAAAACTGAACATACCTTTATTAAATACAAGGGTAATACTATTAATATTGTGGAATGTGAAAATTTGGATGAAATGATTAATGCAATGAATTTATTTGAATTGAATGGTAACAAGAAGATAGATATGATATTCTTTGTATTTTCACTGTATGAATTTTTTGTAGATCAGTCAAAATATAGATTAGCAATGAATACAATGTCAGATTGGAGAAGATTAAATCAAGATGAACGATTCAAATCATGTCCTATTATTTTAATTGGTAGTAAGGCTGATATGGCACTAAGCTCCTCTCCTGCCATCACAAGAATGCCATCTTTTGGATCTGGAGTAGAGTCATGTCAGGCAGACGATGATTTAAAATCATTCCAGAAGGACATTTCCAAAATATTTCTCACCAATGAAAATTTAGAACCAGTTGGTGCTTCACTAACTCTTCAGATTACCTCAGAGAGTTCCATGATTACCAAAACATCTTCTCATCCTTCCATAATTACTGGAACATCTACACTATTAAGTGCTTCAAATATTTCAAGGAGAAGAAGTGCCTCCTCACCAAAAGAAATGATCTTTGTGCCACCCAAATCTAGGAAGAAGCTCCTCGAAACTGTAACTAATAGATTTCTAGAAGATGAATCTGTATCTCATGGAAGAAAAACTCAACTATTGGAAGACTCTTGCGTTATTTCGTTTAAACATGATGATGATATTTGGGACAAGTTGACAAAAATATTTGGTAAATTCATTACGCCAGTCACAAATATTCGATTTGGATTTTATGGAGTTGGACCAAGTTCAAAAAGTACAATATTCAATCACATGGTGAAAATTATTCAGAGAAGAGAAAGCAACCCAACTGGAGATAAGGTCCTCTCTCCATCTTTAATGTTCAACTATTATGTGAAATCGATAGCATCAGCATGGAAAAAGATTTTAGAGCTGAGAAATGTTCAACTTAAGGCAAAAAATATAGAACCACACAGATCATCAATAATAACCAAGAAAAAGTCGGCAACTCTCACTTTACGAGGAATTGACAGTCCTAGAAATTCAACAAACTCTACATCATTTAAAATTAACAACCAAAATGATGAAAATCGAAATATAGAGGAAGATTTAATGGATCGTGTTTCAGATCTTGATTCAGAATCCAAGAATTTATATACATGGTGTATTCAAGTATTGAAAGCTGATATTCAATCCACGATAAGATTATTGAATGAGGAAATTATCATTACTCTACAAAATCATTGGACTAATAAGGAAATGAAAGAAATTTGGAATGAAAATTATCTCAAATCGGAGAACAGCAGCAAGTTACAGAACTTGTACTATTTGATGGAATATTTGGATCAAGTTCACAAAAACAATTTTGCCTCTATTTATTTGCAATCACCAAGAAAGAACACAATAGTTCCTAAAATAAGTTTTCCTGTATTCTTAAAAACCTACACGACTGTCAACTTGTTAACAGATGTATTTTATTTGGCAGGTCAAAAATGTACAATAACTGTTTCGAGAGGATCCAAAGAAAGATTCATTCAACAATGGAGAATGAGGAACAAATCAAAATATGATGTAGTGTTCTATACTGTAAATATTTCTAATTACGACATGCCACCAGAGTTAACAATATCCTCAAGTGAAAATGGAGAAGATCAAGATGATGTGAAGAGTCTTGCCCAATCCATAATTTACTTCCACGAGCTAATGTCTAATATTTTACTTAACAATCCTAAATGTGTTCCATACTTGATATTTACACATAAGGATATTTTCTTGGAAAAAGTGAAAAGTGGGTCATTCCTAATCAAGCAAGAAAATCTTTCAAAACGATCCAGCATTGATTTGGGAATAACAAGAAGAAGTACCAATCAAGAAGACTTCTCAGAGCTTACCCAAACAAAATTGAACAAGAATGAGATGAGTATTCTTAATCCAAGACTTGGTTTGAAAGAAGGTTCTTCTGAGCATAATTATGCATTAACCATTATTTCTAAATACTTGGATTTTTCGTTTGCCACTCCAAATATTAGATCACTTATTATTTCTAATACTTTCCTACTTGATGCTACCAATGAAGAAGAAAGCAGCTCTTTCATTGAACAAATGTTGGATAAACGAGTTGTAAGTGATTTTGAAATTGATTATGAACTAGGTCTGGGCAATGGTTTAATGATGGGAACTAGAATTGCTTCGGTATTGAAATAAATTTTCAAGTATATTTATATTACAATTATTAATCAGTCTCATCAGCATAGGAAATATAACTAACATCTCTAGCACAAATTAATATATCACATAAAGGTTTGTCTTCTCTAGATGCAATTTCAAATAATTTACGTCCCATTTCCAAATTCATTCCCTTCTCTATTCCTTCATAAAACACAAAATAGCTTGTATTGGCAGCACAATGTACTCTACCACCAACAACGATTGATGGTGAAAATAACTTGGACAACTTCACTACTCCATTAACTCCACCTTCTGTATAGATAAATCTAGGATCTGGTGATTCTTCAAACGAAATAATCATTCCACCTTTCAAATAAATTTGGTCCATTTGCAAATTTTTTACAATATCAAAATTTGGAGAAATGATTTGGAAAGGCGTTCCCTCAGCTCCAGTTTGAGCATTTCCATTTGCAAAACCTCTACCATATTCCACAAACTTATCCTCTGTTGTTTTTACAATTGTAGAATAATTTGATGCAAAGATTTGTTTCGGTACATAGCTCAATCCAGTAATGTATCGAATATCGAGATAACTTCCAACAGTATCATGCATTGATTCGTAATGATTATTAGATCCTCCAACACAAACAGTCGAATCCGACAATAAAGAAACAAATCCAAAACTATTTTTTGATATTAGTCAATATTTTCAAATATATTCAAAAACAAACCTGTGTGTTTGTAAATCTATTATAGGAGCCCTTGTTGTAAAAACAATACTATCCCATGTTGTTGATGTGTTATTTGGACTGTTTTTAAATATTATTTCAATATATGAATATGAATCAAAATAAAATACTTACCGACACCAAATAATTTGACCTGAACATCTAATTTCAACTCCATTAGTGACACAAAAACTCAAGGAATAGGCACATTCAACGTGTGTAATGATTTTAGTACTAGAACGATCAGTACTTGGATCGTATGCCAAAACAGCAGTCATTGGATCATTAATAGCTGCACCAACATTATCATAGTGATTTTGATCACCACCGTACAATAGGAAACAATCTTTCTCAGTGTCATAGACCCAAAATAGCATACCATATGTATCTCCTCTAATTGCAACTACTTTCAATTTAGTACCATCGAATGGGTTCATAAATCCAAGCATTGAAATTCCATCAAATACACAAACTCTTCCTGTTCCCTCTTCCAAAACATAAATCTTTGATGAGACACATAAAATTTGACTGATTCCAATGAAATCGTTTGGAAGTAAAACCTTATCAAATGATTCTGGAGTAATATAACCATCACTACCAATCATAGTGTTTGGAGAATATGAAGTATTTCTCAGTACGAAGAAAAAATTAGATGTTGTTTGAGGATAGTAATGAATCTTCCTATAGGATTCAGTAATTCTGGCCACGTGAGTCAAACGATCAGCAACTATATGGTTACACATTCCTGTTGTTGATGATTTTTTTGATTTTTTACTACTTGTAATAATTGTGTTGTTGTTGTTGTTATCGTTGTTACTAGTACTACTTGTTGGAAGAGTATTGGAGTGAGCTTCCACATCACCAGAGCAATCAGAGGTACTTGGTTGAGAAAAATTGAAAATTCGCTGCAGAAAGTTGCGCATTTTTTTTTAATTTTAGATTAGAAAGTTCAACTGTGCTTGATTTCAAAAAACGAACTCAAAGGAACCACACTTTACAAATAATTTTCACCACACAAGTGAAAATTCGTTATTGTTATATTATACTTGATTACCACAGAATAGTATGGTTCAATTTGATACTAACAAATCTAATAAACTGATTGGCAACCTCTTCTCTAGGGAGAATGAAATCTTCCTTCTGAATAGTAACCCATGCATCGGATTGTTCCTCTCTATTATTGACATCCAAAGGTTTTCGACACATAGGACAAGTTGTATTCTTCTTATTCCAATCAGTAAGACATCTCTCACAAAATTGAGCATTACAACAACCTGTTGTTATTGAAATGGGAGCATCCAAACAAATGCAACATAAATTTTCATCAAATGTAGAATCAGTATGGTCAACTTGTGTTGTAGGGCTTGCCAATTCTTGGGCCACTTTTTCCGGTAAATTTGGATCCAATACTGTTGATGAAAGTGAAATAGTAATTCTCTTATTTTCTTGATCGTTTCTCTCAAATTTCTTACTTTGTTCCTTTGTTATTAATTGATGAACATGACAATCATTCTTGGCTCTTTCAAAAAACTGATAGAATAATTTAAGATTCAGTATTTTCCATTGTCTTGTAATTTCCGAATTATTAACCACTAAATCAGGTAGAATAAAACTGGTTTGTTGAGAATGATCAATAGTACCACCATTACCACCATTATTTAATAACATTTTCCTATGATCTTCCAAAGTGTTTCCGCTAACATTATCATCATAATATACACGATATAAATTTACATTTAAATAATTTTGTGGAATATATTTCATTTGTTCCTCCTTTACATTCTCGTAGAAATCCCTGTTCATCACAAGGAAATATAAGTAAAAACGTCTGTTATACAAAAAGTTGATAGATAAATAATTAATTAAATTTACATCGCATAAAAACTGTCCAATATTATCTGGTATATTTACATGTTGTTGTTGTTGATGTTTTTCAGAATTATTAACCTCTTCTAAAGAGGATGATGAACCCATTAATTATTCAATCAATACAATTATAATCACAAAATAATAATAATAATCGGAAAATAGATTCCAACTACAAAATAACCGTTTATCTTAGATTAATCAGAGTACGAGAAGAACAGAACCTCCTGTTTCTTTTTCTCACCAAGCAAGAGAACAACTCTTAATGTACAAACAAGAATTCTTCCAACAAGATCTTTTTGTTTTTTTAAAAATTTAAAAAAAATTAAATAAACACTCTTTTGGTTTTTCTTCCTTATTCAACCGTGTCAGTGTTTCATATTGAACATTCTGTGTGATCGTAATCTCTCTCTTGATCTGAGTGAGTGGTTGGTACTTTGAAAGAACAACTTTCTAAAAAATTCCACTACTTCACTCGAGTAAAATTAATTCCTCCTGCTCTCTCTTGCTGCCCTAAGAGAAACACACAACCGATGACGGGGAGAAGTAGTAACAACAACAACAACAATAGAATGATCATCAAGATGAAGGACTTTCGGAAACAAATTCAATCATTGGTTTTATTGATTGGTTTAATTGTAATTTTAAATAATAGTAGTGTGTTGTCAAGTGATGACTGGAGTGGTTGTACATATGTTAATATTAATAATAATAATGGTAATCAACAGGCATTATCTTGTTCATCTATTACAGCTTGGGATGAAAATACATTTGCTTTTAGATATGAAGATTCTGTGTTTTTCACAGTTTTCTACAAGTTTTTTGATACAAAGGAATATCAACTTTGTGATGAAAAGTATGTGAAGGAAACACTCTTCAAAACATATGGAATTTCTTCTTGTTATCAAGCATATGTTGACAATTTTCCAAAACTTGTCAATTCAACACTCTCATACTTGAATTCAACTTATGGCATCTCTTCAAAAAATGGAAGAAACAAGGCAGTGACTGAACTAGCTTGGATTATGAATTATTGTCAATATTGTTCTAGACCTGACTTTAATGAATTCCATTCAAATATTTCAACAATAGTTACTCCTTCACCTTTTAGATATGTTACTGCTAAAAATTTCTGTAATTATGGAACTGAAATTCCAAAGAATTCAATTCAAGCACCACTAGTACACGGACATTCATTACTTGATTCAGATGATACGTATCCATGGATTTGCTATTGTGGAGGTAACGATTATGGTTTCAAGTGTGATTACTTTTCAACAAATTTTATTCCATTCACTTTCAAAGCCTACCCAATTATTGCATTCATTGTACCAACATTGCTTGCCATTGCCACTATTGTTTGTAATGTCATTCCACTTGCTTATAGAAATGTCAAAAAGATTTCTCACAAGATGAAGTTTAATCTCACCTCCTATCCAAAAGCTATTTTTGAGGAAATATTCTCTTTGAGTTGGATCATTATCATTATGATATTCTTTTACTTTTTGTTTTTGGCCATTGAAAATGGTTTGAATTTTGCTGTCATTAGTGTTTTTGAAACCAAGACAAAAGTTGGTAAGTAATTTTATTTTATCATTCACACTTATTAAATTGAAATTATAGGTGCTGGATTCTTTAGATCATTGAGTTTATTGTGGTTAATTTCTGCCCTATTCTCCATTCTAGTCATGTGGCTAAATTTACTATTAGGATCAATGAGAACTTCAACAGATTCTATCAAAGTTCACATTGGTTTGAAAATTACTCTAGGTTTATTCTATTTATTTGTTTTAGGACTTTCAATTTTACCATTTGTTTATACTGGTCTTCAATCTAGTCCAATTAGAGGTTTTACCAAAACATTTAACTTGACATTCTTTACACTTACTGCAGCCTCTACCATTTTCTTCACCATTCTCTTCATCTTGTTTGGAGCCAAACTGTATTTTAAACTCAAGATTGCAAATAATTTATCAATTTTCCAAATCAAATTTACCAAGTTTGTCATGTTCTTGATGGTAACCAATGCTATTGTTCTAATTGAAATAATTTTCATTATCATTGAATATGGAGCTAGTCAAGTTGTGTTTGGTTTATTTTATAGAAGTGTGAATTTCAATACATTGGATTTAAGTATGTGTTTATTGGCTAGTGGTATCATTTATCAAATGACACCAAATGCAGAATTTAGACAAATATTCTGTCCATGTATCAAGGATGCTACTCTACAGAAATATCAGGACTATATTACCAAAAAGAGTGGAAGAAACAAGCAAGTAGAACCAGAGGAAGATTCAAGTCAATCCGAATCGAATCCATATCAATTAGGAACAAGCTACAAATTAACATCAGGAGAAACAACATTAACCCAACCGCTCTCACAAGGTTATCAACATTAAGTGTTTCCATGCATGACCATTTTGAACTTTAAAATAAAAACCATTCTTTCTAAGGTCTGCCTTTCAGTCACTAATATGGCTAGCCGCTTAGAACTATCCGACACTAGATTTACAAATAAAGAAGTGGAAATTTGAGCATTATAAACAAAGCGAAACCCAAGATCTATTGTCTCTTCTTCAAAGAACAAAGAAAACAAGTTTTTTAAAAAACAGAACCATTTGATACCAGTAGAATGAAAAAACACTGCTCACCTGTGTTTTGTTGCTTTCTCTTGTTGATCGTCTGCTTGTTTAATATTTCGCTTTCTTTCGTCCACTCTTCACTTACCAGAGCTAACAGAGTGAGTAATTGCTCAATGATCTACATTCCATCCTCCTCCTCATCATCACAACAACAATACTCTCTTCTCACATGTACTTCTATCGTTATTCCAAACGAAACAACTGTAAATTATAGATATGAGGATACGGTTCAATTCTCTCTATTTTATCCCTTCTTTGATTCGAAATATTCAGAACTGTGTAGTGCTGTTGTGACTAATCAACTCTTTACAAAATATAACATTGATTCGTGTTCCTCACTTTTTTGTAATAGTATACCCCAACTTATTGGAAAGAGTTTTGAACAGAGCAATAACATTAGTTCCACTGTAAAGAATAATCTTCTCCAACATTACAATGTTTCGTCCAGTCAAAAAACAAGACAAGTCATTGCAGAACTGGCCTACTTGGTCAACTATTGTCAATACTGCAATAGAGATGACTTTATATCTTTTCACACGACACTCAATTCTACACAATGCTTTACATTTGTGAGTGCAAATTTTTGTAATTACAATCAACCACCCAATAATTTTCAAACTCTAACGATAGATTCACTCACAGCCTCTACAGTTCATCAATTAGATTACAATCAAGAATCAGAACTTGAAATTCCACTTCTTCATGGCATTTCCCTACTGAATCAGGACGTATTTCTTCCATGGCAATGTTCATGTGGTCAATTGCAATATGCTTTCAAGTGTGACTACTTTTCCACATTGTTTATTCCATTCACTTTCAGAGCTTATCCAATTATTTGCTTTGTGTTGACTTTGTTATTGATGGTCGTTTGTGTTTTCACATTGGTGATTCCAACCATTTACAGAAATGTTAAGAATGCAAAAGTGAATATGAAGAATAATTTAATGCCAATTCAAAAAGCGGTGTTGGAAGAGGTGATTTCAATTTCATGGTTAATTATTGTGTTTCTAATGTTGCATTTGATTTTCTCTGCTTTGGAAAATTTACTAAGTTTAGCAACTGTTGGAATGTTTCAGGCAAAATCGTCAATCGGTAAGTTTATTCAATTTCTATTGGAAAGTTTAAAATTGAATACCATCATTGCTAATGAATAGGATCTGGTTTCTTTAGAGCTATCAGTTTACTGTGCTTATTCTCAGCTCTATTTTGTATTTTTGTAATGTGGGTCAACTTGTTATTACAAACAAATAGCAAAAATTCTGTTGGAGCAAATTCAATAACCATTCACAAGTATTTGAAAATCATACTAGCAACATTCTTACTCACGTTCGGTCTCTTATTGGTATTACCTTTGATTTATATTGGACTACCCTCAATAGCAAAAATATTCAATTTGACATTTTTCATTCTGACAGTTGTTTTGACCATCTTTTTGGTTGTTGGTTTTTCAGTATTTGGTGGTAAATTATTCATTCAATTGAAAAAGGCTAATAATTTGTCAATATTCCAAATCAAATTTACAAGAGCTATCATGATAATATTTGTGGCTGCTCTGTTTGTGTTTTTACAAATGATTTTGATTATTATTGAATATGCAGCAAGTCAAGTGTTGATTGGCTTGTTTTATAGATCTGTTAATTTCAACACTCTTGATTTGTCCATGTTATTGGTCACAAGTGGATTGATTTACTTGTTGTGTCCTTCATCTGAAATGGTTAAACTGTATTGTCCTTCTACAATTTCAGAAAAGATAATTAATAGTTAAATATTTACAAACTTTACTCATCACAAATCTCTTCTGAGCATGGGTCTTCTGTACACTCGCTAACAGTCTCACTGGTGTTGGTATTTGGTTTAGGGTTTGCTTCTTGATCTTTAGAGTTGTGTCTTTCAGCAAGTCTCCTACAGATTGTAATCACATCTTCATGTTCTAAATCTTCAAATTGAGGATTTAAGAAGAGTAATGTATAATTATCAACAATGTATTCTAAAGCCACTTCATTGAGCTTGTGGCAACAGTGCTTTTTAGCCATTCTTGCCATTTCAAAGGCATTCTCTCCATCCATCCAAGTGGAGAAGAGTCTTCCACAATAAGTTGATAAAGAACCAATTAAAAATTGATCTGCTAAAAGATATACTTGATAAATATTTTCCTGATTAATATTAATGTGATTACTGTAAATAAATTCAACGACATCCTTAAAGGTATTGAATGGTACATCTTCTTCAAATTCAATAATTGAGGTTTTAGATTCAATCATTTCACTTTCACATATAACTTTGAAATATTCTGATCGGGAAGTCATAATTGACTTGTGAACTCTGAGGGTATTTCCTGATTGTTTGTGAACAATGTTCAAATCTGTAAAGAGAGCATCATCAAACATCTTCTTATAGATTGCTCCCAGTTTAGTAATTTTTGGCAAATCCACTTTTGTTTTACCAACAAGTTTGATGGCATCAATTTCACTCCAATTTGCACCCAATTTCATGTCAATTCTAATAGTATCAGAGTAAGTTCCCTTATTAGAAAGTTCTGGTGAAAAATCTTGTGCACCAGTAACAAATACAGCATCAGGTCTTTCAAATAACACAACCCACTTGTAAGAGTTCAACATTGAATTATGAAAAAATTGAATAAGAGAATGGCAAATAATTTAGTGACATACCTCTCCGTCCTTCCCTATAACTTTTTCTATTGCCTTTCTTAAGAATGATTTCTTTTCAGGAACAACTGCTTCCTCATTTTGTTGTTTTACTTTACATGAAATTTTGACTACAGATCCAGGAAAAGATGTCTCATAAATGTGTACTTCATTTACATAAACTGGATGATGGAATTTTACAATAACATGCTGCAATTAAAAAGTTCAATTATTATTGTTAGTTCTCATTACTTACTTGATTAGAATTTACAGTTTGAGGACACCATGATGCTCCAGAACTTTGATGTCTTGGATATGTTTTTGGTTTTCCTTTCAAATTATCAGGTCCATAACTACCACCTGATTGCCCACTGATTTTGAAAAATTAAATTCAAATGATTCATAATTACAAAACAAACCTATAACTAGAACTAAATGAAATAACTTCATCAACATATTGTTCCAAATTTCTCCATCCCTTTTCATAATCTTCCGATGCACTTGTTGCAATATCGGAACGAACAGGAATAATTGCCTTTCTTTGTAATTCTGTTAAAGGTTCTGTTCTTGATGATGGTAACATTTTTCTGATTTTATTATTATACTATACAAATGTGACTATTCTTTTTAAAAAAAACCTGTTGGTTGTATGATGAAAATTTGAATGTTGATACTGATGATGATTTATACACGACGACTTGATCTACTCGTGGAGAGCAATTCTAATTATTTTTTTTAATGAAATATAATAACAAGTTCATCACTTGTGATAAAGAGAAAGGAAGAAACCGAGTACAAAGTTCATTAACAAGGTTCATTCAAACTCACACATTGAGGGAAGTGTTTGAAAGACATAAATCTTGACAACATGTATTGTATTTCAAGTGTAAGGCTTATTCACAATACTCATTATTACAAGCCTAGCTTCTTCTTTGTGAAAAGCAAGCCTAAATAAAATAAAAAAATGAACAAACATAATACAGTAGGTTTTTTAATTGTGATTAAATATCGGAAATCAAAACTAGGCTTCGAGAAGTGTTGATGAGGATGAATTGCCACCTCTGATAGATACCGATAATGAAGAGGAGGAAGAAGACTTACCACCTCTAATGGATACGGACGAGGAAGAAGAATCAGACCAACCTCCTTTGGTTGGCACTGATAATGAAGATGAATTGCCACCTCTGATGGATACCGATAATGAGGAAGAGGATGAATTACCTCCACTTATGGATACTGATGATAAAGAGGAAGTTAGTAACAACAAGGCTTCAAGCTCTGATAATATTACTACCAGAAATAGTGAATCAAAAGCAACAGATTCTGGTGATCATTCCGATGGTGAAGATTTGCCACCTCTAATGGATACTGATGACGAGGAAGAGGATGAATTACCTCCACTAATGGAAACTGATGATGAAGAGGAGAAGGCTGAAGAAGATGTTTTGCCTCCATTGGTGGATACTGAGGATGAAGAAGAGAAATTAGACAAGGATAGTGCAGAGGATGAATTACCACCTTTAGTTGATATCGATGATGAAGAGGAGAAACAAGATGATCAAAAACTCAAAAACCAGCCAGAAGTAATTACCAATCCAAGTCTAAAAACACAATCGGAAGAGGATGAATTACCACCTCTAGTAGATACAACTGATGATGAAGAGAATGAAGATGATTGGGAGGATGTAGATGAAAATGACGAAAATAGTGACGACGACTCTCTACCTCCACCACTAATGGATACTGATAATGAAGAGGACGATAGTGAGGATGAATTACCTCCTCTAGTAGAAACAAGTGATGAAGGCATGCCTGGTTTAGTGGATGATGAAGATGAGGAAGATGATGATAGTGATCTACCTGATTTAATTGAGGATGATTCAAATAGTGATGACGATTCTGATTCTTTTCACAGTGGAGAAGATAGTGACGATGAAGACTTTTTCCAAGCTACTCAAATGAGAAGAATGCAGAACCAGAAGGACCCAACTAGCAGCACCATTCCTGAAACAGTTAAACGAAGAGCTCCAAGAAATACTGAAAAGAATAAGAAAGAATGGGAAGAATATAAGGCCAAATTAGAAGAATCTAAAAAGAGAAAAGAAAATAAGAAACAGAGAGAGGAACAGAAAAGACAACAACTTTTGCAAGAGCAACAACCTACATCAACACCAAAAGTTGAAGTACCATCCAACACCTCTAATGAGCCTCAAATTGAAATTATTGAATTGGGTACTTGTTTATTCTGTAACCAATCTGGTGGTAGAACAATTACAAACAAAGATGATTTTTATATTTGTACTTGTTCTAATAAGTGCAAGCTCAATTTCCACAAGGAATGTTGGCTAAAGTATTACAGAGCTAACAGAAATAATGATAGAAGTATTACTTGTCCAACAGAAGCATGTGGAGGTTATGGTGAACAGCTGGCCTATTATGAAAAACTTTCAGAGACACCAAAAACTACAACCTTGAGTGCGCCTGTGGTCAATAATGCACCTACAACCAAATCAAAGAAGAAATCTGCCAATAAGGAAATTAATAACACAAAGGATCAAACTTCCAATGAGAACATTGTTCCTCAAAAGAAGACTAGAACCACAAAACAGAGTACTTTACCAGATACTAGTTCATCTTCTACAACATCAGCTGAGACAAAACAAAACGAAGCAATATCAAATACAACACAACAAGAACCAGAGGAAATTAAGGTTGTCCTCAGCGTAGGTATGTTTAATATTTTAAAATTTAAAATTCTCTAACATTTAATGTAGGTAAATTTGCCAAAGCTGTGGAAAGAAAGAAGTTTAATGATAAAGCCTTGGAAGAAACTGAAAAATTAAAGAAAGCTCAACTTTACAAACGTGTTGACTTTACTATCAAAACTGGATATGACATAGGTATTGTGATTGAATTGGAAAAGCCATTTGGAAAGATTCTCACATCTACTTCCTCTTTGAGATGTAGAATTGAAAACTTACAATTGGGGGATTTGATTCAATTCCAAACAATTTCAGGAAATGAATACGCTCAGAATATTGAGCTTATAGAAAGATTACAAAACGTTCCACAAAACTTCCCAGAATTATTCGGTCAGCTAAAGGAAGATTTGAAAAAGTTAAAAGAATCTCATGGTACTAACATTACTTTCAAAGTTAGACAATCAAAGAAGAAGAAAACAACTACCACCCAGCCAACTAAATCTAAAGGATCATCAACATCTGCATCTGGATCCATACAAAGTACCATCAAAGGAGAATCAAAGAATATATTACTACAACCAAGTCCTTATGAGGCCGACACAGATTCACCTCCACAAGAAAAGCCAATAGCACGAAAATTATTCGAACTTGGTGATTTACCAGATGAACTAATTTCTCAATTTAACTATTGTCTTGGAGAAATTATTGGCAAAAAGGAAACATTTGGTAAGATTAACGTTATGGCACATCCTTCAAATATGCCTGAAGTTGACAGAATTCCACTCGTATTTTTCCATATCAAGAATTTCAATAAGGCATCTATCCTTCCAAACAATGGTGATAAAGTATTATTCTTCCTTACCAGCCAACAACAAGGCAGTCCTAGTGCAACTGACATTCATGTAGTTTCCAATGATTTGTATGAACATTTACAATTTAGACTTCAAGAAAATGTGTAACCTATTAGTTTGACAAATTTAAGAGTACTATTGATCACCTCACATGAAAAGACATTATGATGTGCTACTTGAAGTAAGATTTCTACTTTGAGCAAGTTGTGTGATTCTCAGAATGTTATTAACAAGATATTGTATGATAAGAAGAAAATCTAGTCATTGATTTCCTTTCCAACAACATCAAGTCTTTATGATATTTCATAATTTCCAAATAAACTAAATGCTTTGATTTAATTGAATTGTATCTAAAATCAATATCTAATTGCTTCTATTGAGAAGAAAATTGTTTCAAAAACTTCAAATTGTGCGATTATCGCTAATTTAAAATATTTTCCAATATATTTTTATTTAAAAAAAATACAACGTCATCAACACGTTTAATCGTTTCCTTTCATTGTTGATTGTTGTTTTAATAGTAAAATGTTTGGTCACAATGCCCCACCTTCAAGAGGTCCACCTCCAGGCCACCTCCATCACCAACCACCAATGGCTAATCCACATGGTCCACAACAAATTGTAAATCAACCTCCACATTCTTCTGTTGTATCACACCCAGTTCACCCAAGTGGAGGTCCAACTTCCCACGTTCCTTTTGTTGGAGGTGAGAGAGTTGTTGATTGGATGGAACAAATCAAGAAAGATTACTTGACATTAGAACAAGAATATTTAAATATTAAACATCTTAAGGAAGAATTGGAAAGAAAATTAGAGAGTCAACTTGGAGATTTCCAAGTTATGCACAACGCTATTTTCGATCTAGAAAATGCTTTTACTGCCTCTAAACAACAGTAAGTAATCATGTCATGTCATTATTAACACCAATTCTTATTTTTAAAATATTTTCACTCTCCAACATTGTTTTGTTGATATTAATACAATTTTCTTGTGCAACAGTTATGAAGAACGTATTCAACAACTTAATGCTACTATTCATGAACTTAAACAACAACTGGGTCAACAACAACAACAAGATAATGTACATGGATATCCACCTGTATCAAATGGACAAGTTCCACCACCTAATTACTCACAACCACCTCCAATGCACGGTATGGGAAGAGAAAACTTTACAAATGCTCCTGGATTATCTACATTACCACCACCAAATTTACCACCATCTTCACAATCATTACCATCCATGATGTCGAGTCAACCTCCTTCCAATCTAAATCAACCTCCACTTAATGGTTCTTCACCTCCACTTCCACCTATTGGTGGTAATCCACCACCTCCAAATGGTGGAATGAATCATTTACCTCCATATCATGATTCATATCAACAAGGCAACAAACAACCACCACAACAACAACAACGAGCAAGCCCATTTCCACCTGTAAATGGACAAGCTTTACCTCCAAATGATATGTTGATGCCAATGCATAACGTACCTCCAAATGGATCTTCATTACCTTCTATTCAACCACCAAAAAATGGAAATAACACACCTTCGGTGCCATCAGTCAATAATAATGTAAGTCAACCATCACAAGCATTCATTGAGAGACCAAAATCAGTAAATAATTCTCAGATTCATAATCCTCCACAACAAACTAATGGAAATCCTAACTTACAAAGCGCACAACCAAATGGGAATGTTCCTCCTCCTCAACCAACCCCAACAACAAATCAGGTTAATTTATTCGATCAGAGAAGTAATGATAATGTTGTAAAGAAAGAAGGAAATGATTGGGTTGTTGTTTATAATCCACAAGTTACAGCAACAACAAATTTAAATATGAGCTTGTATCATAATTTAGATCAAGAAAGTGTTGTTTGTTGTGTTAAATTCAGTTCATGTGGTAGATATTTGGCAACTGGAAGTAACAAACAAGCTATTGTTTTTGATGTTGATACAGGAAAGAAATTTGGAACCTTTTCAACAATTGGACCTGTCGGAAGTAGTGTACAACATGAAGATGATGAACGTGAAGAACCTCCAAAGAAGATATCAAATGATGATGATATTGTTGAAGGAGGTATGAAAGAAGATTCATACATTAGAAGTGTTTGTTTCTCTCCTGACAGTAAATACCTTGTTGCAGGTGCTGATGATAAGACTGTTAAAATTTGGGATGTTGAATCAAAGCAAATTTACCGTTCATTAGAAGGACACGAATTAGATATTTATTCACTTGATTTCTCTCCTGATAGTAGATTTTTAGTTAGTGGCAGTGGTGATGGTAAAGCTAAAATTTGGGATATGGAATCTGGTGAATGTAGACATACATGTGGTAATGAAGAAATTGGTCCACGTGAAGGTGTTACTAGTGTTGCTATTTCTCCTGATGGTAAAACTGTTGCTACAGGATCATTGGATTGTGTTGTACGATTGTGGGATATGGCTACTGGTGATTTAATTGAAGCTTTTAGTGGAAATGGTGGCCATGATGATTCTGTTTATAGTGTTGCCTTCTCTCCTGATGGTAAAACACTTGCCTCTGGTTCTTTAGATAGAACCTTAAAGATTTGGGATATCAAATCCGCTTCTTGTATCGCCTCTCTCTCTGGTCACAGAGATTTTGTTCTCAGTGTTGCTTATTCACCTGATGGTAAATGGTTGGTCAGTGGTTCAAAGGATAGAAGTGTTCAATTCTGGGATCCTCGTAGTAATGTTTTACATTTGATGCTTCAAGGTCACAAGAATTCTGTTATTAGTGTTTCTTTGAATCCAAAACGTCCACTTTTTGCAACTGGTAGTGGTGATTTCCGAGCAAGAGTTTGGAGGTATGAATAATTGTGAGACTTATTTAACAAATATTTTGACTATAAATATATTTATAAATTTTTAAAACTTATTTTTTATTTTAATTATCTTTTTAAATTTTTTAATTTAATAATTATTTAATAATTTACAAGTTCATCATTTACACAACTCAATGCATCATGGTTAAAGTTAGTATATAAATTATATTGATAAACAAGGTGTGGAATGGATGGTTGATAAATTACAGGCTTAACTTTTAATAATTCATCCATCATGACCTCATTTTCTGAAATTGTAGAACAAATTAATTTTCCATTTGGTTTCAAAACTTTCAATGCACATGTTGCATACTTTTCCCAAACTTCTCTTGTAATAAATGGAGGATCAATTAGGGCAATTGTACAACTTTCATTCAATTCTTCACTAAATACCTCAGGTTGATTAAAATCCCAAAAAACAAATCCTTGATCCTTTTCCCATTTTTTATCAAACTAGAAAGAGTAAACAGCAATTAAAAGATAATTAAGCATTGAAATAGAGACTCTCATACCTCAAATAATTTAGCCTGTTTTTGAAGATCTGCACTCAATGAAAAGTAAACTGATGGAGTTGACATAAAAACCGCTCTATTTGATGGATCTTCTCTAAGATGATCCTCTATTACTTTCACAAATGTTCCAATTGTGTCTTTAGAGTACCAGTATTGGTTGTATTCCGATTTTTCAGGATTTCTATTGAGAAATCTGTTGTTTGTTGTAGTGGACATTTTTTTGTATTCTTAAATTCTAAAATTAAGATATTCAAATTATTTATTATTTCTTTCGGACTGTTCTATTTGCTAATGCAGTTCCTACAATTCTATTATCCAACTTGGTCACCTTAGTTTTACATGGTGTGTTAATTACTATTGTAAAGCAGAAATTAATTAATTGAATATCAAAATTTTGATAATTAAAAAATTAAAAAAATGTCTCTAGGAAAATTGTTGAGCAAATCGGAATGGAAGGACAAGGAAGAAGTTTTAAATAGTATGTCTTGTTATTGTCAATTTAATCTTATCATCATCTTGATCATATTATAATATTATTTTTCGCTTATCATCAATTTATCATCACATCAAATTATGATTAATAGCAATTTTTTGGATTAAACAAATTTATGCCATCATTTGTGGAATTGTTTTTGGTATAATTCCAATTATCGGATTTATTGGCTTTACAAGCTTTGGAGTATCCGTTTCTTTAATTGCCTACAGTGTTGCTTTTACTATTATGCGAGTTTCTGACGATGTTATTGATTCAGCATCGACTGTCATTACCGAAGGTTTATTTCCTGCTCTGAGTTTATTCATCTTGAGTTGGGTTTTTACCTATTCATTCCTTCATGCTTAAAAATCATTTGATATTATTTATCAATTAATCATCCATAAAAATCTGTAATACTTTCCGAATCTATAAATTCTATTCTCCTCAAACAAAATATTTAAATAACAACTTAAAGGAGTCTTTCCAGCACTTTTTACAATAGGTACTTTTATCTTTGACCAATTTGATAGAGGATTGGGAAAATTCGCGTTATTGTTTCTTGTTTCTTTTAAATCACACAACAAAAAACAATCTCAACAACAACTCCATCACCAGGAGTTTGTTTGATAATTTAAATTTCCAAGATGATCAATAACAAAACATCCTCCCCTTTAAACCCTTCTGGGAGTGGTAACAGTGTTGCTGTTAGTGGATCCATCAACAATAATAATAACAACGATTCAAAATCAAACAATTCTTCTGGTGGGAGTATTACTCCAAACAATGCTTCAACTACAACATCATCAACAGCAAGGAAGAGAATGATTAAAGTAGGAGCACAACGAAGAAGCACTCTCACCCCAACCAATCAACAAACAAACTCATCAGATAGACAACAACAATTTGAAACAACTCCTAACCAGCAACAACAAGAAAATAATATTTCCGGAATACCCTTCTCAATGCAAAGTAATGGTAGCAGTAGTACAGGAAATGTCAGTACAGCATCAACAACACTCATGATGAATAGTGTAAATAGCTCTTGTTTTATGGGAAGTGATCAATCCGGAAGCCCACTCACAACATCAAATAATTCTCATCACAATAACAAAATAATAATGGAATGTTTCAGAGAGTAATGACGAGACATACTTCGGAAATAATGGATATTTCACCAAAGCAGAGAAACATTTCGAAAAGTATGAGAGTTAATCCTTCCAGTAAATTATCTTCCATCATGAATAATGCAAATAGTGGTGCCAATTCCAATACAGTGAATATATACAACAAGCATGCTATTGTGTTAGCCCAGTTTTGTGAACAAAAAGGACCTTCATTTGTCTATTGCACTCAAATGATTAATAATATTCATGATATTTCACATTTAGAGAAATTCGTCCTTGAACAACACAAGACAACTCAAATAGTGAGTCATCATCAACATCACCATCGTCACCAAGTTACAGAACAACACAAAACATCATCCACCTCAACAAGTTCTCCTCCTTCTTCCACAACTAGTCCAACACCAAACGGTAGTGAAATCACTTCAACAACACCATTACAAGAATCAAATAGCAACTCATCTTCTACCAATAATTTGGATATCACTAATTTGGAAAATCTAGATCATCCTCAAACAATTTCGTCCCTTGCCTCTAAAGATTTAATGTTGCATCTCAAAAAATACTATCCTAACTTGTTCGGAAAAGAACACAACTCAAATCAACAGGAGGAAAATGACCATTTTAATCAATTATTAATGTTATCCTCAATTGAGCAATTAACAATAGATCGAGATAATGAGCAAATTTTTGTGAGTTCACATCAAGAAAGTTCAAAATTTTCAGCTCACTTTAAAACTTTAGCCATTCGTAGCACATCAGCAGAAATTTCAGTGGGTCAAGGAAGAGAGGGCCCAGTTCTATTTGGTGATGAAATTAATGGATACAATTTTGCCTATATTTTCAAAGTTAAGGATAGTATGGCAAGAGGGTTTGCCAGATGGTTTGCCATAGTATTAATGGATACTTCTCTTTCAATGCTTACAATTAGTTGGCCCTTCCTCAATAGTGGTATGGGTAGAATTGTCAAGCTTATTCGAGCTCGTTCTCAACAAATATTTTTAGAGGAGAAGGAAAAACAAAAGCGATCAGGTTCCTCTAATGCTCTCAATGAGGATGGTACTAATGCTGAGGATCATGGTTATAGATTTTTCCATTCTGGAGGTCCACTCTCAGCAGATGTATTCAGACAAAAACGTTCCAAAGGTCCTATGAGAGATTTACCTCTTTTATTGAATTATCCAGATTTTTATTCGGATTTACACAATTGCTTTTCTGGATTATTACAATCATTTTACAGCAAATTATCTGAAATTGAATTGGATAATTCAAATTATCAAAAATTAGACATGTACAATAATTATTCGATTCCATCTTGTGAAATGCCAAGGATTAGGTCATTTATTAGTAATTCTAGCATTACCTCGAATGAAAGTGATTCACCATCCACACCAGCAAATGGCTGTTTTAACTTGTTGTCAGATTTTTCAAAAATGGTTAAAAAGAGCCTTTTCAATAAGGTTTTACTGGAGAGAAATTTATTTATTGGTATCGAGCTTGCTGATACTGATGATGCAAATGAAGAGTCTTACACTCAAAGTGAGGAAATGATCAAATCACTCATCTATAATGTTCTCATAGGGAACCAATTAATAGTTAGGAGTGACAATGTTCAAATGAGGAATGAGATTTGCCGGCTCTTCACAACCATCGTTCCAAAGGAATGTGCCAAAATGGTTCAAGACAGTGAATCCTATGTGTTCCCATATGATGCCAATTTTCTCACAGTACCTAAACATGTTCAAATCACTGAGGATAGTGTTGATTTTAGATTTGTCATTCTACTTGATATTGAGGGATATTCGTCGAATGATATCGAGGAGATATCAATTCATACCGAGCAAGAATATAAGGAAACAACTCTAGGCAAGGAAATTGAAAAACTCTTTTTCCAAACAATTTTTACACACGTCCAACAATATTCCACAACCTCCAATATGGATTACAATACTCTCTACGATATTGAACAGAATATTTTGAAATCATTAATTCACGACTGGTCAAGAAGGGCCAAGTTTTTCATTCAGGCCAATAAGAGACATGTTGGAGAAAACTTGCCAATGCACATACAAGAGTGTGATACTGGTATTTTACGTTATTTTGGATCTACTATTTCACTTAAAAAGTCCTTCTCCCAATTGAATATGAATGTGGATCTGGATCAATAGTATATATAAACATCAGGGTACATTGTTATTCACAAATATTTATCCACTATCTCAATGAGCTCGTTTTGAAGAGAATCGGAATATTAGATTCGTTGTATGTTGATTGTGGATTGTGCTAATTTCAGTGATGAACTGAAAGTCACCCATCAAAACAAAAAATGTCTGCACTTTCAGCGAACAATTCAATGTTGATGTCTGTGGCATTGCAGGCAGCCAACTCTAGCAATCAGCAGTCTCTTCTCCTCTCCAACAATTCCAATACAACAACAACAAATTCTAGTAATTCATCAATTGCCATCGTTTCGTCATCTATTACATCATCCTCATCAAATTCTAATCAAAATTTATTCCTTCGATATGGAGATGTTATTTCTCTAGTATACGAAGATGAAAAATCCTATCTTTCAATTAGAGGATTAAATCCAATTCGATGTGGAGCAACTCCATTCACTTCATCATCAGAAATTGATAGTCAATCAGCAAGTTCAAAGGAAAGTTTATTCGTAGTCATGAAGGGAGGTTCCTATTCGGCTCTCAAAAGATATAATGAATTTGTGGATAACAAGATGTCTTCAACAAGTGCCTTGGGAGAGGCTCTATTTGCCTCCAGAAGAACATCCATGAAGTACGGAAAGAATATTCTCTCAATGATCAACTCGAATAAACATCCAGAGAAGAGTGTAGAATCTAAAAAGTTGAAAATCAAAATGGAAAGAGAAGAACAACAAAATATAATAGAAGCCCAAAAGGTATGTATTAGTAGAATGTTACACAAATTAATAATTTTTAAAAAAACAATTGAAAAAAAATGTTCATTCTATTAATTATTTGATTAATTGGATAAATAATTTTTTTTTGGATTTCATATTTGATATAACATTCTATGATTTGTCGGAATACATTATAGGCTCTCGGAAAAGTAGTATCATACGGTGCTAGAATTCAATTATTACACGTACAATCACAAGAATATTTAACAGTTCTTCGTACCAATGCAGAATTAGAAAAGGCTTGTATTGCAATTTCATTGGCAACTAGTGGAAGTAGAACATTCTTTCAAATTATGCCACATTTCAAATTTAGACAAGAGAATGAACCTGTAAGATTGTCCGATAAGATTGTTCTATTCAATGAAAAATCAAAACATACTCTCCACTTTTCACAAGTGGTTTATAACAAACCTTTAGTGAATAGAGATAATAGAAATGAAGTGAATGCTACAGCATCTAATTCATCAAATGTTTGGAGAATTAATCTGTATACACCCTATTCAGTCTATTCAGCAAAGGCTTATTTAAAAACTGGAGATGTTATCAGATTGTTTCACAAGGATGCTGAAGGGTATTTATTCCAACAAAAGGAGTTTGTAAAATTATTTACTGAGAAATATGCTCTCTCATCTGTGAACGCTTTATTCGAGATTGAAAATGTGGATAAATTCAAAGGCGGTTTCGTCAGATATAGTGTGCCTTTCAGGTTAAAACACTTGCCTTCAGGACAATATCTATGTATTCAAAAGACTGAAGTTTCAGATGCTAATGATGGTTCTCAAACAGCACGTGGTTGGTTGAAAATTAAGAAAACCTTAAAACAAGTTCTTAGACCTGGTCTAATCAAAGAGGCCAACGACGATACTCTCTTCACATTGCACTCACCTGAAGTTGGTGCATCAGAGGCCGTTGGATATGGTCAACCTGTTGAAAGAAAAAATCTTGTCAGAATTCGTCACTTGAGAACTGACACATGGCTTCACGCAGCAGAAAGATCTTCAAAGAATGATTCGAATAATACTGGAAGTGGTCGTGGAAGTCTTTTCAGAAAAGACTCTGTATCAAATAGACGTAGCTCTCTTGCTCCACAAATGTTCAATGTAAATGATAATACCATGTTTATAGATTTGACTTTTGATTATAGAAAAAAGGAAACAGATGTTTTTTCTATCTTTTTAGCTTCAGAGAAGGAATTGAAGGACTTTACTATTGTTTATCAAATTTTTAGAATTGTGAGTAACTTTAGAAAGATGAAAAAGGAAACATCCATTCAACAACCACAACGTGTTGACATTGAATCTGTTTTAGAAATGTTACGTCACATTATCAGATTTTGTACTGAAAGTACTCAACAAGATGTAATGAAAAGAGAAGGTATTCCATATCCTGAGAGGCAATCTGCATTCAGAGATATTGGTCTCATTGACACTATTATGCAAGTTATCAAGGATTCTGGTGAAATATTTGGCAAGGATGACAAATGGGATCAACTTTATCAATATAGTTTCAGATCTATCAGACAAATTACACTTCTTCACGTACCAAACAGTTTATACGTCTTTGAAAAGTATTTCCACGAATTACAAAATCACATCTTGGGAGAATCTTCAGAAGTTGTCCTAAACTCTTCCAAAGATTTTGCCAACTCTATTGGTCAGACCAATACAGAACTTTTGATTGGTATGATTAAGGATAATATGGAGCTATTGGACAGTATTTCATCGAGTCAAATTGAGGGATTTTTCAATCTTTTAGTTGAAAATACCAGAAAGAAGGATCTCTACCTCAAACTTTTGACAATTTTATGTAAATGTGAGGAAAGACCAATCCAAAAGAATCAAAACAGATTGGTAGAACTTTTATCTGATGCCATCCAAAAACATCCAAGACTTTTCATTGTACCAAGAATTGAGGAGGGGAAACCTATTGTGGATATCCCTTCAACAGGTGAAACCAAATCACTTAAACACTTTTGTGAGACTGAATATTTCGAATTTATGATAAGCTCAATCAGATTTTTCGCCTCATTGTGTTCTGGTAAGAATACAATGGCTATTCCCTTTGTTCAAAGAATTTTCCCATACGATTTGGTATTGAAATGTATTGAAGATGCAACTGCTCCTCTGAGTATTCGTTCTGCTTTTTCCAATTTGATGGAATATTTGTATGTTGATGCTGTTGGTATTGAACAAGTACCTGCAATTAAACTTACTAGAAAGTGGACAAACAGTAACAGTACACTTAGAACCACTACTACCTTTGAAGATTACAGATATCAACATAAGAGACTGAAGGACTTTATTTACAAACACTTTTTCGTTTCTGCCAATAGAAAACTCACTACCAACCAAGATCAATGGTTTAGCTATCAATTAGTTAAGATTTGCCACAAACTCTTCTTGTACAGAGCTTACAATCCATATGGTGATGATTTGGAACACAAAAAGTTGGACGAAAGTTATACCACTGATCAGGAAGAAATTTCCAACATTATTCACTTATTATTGGCAACCCTAAAGGCCACAACTGATGCCAACGAAGAGTTGAACTTTGTAGATTCGGAAAACAATCGTCTAATTATCAAGATTAAGAATAGAATTTGTGACATTCTACTCTATGTTATTGATATGCGTATTGACTATCGTATTAGTTTGATTCTTGACTTTTTCAAAGCCAAGTCTGACGACAATAACACCAGAATGATGGATACTTTAGCGATGAAGATTAAGAATATTTCATTCTTCCAATTTGATAAGACAGATTATACTCATAGCAATTCAAGTCTTCCTCCTTTAAAATTCATTCCAACAATGCTCTTCTTACTCAAGTATCAAAATAATGAACTTCCAATCAAGGCTCTCAAGATTTTACTTCGTTCATCCATGCAAGATATTGAATTGAAGAATAACTTGGAAAGATTAGTTTTATTGACCACACCAAAGTTAGTCCAATCCTATGAAACTATTTTCAATTATTATAACAAGTTGAACAATCTGGTCAATAATGCCACTTTCTCTGGTGGTAGAGATTCTAAAGAATATAAGGAATTCAAGAATACCATCAAGGGAATTCTTGCCGACGTGAAAAAGTATGGCCATAGTGCTCAAAGCATTCTGAGAAATTTGCAAATTCACGAACTCATGATTCTCTGCCTCACTAAAATTTACCCAGAAAACATCAAGAGTAATATTTATCAAAAAGCGGTTTTAGTGCTGACAGAATTTGTTAGAAGTAATACTGAAAATCAATCAGAGCTCTTCTCTCACATTGCCTTTTTGATTGGTATCTTCTCCGATAAATTAGATACCAGTGAATTGTTATGTGAAATTGTGAGAGATAATAAGCAACTCCTCATCAACTTGGACGAAAAACTTATCCACAAATATATTGACAAGATTGGAGAGTTGGGTAAAAAGTCTTGGCATTTAAACTTTTTAAGAGTTTTAACGAGAATTGGTACTTCCAATTTACAAAGAAACCAAGATATTATTGCCATCTACCTTTCAACAGAAAGAAAAGATATCATTGTTCTCTTCAACGATGATGTTGGTATAGAGGAGAGAAGACAAAGAATTCTCAACAAGGAATACAAAGTTTCAGGTTCTCTTTTGAACTATCACATTAACATGTTATACTTACTCAGTGATTGTACCTTGGGTACCGTAAAGGAGGCAGAAGTCAAAATTCAATCCATCTTGTCATTTGATGATTGTATTTCTTTATTATCTGAAAAGTTGATTCCTCTAGTAAGAGATCCTCTCATGAGCTTGCTCAACGAATTATACATTAATACAGAGAAGAAATCCAATGACGTTATTGCCAATACTACTATTTGGCGTCTCTTCAAGAGAATCAAGGAAGAAATTAAATATTATATTGACTGCAAGGGTAGAAATATTTGTAAATTAGAAAGAGATGTCACGTATCAATTACCTCCACTCAGAAATGATCTTCCTCAGGATGACAATGATGATATTAGTGCCGAGTACTATGTCAGTGAAAAGTACATTTATTCAATTATTATTCCACTCCTGACTAATTACTTTATTAATTATTATTCCAAAGAAACTCTCTCCAATGCAAAAGAGTCCAACGAGAGTGATACATTGCAAATTATTGAAGAAATTTTGACCAACCTCATAGAATTGTACAAATATACTGCTAATGAAAACTATAGAAAGGATATTGATAAGTGCTTTTATGAAATTCACCAACGTACAAGAATTTCCCACGAATTGGAGGTCAAGTTCTTGCAAGTAAAGAGAAATGCCCTTGTCAAGATTGTTCCACCACAAGCCATTCAAAACAAGGCACTCACAGTTGATGTTGGTAACGAAGTAGCCAAACGTTTCAAGCTTTTCATTGAATCAATTCAAGCTCAAAGTGCAGAATCAATCTTCTCAGATCTGGCCAAATTGTTTGTTAACGCCTATGAAGGTCAATTCAAGACACTAATTGGGGTTTTACAAAGAATCATGTCCATTGGTATTACCAAAGATTTAGTTGAGACCTTTATTGGAGCTATTGAAACCATCAAGTATGCTATCAAAGATCAAAAGCCAGAATTTTCTGTTGAAAATGGAATACCAGAATTGGTCTTGCAACTTTTGACAGCGGATTATGAAATTGTTGTTCCAGCTCTCAAACTCTCTCATGAAATGTTGACCTCAGTTGAAACCAGAAAGGTTGTTGGTACTATTGTCAGAAGTGGCAATTATGAGTCATTCTTTATGGCCATGAAGAACCGTCTCAGACAATCAACCTACGAAGTTAAGGAATACTTCTCTATAAGAAAGAGAAATAATTCCCAAGATGCTCAACATGATACAACCAATGCAAAGGATGTCTTGCTCTTTTTAAAGTTGTTGTGTGAAGGTCACTACTTGCCAAATCAACAAATGCTCTACAATCAACCTTTCAATAAGATTTCCGTAAATCTAGTTTCCGAATGTATTGACTATGTTTTGGGTTTGTTCAAGTATTTGAGCGAAGACAGTGCTGAAAACTTTATTCAAGCATTCGATACTCTCAATGAAATGATTCAAGGTCCTTGTATTGAAACATCTATTGAACTTGCCTCCTCAACCAGATTAATGACTGTCATTAATGAAATTTTGGGTAGAAAATCTCTTGATCCAGAAGATAAGGATATGGACTTCCCAGATGACGATTTGGAAGGTGAATTTGTTGATCACTTGAAGGTTGAGGATGAACTAGAGCTGATTGAAAAGATTATCATTCTTCTTACCAGTATGTTAGAAGGTGGTAACAAAATTTCAAAGAATCATATCAAAAAGTCCCTAGATTTCAAGTCATTATGCAAACTCATGATTTTATTCACAGACGGTCATTCAGAATATAAGGAAAAAATCAAGAAAATACTTGCTTTTGAAAACAAGACAGAAACGCCTAATCCTGCTGATGTTCGTACTTGCATCAAGAAATCCCAAAACATTGGTATTTCTATTTTCATTCTCCTTAAATATTTGGACTTTGATTTCAATGAAATTACTCCAGACTATCTTGACTCGGAAGACAAGACTATTAGTCAAATGGATGAAGGAGAAAAGGCATGGCTCAATTACTATGAATCAAGAGTTGGTACCATAGAAGTCATTAGAGATAACCAATTAGAAATCGTTCACTTTAAAATCATCAAACAATGTAGACATTTACAAGAATCTACCAAGGATGAGTTTGTTGAAAGCTGTAACAGAGAATCTCCACAAACCAAGGTGAAATCCCTCTTTGATTGGACTTATCAAATTGCAAGAATTGAAATGATGCACTTGAAGAGTCTTATGGACAATCCAAATAGTTTGAAAGCAAGAGGATGGAAATTTATAGAAAAGAATTGGTACAAGATTAAGGTTGGAGTGTTTTTGATTGCAGTACTCATTAATATTCTGGTCACTGCTACATATACTAAACAGTTTGATTCAATTTCTGGTCCAGTAGTTGTTCCAGGTATTGCCCTACCAGATGGCATACAGTATAGAAATAGTTTTAATTATATGCCTATTGGTATTGTGGTTGAAATATTGGGTCTCATACTATTATTGTTAACCTTTGGATTATTGGGAATACACTTGTACTTCTTCCTAATGTTGAACATTAAGAAGAAATTCAAACTGGAGAAGGATCAATCGTGGGATACATTGCATAAGGATCGTGAATTTTTCAGAAAGTTTGCCCTGTACACTGCTCAAGATCCTTACTTGTGGTGGATTTTAATCTATTTCTGCATGATTTTGATTGGTATATTTGTAACACCTTTGGCATATATTATATTGACATTTGAAATAATCTTCTTATCTCCTGATGGTTTATTGGATATTATTGTTGCCATTGGTCAAAATTATGAAAAGTTATTCTACACTGGTGTCTTGACTGCATTTGCCATGATTGTTCACACCTTCCTCATGTTTTCCTTCAAGTATGATCAGTTTGTTTTCAACAAGGTTATTGTTTGTAAGGAAACATTAACATGCTTCATGTCCATTGTCAATTATGGTCTTCGTGGAGGTGGTTTCTGGGAAGATATTACTGATCCATACCCACTTGATGTCACCCGTATCTTTATTGATTTGTACTTTTCACTCTTGATTATCATTATTTTGGTCAATGTTGTTTTCGGTATTGTGCTTGAAAGTTTCAGTGAAAGAAGAGAAGAGAAACAAGAATTGGATGAGGAAAAGTCAGGTTTCTGCTTTATATGTTCTAATGAAAAGTCCAGATTCGACGTTCGTGCCAATGAAGGTATTACCTTTGAAGGACACATTAAGAAGGAACACAACATGTGGAATTATGTTTACTTTTTAATCTATCTCGAAAAGAAACCAAAAGATGAATATACAGGTATTGAGCAATATGTTGCCGAGTTGGCTCAAAAGCAATATATTACCTTCTTCCCAACTCTGAGATCATACACTTTAGAGAAGGCAGAAAGTGGTGAAAAGGAAGAAAAGGAGGAAAAGAGCGCCAATCTTGAAGAACAAAACATTAATCAATTGAAGGATGCCCTCTTGAGTCATCTCCGTTTCAGTTCATACATGAGTAAGGATGATGAAATTGTTGGTTCCCTCATGGATCACTCTCGTAACCATCATTCCTCTCATTCTCACACTCATCACACAACAGAAGAAACTCTTGATTTCTTATAAATGGATTTTATAATATTTTCCAATTAGCTTATCTAATCTTTTTTTACTATTCCACTTATATTATCGAGGGCAACAATCCTACACAAAGAAAGTATCCAGTAAGGAATAAAAAATCAAATTCCAACTGAAAATCCAAACTATTGTACTAATCATTAACATTTTTTTTTAATTGTAAATTAATAAATTATTGTATTAGAGTGAAACTTGTTCAATAGTAATTTCTTGTTCAGCCTTAACAACAATTGTAAATTTTCCAGCCATCTTGTAAGGTGTTCCCAAGATGAGCAAGTATGAAACTGGTTTATCTCTTCTGCAGGCCAACTCACAATCAAAAGAATGACGAATGGTAAAGAACTCATTTCCATTAGGTGGAAATAGAACACATTGATCTTCAGTGATTGGTTGCAGTACAGATTGTTGCATCCACTTTTTAAACTTGACCAATGAAACTACATAGGGAAAGAATGGTATCTTTCCATTCTCAGATTCCACATAAATATTCACAGCATTTCTAATAAATTGAGAATCTTCACTACCTTGTGGGTGGTTAGGAATTTCCTTACATTGAATAAGGAATTTTGGATTGGTAGAAAAGGTTGATGTTTGCCAATGAGCTCCACATGAGTCCACTCCATTCCACTCACTCTTAATAACCTTTTTACAAAATGCAGCTGCTGATTGAGATCCATCAATTGCCTCAAACTGTAAATGTTTGTAATCTGAACAAACTTGAATAGCAAATGAACCTTCTGTATTAGGATACCAACGACTTGCCACAATGGTATAATCGTGCAATCCTTCTTGTTTCTCCTGTTCGTATTTCTTTGGATTTGGTCTTGGGAGATAAATTTCCACAGCATCACGACTCAATTTCTTCATGTTGGTTTCTCCAACTCTATCAGCTGCATTATCTGGAAAGTCCATTAAGGCATACTTGCCAGATTTTTGTGCCTTTCTATTTCTGAAAACGTATAGACCTAGAGGATTTGGTTTGGTTTGTTTCTTTCGTTTGGCATCCTTTGTCTTTTCATCGTCAACTATACGAATAGAAACAATGATACGAATCATGTTTGATTTAAAATCTGAAATACTTGCTGTATCATCTTGATTCGCTAAAGATGGTGGTAAATCAATGGTCAATCTAAATTGTGGGTTTTGGAAGAAACTCTCCTTGAAATAAATTTGTCCACCTGCATTTTGATAAAGTTCTTGATTCCACTCACATGCTCCTCCTCTCTTATCGAAAATAATGTGTGCATTACTAGCTCTTTCCTTAATCATCTTTTTAATATCCAAATCAACTGGAATTGCTGAAATTTCTCTAATAAATCCATCAGTGATTGGAACACGACAAATGTACAAGTAATTAAATTGTTCAACGTAATCATCAATGCTCATCCAGAAAGAACCATCATCACTATTAACCTGATTGAGTTTTTTAGCCAATGCATCAGTCCATCCTTCCCAATCATCAGCGAATTTACCTTTCCACTCAGTTTTACCCCATGTATTTCTCAATTTGACAAGTTGATATGGAATATTTTCAGGACTTTCCTCTTTTGAAACATAACGAACATCTAGAATTGAATAGGCATGTTTTGGAACTATACCATTATCATTAGGAACAAGATAATTCTCAAAATCAAAATCATTATCACTAGCAGTTGAAGTTGCCATCAAATGTCTATTCTTTTTCCATTCCAACATGTTATTAAATAGGTCAGTATTTGATTTTTTACCGTTCATGTATGGAGCTAATTCGATAGCATCTGACCAACCACCAGTTAAATGTTCAAATGCTTCACGAATTGAATGAGCACCTTCAATATCTTCATATGATCCATGTAATTTAGCATATGCCTTTTCCAATAAAATTACCCATAATTCTTCCAAATCAGTTGATCTTACAAAAAGTGGTGCATAATTACTTCTTGATTTTTGTTCAATCTTTGAAGAGACAACCACTGGAACATAATCATCAATAATGACCTCTTGCCAAATACCATTATAAAACATTTTAATCTGATAGATACCATATTCATTATAGGCAGATGGAATAAACAAGGATTTGATTAATTTTGGATGCAATGCTGCAACTGCAATAGCTCCCAAAAAGTAACAATCACCAATTTTACCTTGTCTGATATCTGCTGGTTCAACACCTGCTAGGAAAAGTTCTGGTCTCAGAGATCCTTTACAGAATTCTTTAGGTCTCATCCAATCTGTGCGTTTGAAATTATGAAGAATTTTAAGAATTTTAAAGTGTGTGTATGTGTGAAAAACTTACTAATGGAAGAAGGGTCAATTCCCTTACTTGATAAAAAGGTTTCATTATGACAAATGGATGTAGTGGTGGCAGGGAAATCCCTATCAATGTACATGTTCTTTGTTTCAATACATTTCTTCATCAAGAAACCAAAAGTTGTTTGTGGAATGTACATCATGTTACAGTCAACTGTTCCTTTAGTATCTAATCCAATAGATAATTCTGTTTGAACACATGGTGTTAATAGTTTAATATTAAATGCACATCCTCCCAATAAACTTGTTGTTTTAAATTTATATTTTTAAATATTTTAAATTATTTAAATTGTTTTGTAAAATTTCCAAAATTAGAAAATTCAACCAAAGTAAATAAAAACCTACTCATTCTTTGAAAGTCTATCATAATCATAAACCTCAAACTCTACAAAAGTTCCATTAAATTCAATCACATCAAAGAAAAAGAATGAATTCCAATGTGGATTCAATTCTTTCTTAATTACTTCAGTTTTTTGATATTGTTCCTCTGATTCACTGAGACCTGTGTTTTTAATCTTGATACTACAGAATGGATCTAAATGTCATCCATCAAATTTTCATCATCAATTAAAATTCATCAATTTTTTTCATCACAACATACCTGACAATCCGTTAGCATCAGCCGATGGTAAATTACTTGCTCCTATCAAATGTAACAATAGATATCCTTCACTTTCTCTTCGTTGTTTAGTTTCTTTCACTTCTTGAGTTTTTTCTGTTTTGTCTTGAATTAAATTGTGAAATGATCTAGTAATGGACTGATTACCAATGTTTTCAGAGGAGGAAGACGATTCTTCAGTAGAATTGGATGCTCCCTTCTTTCTGAAAGAGTTCTTTAGTTTCGTTAGCATTTTTTTTCTAGAAAGTTGACGATTTCAAAATGACATTTTAATGATTTTTGATGGAAATGTTTTATTGGATATTTATTTCAATTCTTCTCCTGTTTTCTTTAATTTGTTTCTTGCATTCAATACAGATTGTAAGTCAATTCCACCCATTCCTTGTTGTTGTTTTGATTTTCCAATAACCTTATCGAGATTAACCTTTTTTTCTTCTTTTTCTTCAACAGTTGAGGATGCAGATGGTAAAATAGATGATTGAGGAGGAGGTAATCTAAAGATTGGATTGGTGAGTCCAAATTTCTTTTCATTTTTAGATGCTTGTTCTAATTTTTCAAAATCGTCTTGTTTAGGTAGCTCTATTAAATTTTCATTGGATTCTTGGACGTTATTGAGTAATTGTTTGACATTGGCACGTGTACGTTCTTTACGAGGTTGAGCCAGTTTAGCCTTCTTGAATTTGTCCATAGTATTAGGAGATTCATGCAATTTTTGAGTTTGTCCCAATTGAGTAGATGAACTTTCAACCACTGGCCCATTTGATTCAACTTTAGGTTTCAAATTCAATTTTTGTTTCATTCTCTCAGCAATCTGACTGAAATTACTACTATTTCTTGGTGATAACAAAGCAGTACCACGTGGACTTGTCACTCCATCAAGTGCTGAAGTATTTCGAGGTGAATTCATTGAATCCCTTGGAGATTGAACATTTTTCATGATATTTACAAAGGAACCTGAACGTCTAGCTGAGAGAGAACCACTGTCACGTGAAGAATCTCTGGCAGATGAAAGAGTTTCAGCAGAAGTTGCATTATCAGTGGAAGGTGGAATATTGGAAAGTTGTGAGAGATTGAGTTTGGAAATTTTAACACCACCACTCACATTGGCAGCATTAGTAGAAGATTCTGATGGTGTGATAGTTAATTTGGTATCTTCTTTTGGTGGAATTGTTTCTTTTGGAATAATTGGTTTAGAAATTTCTGGTTGACTAGTTGGAATATTATTTGAAGGCTTTTCAACTGGTTTCTTAGAAATAGATTCAGTGGCAACTACAGTAGAAGGTTTTACAATGGTTGGTTGTTCCTTTTCAATAGTAGAAGATGTTGTACTAGTTGAGGCCAATTTGGAAACTTGTTTTGGTTGAGCAGGTTGACTAGTTGCTGAAGGTTGTTCAATTGGTTTCTTGACAATAACTGGCTTCTTTTCAACAATAGGTTGTTGTTGTGGTTGTTCCTTATTATTTTCGAATAATTTAGCCTTTTCTTTAACAGAAGATGAGGAGGAAATATTCGAAACTACTTGGCTTGTCTTTGGTTGAGAATGTTCAGTACTACCACCAACAGGAACAATACTAGTCAATTTAGATTTAACAAATTCATCCAATGAAATTGCTTTTTGTAAATAATGTTGAATTTGTGGTAAATGAACTAATTGTAATAAACTAGTTCCAAATAAAATAATCAACTTTCCTTTCAATTCCTGACCACCAGATGCCAAAGGTAACAATATAATTACAATAGAAAATAAAGTCATTACATAGGCAATCAAAGAATTAAAATCAAATTTGTACAAATCATGAGCAATTTGTCTAATTTCAGAATTAATTCTAATTGGAATGAAAAATTGAGCTAATTTGACAAGTAATTGAGTATGTGAATAGTAGATGGTATAGGAAAGTGTCTTGACAAGTCCAAAGGCAGTAATAATATACATGATTGCTAATAGGATTTTGTAGAAATTTCCACTTGATTCAATTAATAAAAGTGAAATGAATAAACTGTCAATAACAAGATTGGACACAATTGAATATATAGTTAATGAGGATGATGTTGATGAGGATGACGCTACACTAACAATAGGAGATGGTTTCTTATAATATAATCCTCCAACTTTTCATATATTAAAAACAAATATATATTGATAATAGATTGTAAAATGTTAATATTTTGATGATTATATATATTGTTATAAAATGTTAATATATATTTAAACTGTTTTAATAATGATAGATTAATACACATACCAATTAATAAACTAATAGCCAATAATAATACAATAGGTAAATCCAATAATATACTCGATAGAATATTTTCCAATATTAACAATAGAAAATAGGGTGATAGAATGGTGAGTAGAGTTTCATCGGTCACAAAAGTTTGTTTGTGTTTTTCCATTACTTGATTATATCCACTCACAAAGGAATAATGTTTGTAATAACTGATTCCAATGTGGAGAGAGAAGAGGAGTGTGGATGTGATCATTTTTTTGATTCTTATTGGTTTTCAGTCTTGTTTTTTGCTTGATGAAGAGTCAAAAAGTCACACATCAATCATGAAACAGTTGATTTTTTGTTATCCGATTTATGGAGGAAGCAGTGATTGATATTTATTAAAAATGTAATTATTACAATCTTTTCTATTTTATTTACAAATTACTTAGAGTCTTAGTCTTTTTTTCTACCATTACTTCTGCCAGCATCCTTAGTAATACTATCGAAATTAGGAATTCCACCTTGCATGCCAAACATTTGCAAAGGCAAGCAACCCATATTTGCATCACTAGGAAGGTAAACAACTTGAGAAACACTCTTCATGGCTTGAACAACCATGTCGTGGTGTTTTGTCAAGAGAGCTTCTTGTTTACCAAATTCAGTTGAACTCAAATATTCAGCTCTCTTCTTTTCAGCAAGAGCCTTAATTTCAATAGCTTTGGCTTCAGCTTCTGCTTCAATAGTGAGAGCTTCAGCTCTGGCCTTGGCAAGTGTCTTGATTTCAATGGCCTTAGTTTCAGCTTCAATAATGGTAGCATTATTCTTGGCTTCAGTTTCAGTCTTTAATTTGAAAGCTTCAGCAGTAGCCTTGATAGAGTTGATAGAATTCAATCTTTCTTGACCAGCCAATTCAATTTCTCTTTGAGCTTCCAAGTTGGCCAATTTGGTACTGGTTTCAGCAGTAATGATGGCTTGTTTGGAAATGTTTGTTGCCAATTCTTGATTTATAATTTGGAAATCTTCAATACGGATATTATCAATTTCAATACCATAACTCTTCTTGAAGGTGTCATGGAGTTTTGAAATGAATTCATCGTGAAGGTTTTCAAAGAATTGTGGAGCTGATGGATTTGAAGAAACATTAGGATCACTGTGATCACTTGTTTGAGTATTTTGTTCTTTAAGTTCAGAGGCTGGAATGGTCTTGTTTTGAGCCAATTGATTCAATGCAGTAGATCTAACAATGGCTTGCAAAGCAGCAATACTTTGATCCTTAATTAATTTGATGGTTTGAGCTTCATTACCAACTGAGAAGATATAAGAACTGTTTTCAAAAATACTACTACTTACCAATAGTTAAAGTCAATTTTGGATCAGAAATTCTAAATGAAACAGCAGCTCTAATACCAACTTCAACAAAGTCACGAGTGTCACATCTCAAGAAGGTTTCCTTGGAAACATCTTCAATCAAAGGAATGGACATTAATCTAGTTGACATGTATGATTCGAATGTACGATCCAATTCATTAGTGAAAACAAAGGTACCTGGATTAAGAATATCCAGTTTACCTCGTTTGTAAGTAACACAAACTTCACCTTCATTAACAATAATTCTCATTGATGAACCCAAAATAATAGTCTTGGTTTTCACAGGTACACACTTTTCGAATAAAAAGTCAGTACTGTTAACTTCATAAACTTGAGGTTCTGGATTGAAAAGTGTTAAAATCATCATAACAATCAAGAAAAACTACTCACCAGAAATAAAGACAGGGACACTCTTGTACCAACAGAGAGCCAACTCACCCAAAGTAACTCTAAATCTAGTAATTGGAGGATGTCTAATTACTGAGTCTGTAATATCCTTCATTCCATTATAAGTAACATTTTGATCATTGAAAATATACAATCCTTCTTGCAATAATGAAGGCTTGGTTCCAACAGTGACTAAACCAATAGAACTCTTTGGAATTCTGATAATTTGAATGGTAGAGTGCTTGATATGAGTTTCGTTAATTGAAACTAAACCATGATAACTGAAGAGAGCACTATCAACGACATAATTACCTGCCTTCAACAATTTAGGAATGTTATTCTCAATAACCTTACCATAGTACCCTTGAGGAATTCTCAAAATATTAATGGTACCATGTTCAATTCTTTCTTGGTTAATTTCCTTAGCTTCCTTAAAAGAGAATAATCTGGTATTTCTAACGTGCAAACCCTCTCCGAGAATTAAAGGTTGTCCGTTCAAATTAGCCAAGCCATAATAACCCTTTCTTATACGAATAATTTTCAAAGTTTCGTGAACAATAACATCATTTTCCAAATTGTAGGTGTCACTCCAGTGAGCTCTTGGATTAATTCTCATGTATCTTCCTGTTATTATTTCAATGTAAATTATAATGGTAGAAATGATCATCACAACATGATATTGGAAGAATATCCAAAAGTATGTGTTAAAAATTTCATCACAACCACAATAAAACTTACCTGGTCCACAAACTTCAACACGACCATTGTGCATAACAACTCTAATAGTACCTTGATCAATGACTGTTGTTCCGAGAGCTGATCTGAGCATAGAAACACCATTTTCATTGACAGCATTGCAAATCTTTTCAACAACGGTATCATTACTTCCTTCAACATTAGGTTTAACAAGAATAGCATCAACAGTAATGCCAAACTCCAATCTATCAGTGATAACATTGGAAGCATCCTTGTAAAGGGCTGATTCTATAGCATTTTCATTATGGAGTGATGAAACAATTTCCTGAAAATTAACGTGCTCAGTACCACTGATAGAGGATGAAGCAGATGTACCTGAAGTCATTCCTTGTTGTGGAAGCATTAAATGTCTAGAGTGCTATGGGATAATCAAAGATTCAGCAACGAACTTGTTTGTGCAAGCTAATTTGGCGATGATGATATTTTTTTCAAAGTGTTTTTTAGTTCATCCAATCGACAAGTTTTTCATTACCTGGGTAACAGCAGGTGTGTTCATTAAAGGTTGGTGCCCAATGGTTGTTGGTATCGATCCTTCTAGTTACCTTCTATTATTTCTTTGGTAAGATTCCATCAAGACTATTATTAATAGTGGGTACTTGGCGACGAAGTAAGAACATTAACTACTGAACATTTTGATTACAATTACAGAACTTAAGTAAAACCCTTAATTGTATGACTTTGTTGCGCCAATCATATTTGTAAATAAGAGAGGAAATTCCTTGATAATACCAAAAAGCAAACAAACTCAGTGGTGAACCTTGCAAGTCATCTTTAATCAAAAAACATGTTTCAAGCTTATAACCAGAAATTTGATATGTTGTTTAACGAATTTAAATAAAAAAAAGAAAAAAAGTAAACGCAGCAATTTCCTAACTGTTGCTTTGCAATTTTTCGATTTTTTCATCAACTTTCCTTGTACATTAATATAATATTAATTTAAATTATGTTTATCAATAATAATAACAACAGTCTGAATCCATTAACAACAACAACCACATCACGTCAACAAACAAGCACAGGAAATAACACCACTCCGATAAATAGTAGTAATAACAACAACAACAGTAATCCGGTAATATCAGATTTTGAATGTCCACTCTGTTTAAATTTATTATACGAACCTGTAGGATTCCACTGTGGTCACACCTTTTGTAAATTTTGCATTGAAAGATTATTAGCTAGTAATGGTTCTATGAATGCATGTCCCTGTTGTAGAGCCCCATTCAGTGATGGTAATAATTCACTGATTACGTTAAAGAATATTCGTCCTCTTTTAACACTTCGGAATGTACTACCCATGCTTTTTAAAGAACAATACGAGATGAGAAGATTGGAAGTGGAGAAGGAGAGAAGAGAATATGTACAGACACAAACAATTCGTAAGTCATTCTTTATTGGAAACGAGCATACGGTAATATCTAGGTCGGATCAAAACATTCACAAGTGGACCATGTTTGTCAGAATGGACAGTCGAGAGAATGTTTCGGATTTCATTCATAGTGTAGAATATAGACTTCATCCAACATTTAAACCCAATGTAGTTGTTGTGGATAAAGCACCATTTGAGTTGACAAGATTTGGTTGGGGATATTTCACAGTCAAGGTAAAGATTACTTTCCAAAGTTATTTAAACAAACCAGCATTTGCCACCAATCATACTTTATCATTTGATGGTAATGGCTTAATGTCTCAGGTTGAAATTGATTTTTTAGTTAAAAGAGAGCAACAATCAGAGATATATATTGACATTATTAATTCACCCACCAGTGAAGAAGACATGTCTGGTGAGGGAATGAGTTCAAATAACATGTTTGATGATGATGAGGACGTTCTCTAGTAAAATTGTTAACGAATTACAACAATGACCTATTATATTGTTAATTGTCCATGTAATTTATTCTCATTATAATATTATTTGTAAAGATTCAAACCCTTATTCCTTATTGCGAATTTTTGAGCTTTTTAGAACATGCTACAAATTTGTACTTCCCTACCCAAATGGCAAATAGCATAAAAAAATGAGCCAAGCAACAAGTCAGCAATTCAATAATATTGCACCATCGCCAGCATCAGAATCAGAATCGGCATCATCATTGCTGAGGAATGTCATGGAACCATCTGATGGTCAGAATGTAGAAGCTTCCACCAATGATAACTTAACAACTCTACCAATAAGCGGAGGGGAAGAAACCCTTACCAATGATACTTGTTCAAATGTAAACTATCAACCACCACCACCAACAACAACAATCACATCAACAATTCAATCAAAAGATAACAACACTCTTGAGAATATACCACCATCGATACAAATGAATATTAATAAGACTAATAATAATATCATGCTGATGAGTGCAAGTAATAATAACAATCAATCGGTGATACTTTCAATGCTGAATAGAAATAATACATCCTCCATCAATCAGAATGGAGAGGATAACAATAATTTACAACAAACAATCATAACCACCACCACTAGTACATCATCACCATCATTGAATAATAATTATTCCCTCCTTCCATCTTCTAATAATATGATATCCATTCAACAACAACAATCAAAGACAACATTGATGTCATCCAATAATAATAACAATGGAATGAATACAACTCTAGTGTTCCATAATTTCAACAAACAAGGAGGAAATGATTCTCAACAAGTCTTTGAACCACAACATCAACAACGAATTCAACAACAATCAATTGGTAATAACACTATTACAACTACTACCATTTCGGAACAGGTAATGATAAATAATCAACCACTGGTTTTTGTTGAACAAGTCAATCAATCGTCTCCCATGCAACCAGGTCAATCCAAGAAGAAGAACAACAAACCAAAAGAATCAAACATTCCAAACAATTTTACATTTCATAATTTTGCAAATCCACAACCACAACAACCAATTCAATCTTCTCCACCAATGATGTCAACAATTAATTTATCAGAACAGCAAACAGTGCAACAACCAAATGTAACATCACTGAAAAAAACAAACAATACTAAATTTACAAACTATCAACCTTCCACTAATCAGTCACAAACAATTCAATTTTCAAATTATGAACCAATTAAGGCACAACCGTCCACTCAAATTGTAAATAATAATAATCAAACTAATGCTACTAAGAATATTACTCATCAATTCCACGTTTCTCAACCTCCTTTAGGTCAATTCAAAATTACTGACTATTCCAATAATTATGCACAACCATTATCACACATTGATTACATGCCATCCAATCAAATAATGATGAAGAATAGCGATTCACCAAATCCAAAAAAGAGAAACAGCACAGGAAATAATGTAGAAGGTTCAGCTGCCAAGGTTAGCAAATCATCTAAATCTATTGTAACTAGCAATTTCCCAACCTTTACAAATTCTGATTTTGAAGGTTGTGTTCCAAGTAATACTCTATCAATTCAACAACAACAATCGAATAGTCAGCAATCATCACTTTCCAATAAGAATGTCTCAGCAGCAACAGGTACCACTGCTAACAATGTTGCAAATTCAACACAACAGGAAAGAAAACCTGCAACAACAATACAGATTGTTAGTGGTACTGCTCCTCCTGTTTGGACGAACAATAATTCACAACCCATTCAAATTGTTGCAAACTATCCATCCGTTAATTCTGCTGAACAATCTCCTAAGAAATCAAACATGCATTCGGCTAGTATTTCTTCCTCTTCTTGGACTTTCCACTCATTTGACCAGACAGAACAACCTATTAAGGATCAATCAACAGGTTTGACTTTTCATTCTTTCAATCCCAAAAAGAAATAAACCAACAGTTCTGTAATGAAATAACAACCAAATGAATTGAAATGTCAAGGAATGAACAAAGATTGAAACAATAGATTTGCAATGCAGTTTTTTATTCAAGATATTTACAAATTAGAAGGAGTATCGAAAATTGATTCATTCTCCACATAGATTGGTTGTTTTTGTTTTGGTTCTTGCAAGGTAGTCAATGGTACATCAGTCATTTGCTTACTCTCAACATTTCCAATTGTAGTTGGAGTATCAAATTCCAATAATGGTTTTGCTTGAGTGCTGACAGATTCTTCAATTGTTTCAGTAAGTGGAGGTAAATCTAAATGTTGATTCAGACCCATTCCCATATTATCCATAATCTTATCGAATGCTCCAGCAATTGGATGCAAGATTTTACTACCAAACTTCATTGGGCTCATTGGATGAGGATGAGTTGGAGCTGATGTTCGTCCATTCTTGAGATTGTCACACATTTCTTTCAGCTCTTGAGATGTGAGTGCTAATTTCAAGAGTGGAAAGACATCATCCTCCTCTTGTTTCAAGTGATCAGTTTCAATGGTGATGAATTTCTCAACTACCTTATTGAACATGTTTCTTTCATTATCATTCTTCAATTCATTGACATTGTCCATTAGGAATTGAAGCATTTCCTTATTCAATTGGTCATCGAGATAGTTTCTATCTGATAATAGTTTACCATATCTACCACGAACTTTCTCCTCAATTAATGGATAGACATATCTTTCCTCAATACTTGCATGGATACAGATTTCACTGATAAACTTTTCAACGATAGCATTTCGTTCGTGCTGTATGTGAGAGTTATGCCATGAATCGAATAATTGTCTGATAAGTTGATGTTCTTGCTTCAACCATTCAATACCGTCTGTGATACTTAATGAAGATTCTACCATTGTTTTTTGTTTTGGCTTTTTTGTTTGGAAATTTTCTCGTTGTGATAATCTACATGGATAGAATCCAAGATAACAGTACCTCTTTTGGTTTGTTATTATTATGGAAATGCTACATGTTTATTATTAAATATCAAATTGTTTGGCGTATTCTTGATTGAGGAAATTGATTATTTTGTTCACATCTTCCAACGGAATAACTTCCTTCAACTTTCGAATACATTCATTGTAAATGAATACAACTTCATTAGGTGATTGATGTTGATAAGCAAAACATAACAATTGGAATGCATTTTCAAATGAAATTCTTCTCTTGATTGAGTCCATAATCAATACTTCCATATATGTATCACTCAATAAATTACTGACCAAATATAATTGAATGAGTTGTGAAACTACAGCTTCTCCTTCAGAGCTAAAAATATGAACTGGTGCCTGATAGAGAGTGGCAATATATCTTTCAATAATTGGAAAATAGCTAGTGTCGAGGAATGGGAAAATTGAATTATCAATTTCAATAATGTAATTTTGAGAATCTTGACCGTGCAGTTTGTGTTTGATATACAAGTCTCTTAAACATCCATGGAAAAAATCATTATTTACAAGAATTTGCAAAGGAAGTTGAATATCAATATTGGTGTTTTCTGCATTTTCACCTTGAGTAATTAGACGAACAGTAGAATTGAAATATTGATGCAATTCAGGGAATTCTCCCATGTACACTCTCTTGAAGAATAAAAGTAATTGAATTTCTGGCAAGTAGGATTCATAATCCGATCTTTGGAGATAAACCTTTCCATGAGTATATTTGACAATTGATCCCATAGAGTGTTTCTCACAATATTTGGTCAGGATTTGGACTTCTTCTGGATTGCTAAAAACTGGTGGTTCAATACCATAAATGTAGTCAATGACATTACTGATTGTATCAACTGAAGCATCAGAAATTGGTATCTCAACAATGCCTCCAACTTGATGAGAGGAGTGTTCTTTGATGAGCTTTCTAAAATATTCAAATCTGGAGAGCATAAATTTGTGAACAAGGAACGTCTTTTCATTGAGTACGTTAACTCTCAAATCATATCCGATAGGTCCATACTCTCCCAAATTGTCTAGCATTCTTCTGTAAAACTCCTTTCCAAATTCTTTCTTTTGTTCAGCATTCTGTAATTTTTCAATAGTTTCAGAGTACTGACCCAAATTGCAAACCCAAATCTTGTCATTCTTTGTATTGGTGGTCATCTTTTCGCCAACATTATTGAATTGACCACCAACAAAGATAAAGCATGAAGGAGAAACACTGCATGTGGTATGATGTGAAATGTCATTAAAATCAAGTTCTGCTTCTTGATTTTTAACAGTAAAATCGGTAATTAAATTTCTGGCTACCATTCCATTGAGAATTGGTGCATCAATGCTGGATTTTGGTGCTATACTTCCCAAAACACTCATGAAGAATGATTTTGAAGTCTTTCCAGAGACGACTTTCATTTCATCATATCTGGCTTTTCTGTTTCCACCAATAACCAAGGCCTTTTCACCTCGTGTAATAATGCACGTATGTTTCATTCGAGGATAGACATTAATACGATGCGAACTCATAATAATATCGACGTTCAAAGTACCAAGATTGATAGAAAACATGTCATTGTAATAATCCTGTTCATTATTACCTCCAAATATAATCATAACATCTTGAGTTCCATCCTCAACAGTTTCTGCATTGTTCAAAGTGTGAAATTGAACAAATCTTGAATTTTGAGCATTGTACAAAACAGCAGAATGATTAGCACGAGGCCTTAAACAGAGTGGATCAATAGAGGAAGTGCTTGTCAGGGAGAGTGCACTACCAGTCTTGGCTATTAATTCAATCTTTTTCCATTTTTTTTCAGGGAATAGATATTCGAATGGTTCAAAAATAGTTCTGTTTAGTGTATCAACACCTCCCAAAATTACAAGACTGTCCTTACTAGGTCTATATATCATTGAATGTCCATGTCTACGAGTAGGCCACAATTGACCAGATTGTTCAACTATTTGTTTCCACTCTCTAGTATGAATATCAAATTCATATAAATCTCCAAGTGCTTTAAATTGACTATCTTGTCCACCAAATAAAACCAAACTTCCATCAATATGTTCATCATTAGGTGGTCTATAAACCATTTGATGATGAGATCGAGCAGATGGCCAACAACCATCCCTCTTCTCACAAGTGATAAATTCTGTAATGGTCAACATTGAATTATTGGCAACTTTTGTTTCCAATAATAAATCTTGAACTTCCTTCTCATCATAGGCAACCATCTTTTCAATACGACACTCAAACATTCCGTCACTTCTTTTGTTATTTATCTGACCACCAAATAGAAAGAGAGAGAAGGGAATATCTTCATTCTTATTACTGAACGGATCCACAATAGTTGATGCCATTGCATGACTAACAATAGATTTAAATGGAACATTTATTGTTGGTGTATTGCCACTCTCTGATTTCTGACCAATAAATCGAATGGGTTCCACAGATGGTTGAAGTGCTGACATTTTTAATTGTTGTGTTTTGTCTGTTGACGAACATGCCAGTATGCATAGATCCAAGTTCATTGCCCATCAAATTCTTCATCAATTCATCAATGATCCATTATCTCACAGTGTTCTCACATGATGAAAAATTGTAATTCAAATTCTCTTCTTCTAGAGTTCCTCTTCGGGATGATAAACAGTGTTATCATAATCGGCAGTGATTGCTTTTACCTTGATTTCATTTCCATCACTGTCTACGTTAGCAAAAAAAGTATTAAATAATAAAGCACCCAATCCAATGATACCAACACCCAATACAAGTGTAAACTATTTTTAATATAATACATATTTAATTTGTATAATATTTGCATTAATTTTGAAATTAAATATTAAAATATATATTATTGAAAAATACAAACAATATTATCTGGAGAGGTAATATCCTTCTTTTTCATATTGTCTACTTCTTCCCTCTCCGAACGTTTCCACTTCTCTTGCCATTTAGACATTTTTCTTATTTAATTAATAAAAAATGAAACTCTTCATAAACGGCTATAAATTTGAAAATTTAAAGATTAAACAAGAAACCTCCATCAAAGGATGTTATCTCTAACTGAATTTTCAACCGTTTTATTACAGATTTCAAGTATTTTAGAATAAAAGAAAGAAACTGATTATGATTGATAGTAGTTTAAATACAATATTAATATAATAATAATAATTTTAAATCATAATAATGAGAGCCAATACTTCGGGAGGAACCATCGATCATTACATTTTAATTTCGTTTAAAGGAGGAGAGGATTCTAAATTGGAGAGTAGTAAATTGTTTTTTTATTTATCGGAGCAGAAAACAAAGCTCTTATTGGTCATTGATGCCTTGGATGCCATCTTACATCTAATTGGAAATGTAGAGAATTTACAAATTATTCAGTATTGTTTGATGGCATTATGTAATTTGGCGAAGGAGAAGGAATATACTCAGAAATTGGTTAAGGAAAAACAATGTTTCAAAGTGTTGGCACCAATTATTTCATCAATGAATGTTCCATGTCAGATAGTGGCAGTTAGATGTGCTGGATTATTAGCTCAACATCCTTGTAGCAGTGGAAGATTTGTTTCTGATGGAGCTCTCCTTCCAATAATGTGTCTCCTTAAAAAGGAACAAAATATTGAACTATTGCAAGAAGTTTTTAAAACTCTTGCCATGTCTGATTTGAGAGGAGATTGTGCTTCGAGAGTGATTGAAGTTTGGGGATTGGAACTATTGGGGGATGTATTGAGGAAACATATAGAAGGATACAGAGAAGTAGATATTACAATGGTTGATTTGATAGCTAAAGTATTTGGTAATTTTACAAAATTTGAGAAAATTGCTGTGAGTATGATGCATGCAGAAAAATTAGAATTGGTCAATATGTTGAGATCACTCATGAACACCTCCATTACTCATGTGGAGACGAAAAGATCAGCTGCCAATACTTGTTTCAATTTAATTAATAATCAGTACACGATTGATCCATTTCTGGACAACCATCAAATGATAGTATTTTTGATGAACAGATATCAAGAACGTGACTATTTAACCAAACACTGTATTGCCAAGACATTTGATTGTATAGTGAGAGAATCCAAACAACACAAGATTATAGCTCTTATTGATAGATATCAAAACTTGGAATTTGTAGAATGGATTTTGAGATCAAATTCATGCGAGCTCATTCAAGTTGTTGTTCTCAGATCATTTGTAAAGAAGGATTGGATCTATGAAAAGTCTCACCTCTTCTCCACAACTTTTGTACCATCTCTATTGACAACTATCAAGGAAACAATCTCAAGGGATGTGAGACGAGTTTGCGACGAAGTAGTGTACCACATGTCAGCCATAGAAAGATTCCAGAAGGAAATTATTGATGCAGGTGGTGGCGATATACTTTCCCCACAATTAGCTTTCAAAGATAGAACTTCAAAATATTGGGGAGTGAAAACCCTTGCCAGAATGTTAAGAAATAAGGAATATGCCACAATTTTTGTGAAACAGTATGGGATTGTAAAGGCAGCAGTGAATTGTTTCATAACAACATCACATACTGACATTGATGAATACGATGTGTTTATGGGGGTTTTACATATTCTATCAGACATTTCTGATACACAAGAGTTTAGATTATATTTCATGCATTCTGGAGCCATTAACAAAATGTTGGATATTCTAGAAAGTCAAAATCATGATCAGAAAAAGATAATTCTCTGCCTAAATATTGTTATATCCTATGTAAATAGTGGTAAGTTGTTGTTATTTGGAAAATATTTATGATAACAATACAATTGCAGCCAATAAGGGAAGCTCTGGTAATGCTAATTTGAAAATTTTGTCAGAAAAAAAGCTACAACGAATTATTGAAAGTATCACCTCTACTAATTTCAGTCTTTCTGGAAAGGTAGTTGCACTTATTGCTGCTTATGCACAACATTGTAAGTTGACTCATATAGTGTTTAGATAATTAAGTATTTTAATGTAATAGCCAACTCACCAATATTTGATTTTTGGAACATTTTGTACAGTAAGGCACTCAATGTTATCAGATGTAATGAAGATTACAACAGCTATCTGTATCAGCGTATAAGTTGTTTCCAAATGTTGACAAATATTCTCTCCAAAGACCACATTTGGAGTAATTTAGATTTGGAAATGGTAGCAGAACATTATATTTTAATTTTTTGTAATAGTAACTTGTTGAGCCATTTGAAATCAGTTTCTGCCAAAGGATTACTAGAATTTTGTAAATATTCTCCAGATGTAATGGAGGAATTGTTGATTAGACATGAACGATCCATTGTTAGTGGTCACAAACATTTGGATTTTGGAAATAATATTTGCTTTTCGAATATTCAATCCTTTTCCCAATTTATCAGAATTTTCCTTCAATTTTTCGAGAAGGAAAGGAAGAAGAAAATGAGGAAATATCTACTCTTTTCAAAAATTCAAAGATTTCTACTATTCCTCCTTTCATTTGTGCGAGAAAAGAAGGAAAATCACGATCTGGTGGATTGCTTAATCACCCAAGTTTCTGATCACAATCTTAGCTTCAAAATCAAGTCAGGCAACCGTCCAACACGAAACTATGTCCCCCTACGTCACAAACATTTCTATAGCGGGTATTTGGACGGCTTGATTGGAGGTATTCCTCATCAGCCAAGTAGTGTCGATACTCAACACAGATTAAGAGAATTTCTCACTGCCAAACAGGATGAAGGAATAACCAATCATATACTATACAAAAAAGAAAGTGAATCATTTGTTAAACCTGTAGGCGGAGATGGACTCTTCTCAAATACAGTAATTTACAATAAGAAAACTCATTTCAAAATGAAAAATGAAAAGAAGGAAATGACTCTGTTAGAGAAATGGGAAAATGAATTCCACGACGAGTCACCAAGATCTGGTTTGTCAGCTTCAGAAAAAAGTTTCAGTTTTTCTGTAAAACCAAAGCTATTATCTGAGTCATTTATTAAGAAAGTTTTAATAGATAAGAAGAGAAAGGAAATTAAAGATATTGATCCAGATGTTGAGAGGAAAATTCTTAAAAAGAGTGAGGAATTGAATATTATCAAACAGGGAACTGTCTCTCCAAGATCTTTACACAAAATTAATTCCAAACTGAACACAAGTAATGCCAGTCACAAACAATTAAAATGATAAATTATTTAATTCAAAATTTCTTTCAAAAGTTGAACAAAATCATAAACTTCAACAAATTGATTATAGAGAGGTGTTGGAGATACTCTGATAATATCTGGCTCTCTAATGTCAATAATGACTCCTCTCTTCTTGAGTTCAGAATCAACATAGTCCAAATTCTTGTGCAAAACTCTAATAGATAATTGACAACCTCTAGCATTTGGATTTGATGGTGTGAGGATAAAGATCTTGTCACTCAACTCTTGTCTAATGAGCAATTCTAAATAAGTAGTTAACAAATTAGATTTGCTTCTCAAAACGCTCATTATTTGGCCATCTTTTTCAGCCATTTCAAAAACTCTCAAACTCGAAAGAATAGCAGTCATACTTAAAATGCAAGGATTCGACATTTGGAATCCAGCTGCACCTGGTTGAGGTTCAAACTTGGTCGAAAGTGAAAAACGAGTTGCCTTTTCTCTTGCCCACCAACCCATAAATCTTGGTCTTTGTTCCATAGTTTCATTTGAATGTTTTTCATGTACAAAAATTCCACTAATTCCACCTGGTCCACTATTCAAATACTTGTAAGAACACCAACATGCAAAATCAACTCCCCAATCATGAAGTCTCAAATCAATATTACCAGCAGCATGTGCCAAATCAAATCCACAAACAATATCCAACTCTTGACAAGTTTGTGCAATAGTTTTCATATCAAAACATTGACCAGTCATGAATTGAACTCCTCCAACAAGTGAAAGTGCAATAGAGGAATCACTCTTTAAACATTCCACAATATCTTCAGATCTAATAATTTCTTCTCCTTCTCTTGGACCAACAAGAGTGATACACTTTTCAACAATTTCATCACTTGACAAATGACTTCCCAACATACTTCTCAATTCTTCAATTCTGCATCTGACATGAGAGGTCACAGCATGCATATCACTTGGGAATGGATATTGTTCAACTAAAATCTTGTATTTTTGTGCAGTTGGTCTATAGAAAGAAGTGAGTAAAACTTGTAAATTAGCAGTTAAACTATTCATAACAGTAACTTCAATTGGTTTAGCTCCAACAACCTTAGCCATTGCATTCTTCACAGATTCTTCAACTTCAAACCATTTGTTAGTTCCAAACGATGCACTGAAATGTCCTTCAACACCAATATGTGCCCACTTTTGTAATTCCTTTTCAATATTCTTTGAAAGGCACTTTGGTTGAAGTCCAAGTGAATTACCACAGAAATAAATAATTTTCTTTTCCACACATTCATCAGAGGAGTTTTCATCAACTTGACAAATTAATTCCTTTGGAATCATATCTGGATAGTTGAATTCATTTCTCATGTGAGCAAGAGTATCGGATTGATCCAATTCTTCTGCTAATTTTCTATCATTTAATTTTGTGGAGAGGAAATTAATAACTTGTTCATTGGTGGATTGTTCTCTGGCAAAATATTCACATGTTGGCAAACCAGTGTGTCCTTTAAATACTTGAAACTTGTAATTTTCTAATTGGGGTGATGACATTTTTTTATTCTAAAGTGAAAACGACAATAGAATAATCATCTGCAAAGCAATATTATCAAGCTGTAAATTTTAATACTGATTTCAGATTTTCAATTTGAAAATAATTAAATAATATTACATCTTGCAATTTTTCATCAATTTAATATGTAAAGTTGTAGTGAAGGTATTTTTTGGACTCGTCACTTTAACTTTTTAACTTCTTCCCTGAACCCTTAGTGATTTGAAAATTATATTTTAAATGTGTGTGTCAACTCATCATATAAACCACATTGTAAAATCTCTATTACATATTATAATGATTCATAAGATTCGATAATTCATCATTGGTTCGGAGAGTTTTTTCCCCACAAGACTTGTCTTACTCCATTGTCTTCATGTCTTCATCCCATCAAGTAATAACACTTGAAAGTTTCACTTTGAAAAAAAACAAAAACAATGTAGGTAGTGCTTTTTTAACCCAAAAAACTAACCACTTCGTATGTGTGATCACAACACACGATATCACACCAATACACAATGATGAAATTCTATGATGATGATAACTTGTCAATGATGATAAAAATATATATAGATGAGATCATCTGCTAGTCTTGTGCTTCTCCTTCTTTTGGGGTTGATCGCAATGATGATGAATATTCAGGAAGCAATGGGACAATTATCAACTGTTCGTGCCTTCTTGTCTGACTCGGATTTGAATGAATTATTGACAAAGGAAAGTCCATTATTTGCTAAAACTATTGAAGAACAAACTATTGCTGATATGAAGTTTACTCGTACGTGTTTAATATTTAATTATTTTTATAATTTATATATATATATTGAAATAATATTATTAACACATTTTTGTTAACTGAATAATTTATAATCATTGGTTGAAATGTAAAATCATTATATAATTACTGATTGAAATATGGTTGAAACAGAACATGTCAGTATTATTGGTGATGTTGACATTAGTGTTACAAATATTAAAATTGCTGGAGTTTCATTGGGTAATTTGCAAGTATTGATGCAACAACCAAATCAAGTCACTCTCTCTGATCAAAATGCTCAATTAACAATCAATGCTAACTGGGCTTATCGTCAACAAAGTTGGCCACACTCTTCTGGATCAGGAACTGTTGTTGTTTCTACCAATACCATCCAAATTCAAGAAACTGTTCTCATTACTTTAGATATTAACAGTGGTAAACCACAATTCCAAGTCACTACTAATACTGTTGATTTGGGTAATTTGAATATTAACATTTCAGGAGGATCTGGATGGATTTTGGATTTATTGCAATCCCTCTTCTCTTCCCAAATCAAATCATCTGTTCAATCAGCCATTCAAAATGCTGTCAGTTCCTCTGTTGCTAAAGCCAATGCTGACATTCAAACTGCTAACCTTATTCCAACTTTGAATATGACTGTTGGTTCAAACAATTTCAAAGTTATTGTAGACTATCGTTTGACTGAATGTGATGTTCAAAGTAATAATTTCTTGGTTATTGCTACTAGAGCTACTTTCTACGATCCAAACAAGGGACCATCTGCTCCTCTCCCATTTGGTCATGTTCAACTTCCAAAGGTTGCCCCAACTCAAATTGATGATTTGATTGATGCTTATGGAACTGATTTTGTTATTAACTCACTTCTCTATGCCTTGTATTCTAGCAATCAAATGCAAACCTATGTTACACCAACAATGATTCCATCCAACTCTCCAATTCAATTGAATACTACAAGTTTGAAATTGTTGCTTCCTCAATTATACAATGCCTATCCAAATAAGCTTGTTAACTTATTTGTCTATAGTAATACTGCTGGTAATCCTGGTCAATATCCAAATATTAAGATTACTCAAAACAATGGTGGAAGTATTACTGCCTTCTTCTATGGTAATGTTGAATTCCAAGTTTTGAATCAAGATGGATCTTCCACCAATGCTTTTATTATTTCACTCGTTGCTAATGCTACTCTTGATAGTCCAAAGTTGGTTGTTTCTTCTGGATCCAAGTTGTACTTTACTGCTCAAATTGCTAATCCTCAATTCCAACTCTCAGTTTCTCAATCATGGATTGGACCAATTAGTGTAACCAGTTTGCAACAAATTATTCAAGTTGCTTTGATTGATGCTTACTTGCCAATTTTGAATCAAGATTTGGCTGCTGGTGTTCAATTGGTTGACTTTTCAAGTGTTTTACCAGGATTCAATTTGGTCAATCCAAACTTGATCTTGCAAAATGGTTATGTTACTATGGGTGTTAATGGATATTATAGTCCTTCATTATTGTACTATCAAAAGACAGGCAAGAAGATTTACACTCCATTACCTATTGAAGAACTCAAGAAGAAGATTGAAAAGTTGAAGGGAACTATTAAGATTCAAAAATAAATTATTTCTCTAAATACTTTTGAGAGTAATGTTTCATTGGTATGAGAATCAAGTCGATCAAATATGGTTATTGTAACATAACCTATCACCAGCTTTCCATTAAAAAAAAATGACTAAACTTGCCTTGCCATCAGAATTATTAACTCTCATACAAACATTTCTTACTAATAATGAAAAACAATTATCAAGATTTATAAATTCGGAATGGAATGCCAGTTACTATAATTCTGTTACTGTACTAAACATGTCAAAAAGAATTAATTCAAGAATTTACGTTATTGATTTTCTTAAATTATTCTCTCGATTGGAATATATTTGCGGAAATGTTGATTTACAATTAGAACATGCTCTAAAATTAACAACGAGAGATTTAAAACACATTGATGGTCTATTGATTGATTCCATTCCACAAATGTACAATTTAATTAGAACATTTCCAAAATATGAAACTGTTTCGTTTTGTTATGATATTTTCAGACATAGTGACATGTTGGAAACTCAGCTACCTGTTTTTATAAGTCGATTTATGAAAAATACAATGAGGAAACTAATTTTAAATAATGTATATATTAATTCAACAGATTTACAAAGTATCTTTAAACAGTGCCCTAAATTGACTTGCCTCTCTTTGCATAGTAATTTGGATATGAGATTTCAGGATAATTTTAATGAGAGAAGTGAAAAGAGACCTCCATATTTTGATTTGTCTCACATTCCACAGAATAGAATTGAACATTTGTATCTGAATGGTAAAATGTTTCTTGGTGTTGATAAGTGCATTGAGAGTAGTCACTTTTCACTTCAGGAATTATGTCTACAATGCGGTGGCTTGACAATTGGAGATGTTTTAACCAAGATTTCAAATGTGGAATTTCCAAAACTGAGAATATTGAAATTATTTGGGCATGATATTATCAATGATGATGCAGCAACATGCATGTGGATTAACTTGTACAAATCTTGTCCAAACCTGGAACATGTGGCCATTACCAAGCTATTCAAAGAAGTGGAATGTCAAACATTAATGGATCATTGCAAAAAATTGAAAAAGATTGAAGTGGATGGGTTTGAAAATGATAATTGTTTGGATATTTGTAGATTTATTCTTTATTAAATGTATATTACAATTGTATGATAATTTACACGTCAGAATTAACAGCTCACTTGTTCAAATTTGTTTTCATAAGTGTTTGTGGTTAACAATTTAACCACCAGTAGTTTGCAAACCAAGAGCCAATTTAGAACTGTCATAAACCAAAAACATGCCAGCACTCAAGAATGACACCATCAAGCAACGTGGAACCACTCCTCTCCAAACACCCTTAAACCCAATATCTTTCATGATTTGGAAAATATTTCTCTGTTCGCCTGGTTTATTAACCAAGCTGAGAAGAGTATCTGCTGGGTGTGAAGCAAGGGATGAGACCATACCTGCTAGAATACCAGCGCCAACACTCAAATTCAATTGTTGAGTAGTGGTCAAATCTTGTTTCTTCATTCCAAGACGATTAGGAAGGAAATTTCCGTAAAAGAATTCAGTTGTGTATGAGAAACAAGTCAATTGAACACATGTATAAGGTACTTGCTTGGCTAAAATTGGGATTAAACCTCTAAAATATCCATTCAATAATCCCTCTTCAACTGCAATCATTTTCAGCCCCTTAAAAACATTAACATTTCCATATTTGAGTGGTTGATTGACTGTCTTGATTCTAATGGCTTCCCAAGGACACAAAACAACAGTAGCACAAGCTTCAGCCATGGCACTAGAAGTGATATAAATTGGAAATTGAAGATAGGATAAATCACCACCTCTTCCCATTACTCTTTCCTTTCCACCAATTAATGATGAATTCATAATGCTTGATTTAATCACCTCAAATAAACCAAACTTCATTGAACCTTGTAAAAAGTAACCAATAGCAGTTGAAGAGAAACCAAGAGTTAATGCAGCAAGACCTTCATTCCTTGCAATGGTTTTTAGAGTTGATAAGGTACCATTCTGATATTGTTGTGGATAGATTTGAATTCTAGTTTTAATAACCTGTTATTGTTACAAGCAAAACAACCATAATCACAACATGAATTATTTAGATGCATGCCGTTTGTGGGTTCAACGCAATTGTTTCATCATGGAGATCAAGAGAGTCAACCAACAAAATAATTCAGTGCGGTAATACTTACATCAAGAGGAACCAATACTGCATGAGTAGAAAATGCAGAAAATCCTCCAGCCAATCCATACTTCCAACTGTTTGATTTACTGTTAGGCATATTTGCGTTCTTTAATTTGTTGTTGTATTGCGCAAAGAGTTTGAAATTTTTTCAATTTGGGTAATTTTTATGGCAACACACACTGCAGAGAAGCATGATTCTTTGCATCAGATGGATTGTTGGCGTTTTTTTTACTTTAAAAAGAGGGAAAAGTGGTTGGATGATGCATTTAGTTCATTTGGTGGACTATTGGATATCAGTAACAGATAGTTTTTCATCTGATAGATGGTGATTTGAGTAGATTTGGTGATTAAATCGAACACTTTTATTGAACCTTGGCTGTTATTGGTTTTGCATTTGGGAATTGTTGCAAATAAGGAGGACAGTTGAGGTGGTCATTTTGTAGTGAATTTTTTTTTATTTAATTTATATTTATTTAATTGTCATTCAGACTCGTGGTTGAATAAATTGCATGCTGTAGATTGTTATCTACAGAATGCTTACATATTTGTTAAGGTCTTTGCTCCATTCATTGTTTTCGGGAAGCCAGTCGTTCCTTTCTTTCCAGATGCTAGTATTAGCTTTTGTGGTTTCTTTGATTTTGTGACAATTGCCAATGAGGTCTAGTTTTTGTCCAGTGTTGTAGAGTTGGTTTCTGTGTATGTTTCAGTATTTTCCTCCTCTTGATTCCTATTGTTGGTAAAATTGTTTAGTTATTGAATTTTGGTAGGAAAATGTGTTCAGTTGTTTCTTCCCCACATATGTAGTGAACATGATGCCTTATGTTATAACACAAGAAAGAATTAATTTTAGCAACAAATCTGGCCACAAATATTTGTAAACTTCTTAATTTTTGTTTAAAGTTTAACAATGTTTTAGCGGGCAAAACCGTAATCCTAAAAAAGCAGGTTGGCAAAAATTTCCAGCAAAAACTAGAGAAAAAACATCAAAAAAATATGCTCACCATTAGGCAAAGTTACTGTGATGATTTCCAATAACAACCACAACAAGAACAAATCACAACCAACAAATGTGGTTGCAGCAACACCTCTTCCGAAAACATTGAAAAATGTATCCAATCCTTCTTCTGCTAGTAGTGTGAGTACCACCACTCCGAAATCAACAGGTGAGGCTAGTGTGGATTTTTGGCCACCATTTAGTCAATCATCAAGATCCAGTATGTCTGTTGGTAGTCCATCAACACCCGAAGATGAATATTATTTCAATATTGATGAAGATTTAGAATTAAGTGATATTAGTGATATCGAAGTTGAACAATTGGAAAATTTAGATGATGACGAGTTGAATATTGGAGAAGAATCGGAAAATACTCTAGATGATGAGTTGGATATTAGTGGAATTGTGAATTTATTAGATGAAGCTGATTCGAACAATACAATTCCTTCTTCCGATAAAACTTTTTCCAATACTAGTAACCTTCTCAATACATCACTAAAAGCCACTCATACAGAGGATGATATGAATGATCCCACATCCCTCTATCATTACATTCCCTACCAAATTGCTGACAATTACAAACACAAGTCTTTATATCCTTGGCAAGTAGCATTATTAGAAAACAATCAAATTCTGGATGGAGGAAAGAATATTATCTACTCATCTCCAACAAGTGGAGGTAAAACCCTAGTCAGTGAAATTATAATGGTTCGAAGATTGACAAGAAACAAATCAAAAGTTGTTTTCATGCTTCCTTTTAAAGCTATCATTGAGGAAAAGGTAGCTGATTTGAATGAAAAATTCAAGAATGTTGGATGGAAAGCCAATCCCTATCACTCTGAAGCAGTAAAACTCATTGATACAGCATCCTTCAATGATGATGATGAGAGAGTGATGGTATGTACCTTTGAGAGAGGAAATAGTATTCTGAATGGATTGATTAGGACTGGCAAAATTGATGAAATTGGAACCATCATTATTGATGAACTTCATAGTATAACAGAGCCTGATAGAGGTTATATTCTAGAACTCATTCTAACGAAAATTATTTATCTTAAACCAAAAATTCAAATCATTGCGATGTCTGCTACCCTACCAAATGTTGACAAACTTGCCAGTTTTCTTAATGCCTACTTGTTTGTGACTGATTATAGACCAGTTCCACTCTCTGAATACATGGTACATGATTCCAAAGTATTCGATACAAATTGTAATCTAGTAAGAAATCTAACACCTTACACTGTTTCTAAAAAACTACCTGATGGATTTAATATTTCCATACTATCACTAATTGACACAGAGTTTGCTACAATTATATTCTGCAGCTCTAAGCTAAAATGTAAATTATTTGCCAAGTTTATTGCTGAAGAAAATCAACCACAACATATTCCAGAGCACTTGGTACAACAACGACAAGAATTACTAACTAACCTCAAACTATCCACAACAGGATTGGATCCTGATTTGAATTTTTCAATGGGGAGAGGAGTAGGTTTTCATCACTCGTCACTAACAATGGAAGAGAAAAAGTTAGTTGAATTGGCATTTAGAAATGGAATGATCAAAATTCTACTATGTACAACAACCCTTGCAACTGTAAGTTAATAGTCATATCTTTCATGTATTGAGATAGGAATATATTTATTGAAACTATTTAATGATTATTAGGGTGTGAATCTTCCTGCAAGAAGAGTCATTATTTCCTCACTCACCATGGGTAGGGATGATTTATCAATAGTTAACTACAAGCAAGCAGCTGGTAGAGCAGGTAGAGCAGGTATAGATGTAAAGGGTGAATCGTATCTTATAGTTCCTTCGTTGGAGTCTGGTTCAAAATTATTATCTTCCAAATTCACACCCATGAAATCTTGTCTAAATGAAAAACACATATCAAGAGCTTTATTGGAAAATATTTCAACTGGTATTATTAGGACTGCTCATGATATTGTGTCCTATTTAAAATGTACATTTCTATCGAAATGTATTCCAGAGAAAGAACTCAGAAGTATAGGAATCAACTCAAAAGTTTTTCTGGAAAAGAATGGATTTATTAGATGGATAAACGGTAAAGACTCCTTCGATTGTAAACCATTGGGATTTGCAACACAAATCGCCAATATTTGTCCCTATCTTTCTCTCAAGTTTTACCAAACCATTAAGAATGAATTGAAAAATTTCTACTTGGAAGATGATCTAGGAATGATTTACATTCTTGCCTCCTTCTCTGAAAATAGTCTATTTCATACTGATTATAACGATACATTCTCAAAAGTTGCTGAAAAAATTGTAAATATTGCCATCAAGAGAAGAGAGTTTTCAGAATTTGTAAATAACAAGATTAGAGACATTAATGAATTGAGAGGTTACATCTTGTCGGTGGGAAATAGAAGTAGTCATCAACGAGAATTGAGCGAAACTATCTACACATTGAGAAAAACATTTATACTCTATGACATTATACTGGAATATCCAATCAAAAATATTGCAGAGACATATTTTGGAGACTCAGATGCAAGAGGATCTGTACAAAATGTTCAAAAAGATGCTGCCTCAAAAGCATCTGTACTCTCAAGTTTTTGTAAATATGCTGCCTTACCAAGCTTTTTCTCGGAAGCATTCAAAGAAATCAAAGAACGACTTGTTTCTGGAGTGAGACAGGAACTTGTACCTCTTGTTCAAATTCCATTTGTTGGTTCATCAAGAGCAAGATTGTTATTCAGTGCTGGTCTCAGAACAATTGCACAGGTTGCTGATGAAACACCAGAAAGTATCGAAAATATACTTGTTAAAGGCTCTCAAAACACAACAGAAAGTAGAACTAAAGCTAATTTGATTGTAGAAGGAGCAAAGGCAATTGTAGAGGAGAAATTACTTCCTTTAGAGTGGATATTTGGGCCACAAGACGAAGATACATTCCTATTCCAAAATAGCTCTCCAAAAAAGAGAGGAAAAAAGAGATGTAACGCCTTTGATGATAATCAGGCAGAGCACAAAAAGAAAAAGGAAGATTCTGTGATAGAACTAAAACTTGGTGATAATCAATTATTTGATGAGTTTTTGGAGCGTTGGAATAATTCAAAAGTATTTTCATTCTGTTTCGAATTTGGAATTAAGAAAAAGCAAGACAATCCAACCACCTTTATTAAGAATAGGGATGTTTATACGGTGAAGGGACTCTCAATTTGTTTTAATGAAGTATTTGAGGATTATTTAACTTTTGAGAAGAGATGTGAAACCAAAATCGATCCAAATATTCCTTGCAAATGCTATTTTATCCATCTAGATGATTATAGATCCAAGATAGTAAAACGAATGCTGCAAGACAAGAGAAAACCCAAACTTACATTCGGATTTAAAAAACAACAAACAAGACTCTTACAGGCTTGGGACTTAATTGTTAAAGATCCCGTACTTGATCCAATGATTGGAGACTGGGTACAACATCCAGATGATTCGGATAATGAGAAAACTCTTGAGGAAATATACTTGAAATATTTCCCATCTGATTCATTTCTATTTACTCCCAAGAATGACAAGTTTGTCATTGTAAAGACAGCTAGCCAATGTTGGCCAATAATGACTGCTGTTATGGTATCCATTATTAATTTGGAATTGAGACAAATGTTTGAATTTGAAATGAGCTTCTCCAAAGTTTTAAGCACAATGGAACATAATGGAATACGTTTCAATTATCATTGGATCAAACATAATACGAAACTCATAGATGCTAAACTCGATGAAATTACAAGAGATTTGAACAGTTTACAAATTTTGGATGGTAAAAAGATTGATGTGTCCAATAATGACCATGTTGCATTACTCCTCTTTGATAAATTAAAACTTAAGGGTACAGAGAGGAAAACAAACAAGGAAATATTGGAAAAGTTGAAAAAACTCTACCCCGATAAGTCTTATATTATGAAGCAAATCAGTGAATACAGATACTTGCTGAATATTAAGACTCATCACATTCAAAACATGCCCAATGATATCAAATACTGCCCAGACACTCAAGAATATAGAATATTTGCCTCTCAAATGCAAACCACTTCAGCAACTGGACGCTTAAGTGTCAAGAATCCAAACCTTCAAAATATTCCAAATGATATCGACATTAAGGACCCTTTCTCTCAGAAATCCATAATCACACTGAGTATTAGAAGCGCCTTCATCCCAAGAAATGGTTATGTAATGGTTTCAATTGATTATAAGAATATTGAATTGAGAATTTTAGCCCACCTCTCACAAGATAGAACCCTTTCAGACATTCTCAGTAATACAGAAAGAGATATTTTTGAGGAAATTGCTAGAAACTTTTGGAATTTTAGACCTGAAGAACCAGTTCCATTATCTCATAGAAGTCTGGTCAAGCAGATCATTTATGGAATTTCCTATTGTATGGGCTCAGAAACTCTCTCTGGTAAAATGTTCAATAGTGAGAATGAGGATTTTATGTTGAGGCCTGGTGAGGATAGAATTGAAGCTGCTGAAAGATACAAGCAAAATTTTTTTGAAAAATATCAAGGATTGAAGCAATATAAGGACTTTGTAGAGAATCACCTTGTGGAAAAGCACTATGTTGAAACCTCATATTCAAGAAAGAGATTTATCCATGATATTTGTTCTGATGATTCATCAAAGAGAGCTGCAGCTAGAAGAGCTGCTCTCAATACTGTTTCTCAAGGCTCTGCCTCTGATATTATGAAAATAGTCATGTTAGGTATTTATTCATTTATGAGACATTTTAATAAGAAAGAAGAAAGAGCATACATGTTACTACAAATTCATGATGAGCTACTCTTTGAAGTGAGAGAAGACTCTCTCAGTACATTTATCTATTGTACAAAAAATATTATGCAGAATACAGATAAGAAACTTCTAGTACCACTGCCTGTAAAGGTTCAAATTGGAGATTCATGGGGTACTTTGAAAGATTACCCCAGCTCAATACCACTCACCAATGAAGAAAAGGATGAGATAAGGAATTTGAGTGTATGTCTTGGATTTGATTGGAAGGAAAAGTTGGGTGTCACTGATAATTTTTAATTTTTTGATTCCTTCCATGCATTTTCTATTGAGTTCAGAGGCTGTTGGTTTCTATTATTAATCTATTGTGGAAAGAGTTTATTATGGCCACCCTCAATCAAAAAATTGTGTGTGATTTTATTTTTGGTTCCTTTCAATTCCGCCCTTCATGGCCAACGTTCATGTTAGCAAATCGATTTGAATAAAAAATTGGAAGCACTCAATCATCTGTTTCTATCTCATCATCTTATTGGAGAGATTAGAATTGATCTCCACAAATTAATACCTTTTGATCACGTGGATAATACTCTAACAGAGCGAGGGCACACGAACACTAGGATTTGTAAATACAAAAATAACAAGAATATATAACAACAACAGCAACAACATGGGGCAGTGCATTCAATGTATGAGAATACATCTTTTACCTTCAAATGTTAGTACTTTAATTGTTATAGTAGCAGTATTTACAAACTTGGGGAATTCTGTGATAAAATTAATTATTTTATAAATTTAGGAGAGATTACTTGATTATTCAGACCCAAAGACCTTTTCATTTGAAGCAAGTAGATTGGCAAAAGCTGCCTCTAATGGGTAAGTTTTAATTTTGAATTGGAAAATACTCATCATTGTACGAATAATGAATCTATGAATGGTTACTTTTTCCGTAAATAATACTGTTGTTGAAATGAAATATTATTATTGTTAATATATTACAACATGGTGATGATTAAATTAAATATGAAAATACAAACTTTATGGAAATGTGGATATTTAAACATTTTAGAGATATTGAAACAGTTCAAAATTTAGTAGTAGAGTGTACAACCATTTCCATCAATGAAAAAGATGAATACGGTTGTACTGCACTCTATAGAGCAGTTGAAAATAATCATCTGCAAGTTGCCAAATTGCTACTCGAATTGAGAGCTTCACCTAATGAACCCACCAAGACTGGGAAAACATGTCTTCATGCAGCCGCAGAGAATGGTGATTTTGAGATGTGTGCCTTACTACTCAATAATAATGCCAGTATCACTGCAACAGTTCCCTCACTTCAATACATGACACCTCTTCACTTTGCAATTCAGAAAAATCATGTTCACATTTGTGAATTGTTACTAAGATATGGTGCTCCTCTTCATCCTAACAATCCTACCTCTTCATCTTCTTCAGCAGGAGATCTTTCACCCTACCCAAAAACTTCAATTTCTACCATTCTTCACATTCCGAGACTTTCTCACCATCAGAGAAGTTTGAGTGGAGGCTCAACAGGAAGTGAATCTTCATCAACATCACCCTCCTCATCATCAACTTGTTATTCACCCATGTTAATGGCTTGTTCATTTGGTTTTACAGATATTGTCTCACTCATCCTTCAATACAACGTGTCAATTTATGAACGTGATTTGACAAGCGGACTCTCTTGTCTAATGGTTTGTTCAGAACAAGGTCACGATGAGACTGCATACTACCTTATTAATCAAACTAACTTGACACCACAAGAACAAGAACATTACGTGAATGAAACATGTGAACTATCACATAATTGGACAAGTTTGCATTTTGCATCATCGAAGGGACATGGATCTGTCCTTCAAGTGCTCTTACAATTTGGAGCAAAAATTAATAGTGTAGATACTTTTGGAAGAACTGCACTTCATTATGTATGTTATTATTTATTCACCTCTTTATTAATAATATATATTTATTGAATTTATTAATTTAACTTTATGTTTTATTCAATTTATTTAATTTATTTAATTTCAATTATTTAAAAAAGGCCTCATTAAGAGGATTTCCAGATTGTGTCAGAATTTTAATAGAATATGGAGCTGACGTAACGATAAAAGATGAAGAAGGAAAAGTGGCACTTGATTTGGCTACTGAAACTCTTCAATACTTTCACATTCAAACACAATTCAAAAGATCTCTCAGAAAGAGACAAGAAATGCTTCGACACCACATGAGTGTACCTAACATTGTTGTTTCTAATAACAATTTTACTGTTGATTCTAATATCACTAGCTCTCCTGGTGCCTCTCCCCACCGATAAATAAATTAAACATTAAAACAATTTTTTTCAATCAAAAATGCCCAAGAACTCTAAATACAGAGATAATTAATTTTGGAAAGTGAGAATTACAAATTTACTCTCAACACAATTATAAGCTCCAAGTAAAAGTTCAATTGAACAAATCTCACTCAACGAGGCGTATTTTTTTTATTCCCATAAATAGGTCCAGTTTGTTGGATCCTGTTGTTAAATCCCTCAATGCCTCAATACTCTTTGCAAAATTGATTGGTTCGGAAGAAACTTCAAAAATCTTATGTTTGTGCTGGAACTATAGTTTACAATGCGCATATTTGGCCATATTGAGTACCAACCTCTGAAAAGAGTCATGAGTACTTGCAACCAAACACAGCCTCCATTTTGTTTTCAACGAAAGCTCCTCATCTTCTCAATGAGGCCGCCACATCACATTCCGTTTTTCTTTTGCGCAACGCATCTCGATTTTTTTAAAAATTAAATTTTGATAAAAAATACAACACATCAAAATGCTCAGAAATACAACCAAACTCATCAAGGGCTTGAGCAATCAAAAGAGATTGTTCTCCACAACTGTTGCCAACAGAAGTGCTGTTGAAGACGACGAACCAAAGTTCTTGGAACAAGTTGAAATGTACTTTGACAAGGCTGCCAACTCTACTCTCCACGAACCTGGTCTTTTGCAATTCATCAAGGAAGTTGATAGTGTTTATGAATTCATCATCCCACACGAAAGAATTGATAAGAACGGTAAGAAGGTCGTTCAAACTATCCGTGCCTACAGAGCTCAACACTCTCACCACAGACTCCCAACCAAGGGTGGTATTCGTTACGATACCATGGTCAATAGAAATGAAGTTATGGCTTTGGCTTCATTGATGACTTTCAAGTGTGCTTGTGTTGATGTTCCATTCGGTGGTGCCAAGGGTGGTATTTGTATTGATCCTGCTGCTCACACTGTTGAAGAAATTGAAAGAGTTACTCGTAGATTCGCTGCTGAATTGATCCAACGTGGTGTTATTGGTCCAGCTATCGATGTTCCAGCTCCTGATTATGGTACTGGTCCAAGAGAAATGTCTTGGATTGCTCACACTTATCAAACTTTCCATCCAAATGATATCAATGCTTTCGGTGTTGTCACTGGTAAGCCAGTTTCTCAAAACGGTATTCGTGGTAGAGCTGAAGCTACTGGTTTGGGTGTTTTCTACTCTGTCAGAGAAGCTTGTGCTGATGCTGAATTGATGAAGTCTGTTGGTTTGAAGACTGGTATTGAAGGAAAGAGAGTTGTTGTTCAAGGTTTGGGTAACGTTGGTTATCACGCTGCTAAGTTCTTTGAAGAAAATGGTGCTATCATTGTTGGTATTGGTGAAAGAGATGGTGCTGTTTATGATCCAAATGGTTTGGATGTTACTGATGTCAAGACTTATGTTCAAGCTAAGAAGACTATTTTGGGTTATCCAAGATGTAAGAAGGTTTTGGAAAATGCTCAACAAATCTTGGAAGCTGATTGTGACATTTTGGTCCCAGCTGCTTTGGAAGGTCAAATTACTTTGAAGAATGCCAGCAAGATTCAAGCTAAGATTATTGCTGAAGGTGCTAACGGTCCAACTACTCCAGGTGCCTCTGAAATTTTGGAAAAGCAAGGTGTTATCATCATTCCAGACTTGTTCTGTAATGCTGGTGGTGTCACTGTTTCTTACTTCGAATGGTTGAAGAATTTGGGTCACGTTCAATTCGGTCGTTTGACAAAGAAGGCTGAAGAAAAAGGCAAGAGAGAAATGGTTCGTCACTTGCAATTATTGACTGGTCGTGAATTGAAGGAATCTGAATATCAAACTTTGACTCACGGTTCATCAGAAAGAGACTTTGTCTACTCTGGTTTGGAAGGTACTGTTCATGAAGCTTGGGAAAATATTATCAAGATTTCTCGTGAAAAGAATGTCAACCTCAGAACTGCTGCTTACGTCAGTGCTATTGATAAGATTACCCTCTCTTACAATGAACTCGGTATCTGGCCTTAAATTTCTATTATAATCTAAGAGTAAAAAATTTTGGTAAATGTATTGGAATTGAACTTTCTTCTCAAAAGTGTTATCTTTGCTAATATCAGAATGGCTGGATCATCTTTAAAAAATGCATGTTAAAAATTGTTTGAACAGTTCAAAATCTATTTTTGGTAATATGGAATGTGGAAGTGGACTATCTCGAGTTGTTAAGATACAAATCTAAAGCTCTCTGTAAAAAAGTTATTCTCAATTTATTGAGATAGCATTGCATTTGCCTTATCCCTTAAAATATTTCTCTTAACTTTTCCAGCTTCGGTGCATGGAAGCTTGTCCTCAAAGAAAATTCTCTTTGGATATTGGTGAGCTGAGAGTTTTTTCTTGACATGTTCACACAACTCTTGCTCAAGTTGTTTGCTTGGCTGATAACCTGATCTGAGCACAACAAATGCAACAACCATTTCAGTTCTCAACTCGTCCTTTTGACCTACAACTCCAGACTCAAAAACAGCTTCATGTTCTATCAGACAATCTTCAACTTCTTTTGGTGAGATACGATAACCACAAGATGTGATAATATCGTCACTTCTTCCACTAAAGAAATAAAGGCCATTTTCGTCTCTATAGGCACTATCACCGGTCAATTCAAATAAACGACCATCTGTATAAGAAGGGGATTGAACCATTTTTTCCTCAGTTTTTTCAGGTTGATTCCAGTATCCAGTAAAGAACCTAGCAGGTGAGTTAGCAATATCAATAACCAAATGACCTTTCACATAGGGTTCTGAAATTTCTCTAAAGTCGTCATCCAACAGAGTGACTGTAAATCCTTGAATTGGTTGTCCAATAGTTGTTACCTCCGATACAGATGAAAGAGCTAATTCTGGATGGTGATGATAATTAATAAGCATACCATGTTCAGTTTGACCATAGTGACTCTTAATTCTTGTACCCCAAATATTCTCAAAGAAGGTAACTACCTCGTTATTTAATGCTTCTCCTGCTGAGCTGGCCTTTTTGAGATAAAACTTGTATTGTTGAGCTAGTTCTGGACCTTGTGCTTTCATTGCTCGATATGCTGTTGGAGCTGCAGCAAAGTTAGTCACACGTTCATTTTGTAATATTTCATAAATTACTTGAGGATTGAATGATCTATTGACAAAATAAGTTGGAATTCCCAATAGAAGAGTTCCTAAAACATTATAATACAAGCCATAGGCCCAACCAGGGTCTGCAATATTTAAAAATACATCATCATGTTCAACATGGAGTCCATATTTCATATACACTTCAAATGATCCCAAAGCTTTTACTGAAACTGGTACACCCTATTATTAAATAAAGATTAAAAATTGGATATTCAAGCAAAATAATTCAAAATAATAATTAATATGGATGTTAATTGATAATAATTGTTAGAAAAATAAGTGTATTGACAAGAAGAAATACTAACCTTGCTCTTACCAGTAGTACCACTAGTGTACAAGAGAATCATGATATCATTCTTATCCATTCCAGTAGAATCTCTAATGATTGGTCTTTGTTGACTAGATAAAATTGAACTATTCCAAAATCTGTATTCATTTGGTTTGAAAGAGCTAAATGAGGTTAATAGTGGTGCATTTCCATCCACTACTCTATAGGCCATACTCTCTGCAATACTCTTCTCAACAATGACAATTTTAACACCTCTCTCTTCTAATTGACTGAGAATGGGATCTAATTTTGGGCGATTAGCCTCATCAGTAATGATAACCTTGGATTCAGAGTCAAAAACTCTATGTGCAATAGCATCTGGTCCAAAGGCAGTAAATAGAGGAACATAGGTCATTGCATTTCTCCAAATACTTAGACCACTTATCATTAATTCTGGACACTTTGGTAATAGGATTGAAACTCTATCTTGACGTTTCAAACCAAGACTTTTCAAAAATTGACCAAACTGTTCACTATAATCACTCAATTGTTTAAAAGTATATTGAAATTTTCCATCACTTGTCAAATAGTTCAACGCAATTGATTTTTCATCCTTTTTAACATGTTGATCACAAAGAATATGTCCCAAATGAAAGTAATCTTCCATTGAATATTGTTGTTTGTTAAATGATGATGAGATGATTGACTTTTGAAAACTTCTATTCATTAGCATATTACTGCTGTTAACAAGTGCGGAAGATGTTAATGTATTCTTCTTATTCATTGATGCAAGACCATTTCTCGTCTTGTTAACAACATGAAACCAATTTTTACAATTTCTCATCATATTTTCTTAACTTTCCAATAGTAATAAAATTTAGGGACAATAACTTGTTATTGGAAGCAATGGAGAAGAAGAGGATCTATTTTTTTCTATTGTAATTATCAGCTCTTCTCTCATCAAACACACACAAGCAGATTGAAAGCTGATTTCAAGTACGACATGAATTTTTCATCCGCTAAGCACTACAAAACAGTTTACTTGAATAATATTTAAGATTTATTTGTTTGATAATGTTTGAGGGCTATTACTCATGCTTTTCTTTCAATCTGTTCAATTTTCTTTTGTTGTGTTTCTTTCAACTACTTCTTTGGCAAATAAGAATTTAGAGAAGCAAGGGCTAAACTGTTTTCAAAGTTCGTTTTTTTTGCAATTCATTTACAAACTTCTTGATAGAATCCCATTTGGAACCAATCATACTAAGAACATCGTTAACAGTTGTAAATTCGCTTAATTGTTTCTTTTCAACTTCTGCGTGTAAATCAGCTGTATGCTATGAATTTTAACTCAATTCATCTACAATCAATACTTTTTTTTCTGCTTTTTTCAGCAACACCAGATAATATTACAATAATTAATATAAAAGTCATCATAATGACTGTCAAGTGGAAGTATTTCGAAAAATGAAACTCCTACAAGTACTTTGTTATTCGCTTGTCTACACTCATGATGACGATGACACGATATCTAGCTCCATGGAATTCAAATAACGTGGTGTTTTTCCGTTGAACTCATATCAAAGTGTAACAGCCTTATCAAAAAAAAACCTTAATATTTTCTTCTCAGGCATTGAATAGAGAGGCTCGCAATGATTCGAACGAGTTTTAATACTGGTGGTGTAATCACTTCCTCGACAAGATTTCCATCCTCCTCTGCAAAGATATTTTGGAGGGAGTTCTGGGCGAATTTAAACTTCAAGCTGAGAACATTGTGCTCTACAAAAGGACAGGGACTTATGAATTTCATTTTAAATTTATTCTTCTTAATAATTTCAGTGCCGATAATGATATTTAGATTAATATTTGGTTTTGTTAGGTTTATTTATTCAATTTTTGCTAGTAGTTGGTTCCTATTCACAACATTCCAAATATTATTTATTATATCTTTATGTCATATTAGTATGGTTTTCTTTGTGGAGCAACCCAAGACACAATACAAATATCAACCCTACATTCCGATTGATGGTGAATCTCAGTGGTACAGTTTACCTGTGGAAAGATGTCATTTGACTGTACTAATTGCTTGCAATCCTAAGGTTAATCATATTGGACACGAATACGACCACATTGAGAGAAACTTGGATAATTTATCAAGGTTCAAGCAAAGATTGTTCCATCCATGTATTGTCCTCTTTAATCAAGATATTGATTATAAGGACAGATTGAAAAAAGTTGTTGATGATTTCTCGAAGAAACACGAAGCTGTTGTGGATGTAATTAATTATCCTGGTAAGGTGGGGCAAGATTCTACTTCCAGGGCAAAGATATTCTATGAAATGGTGAGATTATTTAAGAAAACATACATACTTGATGATTTTAATTCGGTAGAGGAGTCTGTTACAAGAGTGATAGGTTCTTCCGATGCTCCATTACTGTTCATGGATGAGAGTGCTATTATCTGCTCTCGGGCAATCTCTCATCTTTCTCTGGTGTTTGAGCATATGCAACACTTAGGTGAGAAGGGAAAGGATTGGTCTAGTTATCGTCTCTCTCATGGAATGAGTGGAACTATTATTAACAGAAAGGATATCACCACAACAATTGATTATTTTGAAAAGAAAAAAGATTCAAGACATTCTCTCAAATATTTATTGGACAATTTCTTTTTGGATAACCCTGATTTTAAGGATAGAATTTCATTCCGATTCAGATTTCAACTTCTCTCATTGGGAAAGAGCCAAAAATCTCAATGCTATGAAACTCAATCTGATTTTGATTTGGAAAGCTGTTCTCATTCTCTTTTCTCACCTTGCCAAGAATTGATAAAAAAGAAAATAGATACTGAGGTTGGTAATGCAAACGCGGAATTCGTTCACAATACTGCCATGCTTCCTTCCTTTGCTCCAACTCATAGGTTTTCACTTTCAGATTTGAAAAACGTGGAGAGCGTATTTTGTGATAGTGGGGAGAACTGTAATCAGTGTTGTAGTAAATTAGGAGCAAAGTGTGATGTGAGCTTTTTCGAATACATTAACAGATGCGATGAATTTGATAAGTTCACAAAGAATTGCAAATGCTCCTATGAGAAAGGATCTTCTTCAAGCAGTCTACCAGCCATGAAACATGGAAATTGCTATTTGGGATTCAGAGCAAGTGATTTTAATTGCCACAATTCACATGCATTAACAAGAAGATTGTGCCCTTGTATTTTGAAATAGACCATGTTTACAAAAGTTTTGGAAGAGAGAAGGTGCACTTTTGAAATGTAAACAATTTAAAAAAAATGTCAGAACTCTCTCAACAAGGTGATCAATATAGTGGTAATTTATCTACTACTACAACTCTGAACAGTCAAGATGAAGACACATCATCAAATGGAATAAAACTGCTAGTTGAGTTATTAAATTTAACATGTTGCAGATTTCCGTCAATGTACCTTGCAAGACAGGAATTAAATCAAGCCTTTTTACTTTCACAATTCATATCCGATGATGATCAAGAAATAATTCTCGATGAAGAATACATTAAAAAGATTGGACAAATTTTGACCTATACAATCACTAGAGTTTTCAAGGAAAAGAAATGTTTTCACAAAAAGGATATTCCTACCATTTGGATAGAAGCAAGGAAATTATTCACTGATTATTGTCAAATTGATCAGTGTGATGATAACTCTGATTTCCGAACAAGAATTTTAGAAATATTAAATGATGGTGATAGAATGGATAAATTATTTGAAATTTGTAAAGTTTCCAATATTGATTGTTTGTGGAAATTATATTGTGAGGAATTATGGTGGAGATTGTATGAATTTGTTGATTTTGAAACATTTAGTTCAATTCCAACAAAGAAGAAGGAATTTCCAGGAGTTGAAAAGTATGTCAAACAAAAACTTGCTACACAACAATTATTACAACAGGACTTAGAAAATCAACAACAACAAAATCAACAACAGGAAAATCCTCAACCTGTTCCATTGAATCTTGTTCAACAAGAAGAGGGATTGAATTCAACTGATCAACAACAACAACCTTTAGAATCGGATAACATTTCTATTGATTCTTCATCAACAACGGATTCGACAGTGGGAGAAAAGAAGAGCAAGAAGGAATTGAAACGAATCAGAAACAAACTATTGAAAGAAGCAAAGAAACAAAAGAAACCTCCAACTGATGATTCAGCACTTTCCACAATATCTGAGGAGGTTTTTGTAAAGAGGGGTGGATTTTTCATGAACAAGGCATGTCTTGACAATGTGAGATACTTTGTCTGGGGTTACTATAATGCATTTGAACCAAATTGGTACACAAAGGACATTCTGGACTTGCATTTCAATGAGAAGAAACATGAAAATCCATATGGAAGATTTAAGAATATTATTCTTCTTGATTTGGATAATGTGGGCCAGTCAATCTTTTTACTCAAGGAGAGGAACTTTGATTATGGAAAGGATTGTCTTTTAATAGGTGTAGCAGGTCCAAAATATTCAACTTCTATCAAGGTGAGTGAGGAGGTACTTCGTGAACGTGGTTCCAGTCTACACTTTGTAAAGATCAGATTGTCGGAACAGAATTTGAGTGGAATGAATTCATTTGAAAAGTATTTATTTGATTTTTATGATAAGGGATACTTTAAAAAGTTCAAGGATGCTGCTGATTATTTACTAGGAGCCATTGCTGGTGCATTACATCGTATCACAGATTTACACACTAGGATTTTCATTGTTTCCAAAGATGACGGTTTGAGACACATTCAAAAAAGTTTAATCACTCGTGGAAGAGCTTCACATTTGGTAACTTCTCAAGAATCTCTCATGTACACACTTGATAATTATTTATTCACACCATCAGAACAGTGGAATAGGCTGACTGATCTTGCCAAACCAACCCTTACCAAGTTTGAACAATTGAATTTTGACGAATTGACAAAATCCATTGAACCGAGAACAGTAGATTATAAACAAAGGTTGAACAATATAGATATTCAACAATTGAGCGATTCAATTGTGAGTGAGGAGGAAAAGATTAGAGTCTACTCATCAACCACTGGTGTTGTTTTTGGTAGAGAAATTCACGAAAAAATCATGGGAGATTACATTTATGATTACTATTCAAATGTTAAAGATAGACAAGTCTATTTGGAAAATATTAGAATCAAGGGAAGAAGATTCTCATATCAGGGTTGGGAAGGAATTGTAAAGAGTTTAGCCCTTCCTCATGTAAATATTACATACTTGCAAGAAATTGATATCAGAGGTTGTAGAATTGAAGATAAGGGAGCCATAGAATTGTTCCAAATATTGGAGTCATGTTCTAACTTGACTCTGATTGACGTTGGGGCTTGTTTCCTGACTGATAAATCTGCTCCAGCCATTGCCAAGTATTTGCTGAGTGAAAAGTGCATTCTCCAAACTTTGGATTTACGTTGGAATTCTATTGGTGCTAAAGGTGCCAAAATCATTATTGACACTTTGGAACATAACAAGTCCTTGACTTCAATCTCCTTCCGTTTGAATCCTATCCAAAGTGTGGGCGCAAATTATGTTATAAGAAAATCTCTTGAATGCTCAGCAGGTGAAAGATATGGATTCAGTATTGATTGTAGACAGACCTCAAAATCCGATGATTTAGGATTTGTTTTTAGTGACATGATAGAGAGTGTTCAAAATGCTAAAAGAGCAGAGTTTCCTGTTCCGTTTTCTCTTGATTTGAGCAGTGTAGAAATGTACCCTGAAGGTACCATTCACTTGTCTAACTTTTTATATCAAGTCTCAGAGATACCAATCAAGAACAGACCTTTTGAAATTACCAAACTAGCTCTCGACTATAATAATTTAGGAGATTTGGGTGTAGAATACTTGTCTAGAGGTTTAATGAATTCAAGCTCTATTCTCATTCTTACAATTGGTAGAAATTTAATTACTGAGAAAGGAGCCATCTGTCTGGCACAAGTTCTAAAGAAGAATCAAACACTAACTTATTTGGACTTGCAAAAGAACAAGGTTGGAGAGTTGGGAGGCTTTTCTCTTGCTGAGGCATTGAGAACTAATCAAACCTTGACCTATCTTAATTTAAAGTCAAATTACATTGGTGATTTGGGAGCTTTGGCATTTGCAAACGCCTTCTCACCAACTGATCAAATATTTAAGAATACTAATGAACCAACATTGGAAAGAAATGTTGGTGAATTCAATGACACTCTCATAAATTTGGACTTGACAAACAATAGAATAACCTATCTCAGTGCTCGCCACTTGATGAAATCCATTGAGAGAAATACAAGCTTATCCAGATTGAATATGAGCAATAATCCTGATATGCTCTCCGATTCAATTGTTGATTTGACAACTAAGTTGTATGCAAGAGACACAAGTGAATATCAAGATTTAAATTGTGGATCGTGGTGGCTTGAAATTAGTGATTGCTCATTGAAAGATAAGGCAATGGAGACATTTGAAAAGTTCACAAAGAAACCAATATCGCATTTCCTTATTAGCGGTAATGTTCTTGGAGATTTTGATTACTGTGAAGAGATGAGAAGCGTTATTTCCACTTTTTATCCACATTCTAACTTATTCAATGCCAACACTTCCCTAGTTTCATTGAATTGTGTGTTTGAAAATTTATTACAGAGTTTAATTTGTGTAGATTTGAGAAATTGTTCATTGGGTGATGATGATTTATCATTATTATTCAGTGACAATTCAATTCTATTGGACAAGATAGGAAATAGAAAACCTTCGAATATTTATCATTTGAACTTATCAGGAAATCACTTTACTCCAAGATCTGGTGTTTATTTACGCAAATTATTAGAGTATAATACATCCATTACATGCCTAGTTTTGAATTATAACAAGGTGGGTGATTTAGGTTTGAAGGAAGTAGTAGATTCACTCTATGAGAATAACCATACTCTGACTTCACTCTCCATTAGAAATAATGACATTACAGATGCTGGTGTATTATTTTTGTCAGAGTATATGAAAAAGATGAAAGATAATGCAGTATTGGGATTTATTGATTTGGAATCTAATATGATTACTGATAAAGGAGCAGAATACTTGGGAGAAGGTATTTCAACAGAAAACTATGATGCTATTCACTTTATTACTCTTGAAAGAAACAACCTAACAAGTACAGGTAATGCTCACATTTTGCAAATGGCCTCAAGAAAAGTAACCTCAGATATCAACTCTGGCATTATTCAAACTATTCATTTGGCTCTGTAAACCATTTATCTTCACAGAATATTTGTAAACCATTTAAAACTTAGGAAAGGTAGAAGATTCAAAAAGAATACCTATCAGCTCAACCATCAAGGAAACAAATCCGAACAAGTAATTGGTTTCTCCATATAAATTAAGGTAATTGTTCAAAACTTCCAATGCATTTCTTTCCTTTGTGTCACTAGTTTTGGTAAAGTACTTGTCAAGTGTAGATTTCAACTTTTGATATTCCTGAATGGCTTTTTGATCGTTCACATGATATTTAGCAGTGAATTTCAACAAGTACACTCCCAAAACTCTGGAAAAGAATTTGAAATCATTTCTATAAACCTCAAAGTCACTCTTTTTAGAGAAAAAGGAAACTAACTTGCCGAATGTACTCTCCACTGTTCTGTCCTCACTGATGGTGAGTAAGAGATTAGAGAGGGACAATATTCCATCCACTCCAGGATAGTACTGTTGAGGAGGGAGCTTGTTATGGTTCTTATCTAGTAATAAATTCAAATAATAGCCCTGTGTTATTGGTATGACACTGGAGAATGATGCAGGTCTCGTTTCTATTAAAACATTCACATAGAGTGACCATATTGGAATGAGATATTGCTCTGGTCGAAGCATGTTGGAGGATTTGATTTGTGAGACAATATTCACTTGATCTGGACAGAATACATTGGAATTAAATATAAATTCCTCAATTATCTTTTCAAATATTACCAGTGGAGTGTCATGCTCTTCTTGTATTCTTTTGAGAGTTTGAACAAAGTACAACAATGAGCAACCTTTCTCAATACATGCAGATGCAAACTGTCTTCTTTGAGCTTCATGTGGTGGCAACCATAGAATAGATGTTAAATAATTGAAAGAAACATTAGGTTGACTAATATGAGATCTAAGAGCAAATTCCATTAATATCGTAGATTTCAAATAATTTTTAACCGATTGAGCAGCTGAGAACAAACAAATAGACAATTTGCTTGGGTGTTGGAATGCCTTTTCAATAATAAATTGGAAAATAGTATCAAATTCTGCATAGTTACGATCTGTAAAAGTTAGCAATTGAACAAAATGTTCTGTGCACGAGTTGTAATCATAATAATGAGCCATTGTATCAATAATCCAATCGAAAGGTTGTGTAATTTGCTCTGCTAGATAATTATCCACTACTGAAGGACTAGTTTGCTTGGAGGAAAAACTATAAACCAGAGTACTAATAATAAAATCAATATAGTAGAGAGTGAGTGGCTTATTGGATTGATAGTTTGGATTTACATTTGGATAATCATCGTATTGGTTAGCTGAAGGGTAGCTATTGCTGGCTGTTGACTCTCTTGGTTGACAAACATTTTGAAGAATTGAAAAGCAGAGATCGAGGTTTCTTTTTGGAATATTGTATGAAAAGTTCTTAACCTCAATAAAAAGCTTGCTATAGAGTTTCAAAATATTTGAAAAATGTTCCACAGTAATTCTATTCCATTCAATATTAAAATTGAAAAGTTTTTCAACACATTCAGCCAAACTTTCATCCACTTGTGGTGTTGTAGACTTGAGAATAGAGGAGACCATCAAGGAAATAATATCCGAATAGACCTTACTAATATCTTCACTACTCAAATGACACAATACGATATTATCTGTAATAATCTTCCAAGACATGACCTTGATAATATTCTTGACGAATATTCTGTGACCAGACAAAATTGTCTTGGTTGTTCTCTGTGGAGAGACTTCTAAAATGGCACACATTTGTGAAATTTGTTCAAAATTAATTGTTGTCCAATTTGACCAATCCAGATACATCAATTCCTGATGATACATGTTTAGACAGTCTGGATCAAGAATGTTATTGAAAATAAGTTGTGAATAAATGTTCCAAACTTGATTGAGAATACCCTTGTTAGATTCCAAGAGACGCTTATTGCATCTGACGAAACTTGCCAGAACTGAAGATGCCATAGAAGCTTGATTATCAAGGAAGGGAAGAATTGTCACATCTCCAGATGTTGAGAGATTAGTTTTGGCTGGAACTGGCAATATGAATGCTTCATATCCTCTGCAAACTTTTTCAAAAACTTGGCCTTCTTGGAGGAAACTATTGCTGAGATGAGAAAAACAAACAAATTTCTCCAACAACCTTACAATCTCCTTCAAATATTCCTTTGGCAAAGCATTGTAAAGAGTGTTGTTGTGCTTTTTTCTGACGTTCCATAAGAATTCTCTGGTAATTTCTATAAAATCACAGAGTAATGAATCATCAAAATTCTCAAAACTCATAGTGTCATTGCAGGATTCTAATAATTGGTATGGAAGCTCTAACATGCACGAATACATGTGAGAGAATGTAAATGCCAACAAGTTAGAAGGGTAACTATTGATGCAAGCAGGTATAAGTGTAAGATAGAATGCAATTACCTCATTCATCTTGCAATTTCTGAGATTTCTCACTGAGTGAGCCATCAGTGATTTAATATTTTCAATATTATAAAACGATGCCAACCACTTTTGGATGTCAAAGTTTTTGTAAATCTGAAGGGACATACTTGAAGGGTTTTCCTTCTTCTTGTTCAAAATGATTTCAAGGAATCGTTCCCAAGACTCTGGACAAAGTAAAGGATTAAAAAATGGAGAAAGTAAAGATATCAAGGCATTACTTTGAACCATACTCATCAATAGACTCTCCATCTCAGTTGGTTGATTCATTATAAATGTGGAAGCAAATTGTGATACGATGTGATTCATAATCTTTCTGAAAGGAACAAACCTATCACACATAACAAAGTGAATTTGCAAAAGACCATAGAAAAGTTTGCTACCCAACCCTTGAGAGTTGACATTTCTTAGAGTTACATCCAATTCATACAATAAATTGCAAAGTGAATGATCAACATATTTAGAATCCATAATTCGCATAACCAATGATCTATTTTCCTTCATTCTAGTTTCATTATTATTATTTTTAACTGATTCTGAATAGGAGAAGTAAATATTGGCTGGTCTTTTACAGAAAAATTCCTTATAGCATGGAACTGAAAGAGAGGCTTGCTTCTTTACCTCAAAATAGAGATAAGGTATGAGGGAAATATATTCCTCGTCTGCTCTTCTTTGCATTTCTTTTTCTTTGAGGTAAATATCAATGGATTGTGTAATTTTCATAGCATTCAAATCACTCAAATTGAGAATAAATCCTCGTGGGAATGGTTCCTGAGTTATGGTAACAGATGGTAAATACTTCATTATTTCCTTTTCCTTCTGCTTTAAAAAGATTATATCAATCTTTTGGTTATTAAATACTAAAGATCGGCTTTTGATTGACAGAGTGCTTGATTGGCTAGTAAAAGTTGGATAAATAGAGGAAATATAATTCTTTTCTTCACTACTAATAAGTTCCTGTATGTTAATATTATCAATCAAATCATGCCATAACTTGGTAGTATCTCTTGCAATGTCATCATTAATTGAACTAACAATTCTGGCAGGTTGATGAAACTTGCTAATTGATGATATTTGATCAATAAAGTATAAAAAGTTATCTTTGGTGCCTTTAAGCCATAATATCATTGCATAGTACAAGTCAATCAACTCTCCTCGTGTTGTAAAACTAGTGTTTTGTGTCTCTGTGTAGAATTTCTTTAGAGATTCTAACCTGTCGAGAACTGATGTGAAAATCTTTTCCTTTGTTGGTATTTCAAGAAATTGATAGCCGAAAAATCTTACAGTATTCATTGGAGTGAATTGCTTTTCAAAGTACAAGTGGAAAAATAATTGCCAGTACATTGGAAGAATGGAATGAATATTAGTGACATCTGTTGGTGATTGACTGGTATCCAATAGCTGCTCTGTCAACTTGACACAATATGCCAATACTCTATAAATACAGAATTTAACTGCCTCAAAGGATTTTACAGCAGTTGGGAAAGTATTTCTCATTTCGAAAAGAGAATTGGCAACTTGTTGACGTTTGTGAAACTCTGATAACGACAATCCAATCAAATAAATAAAAGAAAAATATGGATATTGAATCTGAGGATTAATGTCCTTATTGAATGCAGAAGTGGTAATTACAGTGGATGAAGAGGTAAATATTCCAGAAGATTGGAGAGCAAACATATCCATTTCAGGTAGAGTTGAAATGATATTTGAAATACCTGTAACATTAATCATATTCAAGTGGATTATTACTTTGGAAATTTGATTCATAAGGAAGAGGCAGCATGGATTATTGGTCCAATTAGAAATTTTCGTAATTTCATTTACCCAAAATAGAGTAAAACTTCTCAACTTGTTCAATTTCTCAGAGGCATGTAAACTCTGAATACCTTTGCAAATGCATGTAGAAAGACTTTGAGTATTATCACCAATATATCTGTTCGAGCTGACCAATCTAGAAATGAATGAAGATTTGGTATCCAAATACAAAATACTATCCATGTGAGGATAGAATGTGAGGTTTGTTGGCGTACGAACTCCTGAGCTTTGAGACTTGACTTGTTCACAAAACCTCATGCTGATTTCATACATTAGTCTGATTGCTCTTTCTTGTGTCTTGTTGTTAACAATAGCTTCAAACCAACCAGATGAATATTCATTATACTTTTCCAAATTGTTGCCTACATCACTCAAGGCCAAAACAGCATATATACTAACTCCATCTATTGAGCCACTTTTCACAGATAGTTCAATCGTATGTAAAAGTCCATTGAGAGAGGGATGTTCAATCGACTCAATAGGAATGAGTGGTGTTTGGACAGAGTCATAGATTTTAACCCTCTGAGCAACAGACCAACACCATTCCTCGAGACCAATCCATGGATCCTTTTTAACGAAGGAATATTGTGAATCCTTCTTGTGTGTTGAGACTGTTCTTGCCATCAATAAAAGTATATCCTTCTGCACATCCAATGTCAAGTTCTTGTTTTTTGTAGAATCATTCCAAGCCAAATGATCTATGATGAATCTGGCAAGCTCATGTTCCGTAGAGTTGAGTGGTTTGAGAATTAACTCTTCCAATAGCGGTAAGTCTTTTGTTTTGGATAATTTCCACGTCTTTAAATCAAGTTGTTTAAACATGGTAAGGGAATACCTTCCTACAAACTTTAAGTATTTAACAACAAGTGCAAGCAGTAATGATATCAATCGGGGATGTATCTCACATATTGAAACAATATTCTTTGTAGCATCTCTAAAATAGGTATCTCTAGAAGTTTCATTAATGAAACCAATCAAGAATAGCTCGTGAACTATAATGGCAGCGAGACCGTATGAATGAGAACAGCCCAATCTTGACATTACAGGAAATAAATAACTACACTCTGGTTTTTGGAAGAGTGTGATAAAATTATTTCTCAAACTCTTATCTTCAGTGACCAATTTGAGCCATGAATCAAAATCTCTCAAAATATCATAAGTTATTTTGAGATCAATCACAGGTTCATCACGAAACATAATCCAAAATATCGAGCATGCACAAGGCTCTGAAATAATTTCATATGGTAGCTCAGAAAGGAAGGACCACAAGCTCGATGAGGATGAAAGTAAACCTTTGAAACACTTTACATAGAAGGAATTGAACAGATATTCAACATCTTCTTGACTTGTCCCTTCTATTTGTGCAAGCGAGTTGGAAGCCATTTGAACGAGCCTTGCCATATTCTGAGAGAGCATTCTAGTAAATGATTTGTGATTAGAAGATTTGTTGAAATTGCTCAAAGCCTGATAGAAAATGTACAACACTGTATCAATTAAGGAGAAGGCTTGTGAAAATGAGGAGAAGGTAGAGTTGCTTTGGTTGAGTCCAAATTGCTCAGTACACTTGGAAAGTATGTATTCCATACTTTCAAAAAGAGGAACTTGTGTCCACAATGACAAGTAATCTTCTTCTGACAAAACTAGTTCATTCTCAGTTATAAATGTTGGTGTTAAGAAGAGGGAAAGGAATGCCAAAAATGTATCAATTGCTTGATCAGAATCTACTCCTGGAAATTGAAGGAAAGTTTGCCCCCAACTTCCAATATGTTTGCATTTAAGAATTTCAAAGATTAAAAACCTATTATCTTCCACTGTTGAGACCCTCAATAGCGAGGCAATTGATAGATAAGCCCAATCCCTAATTTCCTTCCTAAAATTTTCTATATTTTCCCCACTGATGGTTACAGAAACAGGAGAGAATCCTTTAGGAACATGAAGAGTTGTAATTTCACATGATACTTGCTCGAAATAGAGTAGTATTTGAATGACAACTTTAAGTCTATCAACCGCAGCAATGTCTTGTTCTACTCTTAAATTCTGCTTGTGCATCATATCTTCTACCGACAAGGTGTAAAGCTCGTACCTCAGATAATTGTTAAATAGAGGTTCGTTTTGAATAATATCTCCAATATATCGGGAAACTTTAAGATGGAAATATCTGTTCAACATGTTTACCTCTACAATCTTGTCGTGATAGAGATTCCTCAGATTTTCTTGATTTTTGATCAGGTTACTCTTTTGCTTGTGATCCAAAGTGGCAGTGAGTGCCTTTACATAACCATGTACTTGGTATCCATCCCCACAATCACACATGGGAGATTTTATCTGTTGTTCATTTAAAATAAATAAATTTCTTTCGATATTTTCTTGTTCAGTGAGTAGGTGGTCCATTTCAGATCTCAGTCTGGTCAACTCTGAAAAGGATTGATAATATTCATAGCACATTATGTAAAATTCATGATCCATACTAAAGGTATGCTTCCCCAAATAATCCAACACATCAGCTTCTGTCAGTAATAAATTATTTACATATCCCAATCCTATTTGAGACTGAAGAAGGGGAACTAAATCTACTGTTGGGGTAGTACTATTGGTAGGATACAAATAACTTCCAATACTTTTATACTCCTTTGAATTATCAATTACAGAGCTTATTTGAATATCCGAGCCACTTCCCAAAATATCGAGATCCAACTTGACTGTATCCGTACTGTAATGTGGAATATCAAAAAATACTTCAGAACTTTCTGGAATTACGGATGGATAAGCCACATGTCTAGGTGTTGTCACTACTGAAGAGTTGATAAATGTTTGACTCGTATATAAATCACCTTTATCTCCAACATCAACCAATAAATATTCATCATCTTCAAGATTATATCCTATTTGTGCTCCTATTGGCCTATCCGTTGGTGTCCACTTTGTGTTATTATTATTTTCATTTTCATCTCGTTTCGGATTTAGATTAGCCTCCAAATCCTGTGTTGTGTTGTCATTCCTAAATGAGAGTGAATAACTCATCAGAAAATTATCTGATGTCCCATCATACTGTTGATGATCTTGAATTAAATTTTTACCAATTGATTGAAAATCCGTAACTAATTCTGCAACAGATGACGATGATGATGAAATATCATCTTCAATCTCTCTCACACCTTCCATCTAAATATTTTGTTTAATATTACTACTACTCCAATATATTAAAAAACGTGATGATGATGAATGTGTGTCCTCCGATAAATAGATGATCAACACACGTGTTATTAATTTTTTTTAATGTGTGATTGGAGAGGAATTAGAATCAATATCTTGTGAATTATATTTAGAAACTGTTAAACATGAGGTACATAAGGAAACGTGAAAAAAAAGGAATAGTAAATTGCTTTCCTGAATCTACAATTTCATTCAATTGAAGATTGATAATCTCTCTTATTAATAAAAATACAATAGTGCAAGTTCTTGTAACCTTCCAAAAGAGAACTGTTCATCATTTAAACAATCAATCCAGCAACGAATCAATACTCATCTATCATACCTTACAATTGGAAATAGCAAGATGAATAAAGAAACATTGGCGACTAGGAAAGAATGCGCCAAAATCCAACTCTAAAAAAAATGCAGCACATCTATTACTTTGAACATGGTCAATTTATTGCTCCGACTCATCATATGATAACAATATATAACAAATTATATAGTGAATATGATATTGATTTTGATGATTTTAGAAAGCTTCCATTTGATATAATATTGACCATTCTTTCATTTATTAAATTTCCAGAAATTATATTCTATTCGAAAAAGTTGATAGAAACGGCTCATTATAGTGACTTGTATGAAAAAATGTTGTTATATGATGTTATGGCTAAGGATAATTCACAGCAGCAACATGATTTTCGAGTTGATAATTTTAATGGAGATATTGAAAATGGACAACTCGACAGGAATATGAGAAAATCAATTCACAAACGAACAAATTCAAATTCCCTTACGAAGACTATACCCTTTAATATTAATAATTTAATATCTAAATTATTTGGAGTATTCGAAAAGGAAAGAAACCAACGTGTATTTTTATTCGATTTTTATTCTCATTTAAAATTTATTGGATTTGACCAAATGTTAAATTTATATAATTCCTTTTATAGATTTGATTCATTTGCTAAAAATGATTCTGAAATGACCTTACAATCACCAAGGTCATCTATGAGAAGATCGAAAATGTCAAATGACGACGACTTTCTCAATTTACTAACCTCTAGTCCACATTCATTTGAAAAATTTCTTGCAAATAAGAATGATAGTGAAATAATGTTAGAATCCTTCGAGAAGAGAACTAATCTCATTTCAATTCACTCCAATTTACCGAGACACTTGCGAAATTGTGTACATACCATTAATTCGAGTTTGAGTCGATCTTCATCGCTCAATAATATATCATCAGAACAATCGATAAGAAGAAGGTCAAAATCCTTAGGTTCATCACAAATTGCCATTCAAGTCCGAAAGAAAATATTGGAAAATGAAGAGCAGGACGAGCTGGTTGATGAATCATCAAGAAAGAGATTTTCCATTCAATTTTACAATGTCAGAAACTTTTTCTACATTCCATACTTGGAATCTGTAACATTTTCAAATTGTTCTAACCAAGCTAACTATTATATTAATTTTGTTGTAATTCCTTTTTTTAGGTTTAATAATCACCTAAAGTCATTTAAGCTAATTGATTGCCAATTATCTCAAGAGAGTGTGAGAGAATTGTACTTTCAATTGAGAGCAATGTTCATTCAAATGCACAAATCTGGTCAATCTTCATCACCATGCTATGCCTCACTGCGAGAGTTGAGTTTAGCTGATAATGAACTGTTGCACTGCTCATGGAATTTCATTTTCCCTAACCTTAGAATTTTAGATTTGAGTGGTAATCGTTCCCTAATAGAACCATCTCTTTGTAAATTATTAGCGAAGGATATTGAGAATTTCAAATATTTGAAAAGATTGAATCTTTCCAATGGTTGTTTTGATGGAAACATGACTGTTAAAAACAATACACTGGAAGAATTGGATGTTTTTGATATTCGAGTTCCATTAAATACAGTACAATTAGAGAATCAAATTATCAAACACTGCAAACGAATCAAACTTATCAAGTACTATTCAGCTCAAGAGAAAAAGCTAGTCAAATGGATAAGGTCAAGTGATGAGTAATCCAAACATTTGAATAAATATTTTTGGAAAATCTCCAAGCCAATCAAAATTGGTATTATTTGCTTTGGTAATGTGCTCAGAAGTAAATTTACTAAGACAATTTATTATACCATTTAGATATTTTTGAACATATCAAGTCATTGTCCATGTTTGCATAATTTCTCAACCAGTCATGTTGTAATAATTCATGAGCACATAATCTTACATTTGGTTCTATTTGTATGCATTGTCTAATGAAATCTTTAAATTCATGAGAGTGAGTATTTCCAACAAATTTTTCTACATCTAGATGCTGAATTTCATTCATGTGGAATCCACTCTCAGAGAAGGGGAATTTGAATTTGGATAATTCCAAAATTGAGACTCCCAATGAATAAATGTCTGATTTGTGGCTATGTTTACCGTGTTGCAACTTTTCTGGACTCATATAAGCAAATGAGCCAAGTCTATTTTGAGAAACCTCTGTACAAGTAGACAAACCAAAGTCAGTCAATTTGACTTCTCCTCTTCTGTTAAGAAGAATATTGCTTGGTTTGATATCAGAGTGAATAATATTGTGATCCATTAAAAAGCATAACGCTCTGGTGATTTGCACAACCATCAAGGCAAGCATTTCCTCAGGTAGACCCTTATTATCTCTTTGATTTTTGGCACTATCTGATTCTTCGTCATCGTCGAACAGCTTTCTTCTGGTACTCTTCTTTTTTTCTGGCTTTGCTGATGATTTCGTATCCATTGGGAACATTTCCTCATCTGTATTCAAATCATCCAAGTCATCATCATAAGTCATTAATTCTGAATCTTCATCAAAGGCCATTGGTGAAAGATGGGATGAATTAGTTTCTGTTTCCTCTTCTAAGGATTTCCTCTGTGTCTTGGAAAGTTTGCTATATTGTTTAGCAATAATATCCAAAGAGTTGCCTTCCATATATTCAAGAATGAGATGAATAGAATCTCCTTTTTGGAAACAATCGAATAATGTCACTACATTTGAACAAGGTTTGCATATTGAAAGATACTTGACCTCGTTCTTAACAATGGCCTCTCTTTCTTCATAATGTTCAATTACTTTCTCTGCAAAATAGAGACCAGTGGATTCTTGTTGAACTAGAGAAACAGTACTTGATGATCCTTCTCCAAGTGCTCTAATTTTACGGAATTTTCTATTCAATTTATCGTATAACAATAAAGAACCGGTATTAGGACTGATACAATGACTAGCATAGGAACAATTAGACTCCACACTACTGCTCAGAGAATAACACATGGAATTATTGTCATAACTGTGAGGATTAAAATAGCCAGAACTATATTGATGGCCAAGGGAATTTTGTACAAATGAGCTACTGTGATGATGGGCAGCTGATGAGTGAGAATGGGCAATTGGATTATATGAGGAATTGGAAAAGGAAGAAGATACTGATGATACGCTACTTCTATTAATCATCATGGCAGATGAAGTTGAAGGCGGGGAAAATGGAGTATGTTGACGTTGACCCATTCCATGGTGGTGATGGTGAGTGGATTTTTGGAACAAGTTATTGATACTACTTGATGGTTGTTGTGGTTGAAGGCTACTACTTCTATTATGATAGTGGGCGCTTGTGATGAGAGAAGAGGAGTGAGGAGAAGGGGATGCCATAGTATTACTTTCATCAACTGACGAAATGTAGCCTTGATTTGGAACGGAGGAGGCATGATTGTACATGTAGAATTCTTGTGGTATTTCGAATTGTTTTGTAGGCTTTGAAGCCTTACTATCTCGAACAGAGGAAATACTCAGATTGGCAGGCTTGTACTTGGCGTTAGAGGTTTTTCGTTTAAAGGTAAGAGTTGAAGAAGAAGAAGGAATGGGTATTGGAACTGAATTGTTCAGACTACCACCACTATTATTACTACTCAGCGAAGAAGGAGTTGTGGTATTTGCTGTTGTTGGTAGACCACCCATCATCATCATTGTTGGAGGTGAGTGGAAGGTGTTCTCCACCAAACTATTCATACTACTATTAGCGGTATTATTGTTCATCATCATCATTGGAATATTAATAGTTCCACTACTGGTAGTGCGATTCATCATTTTATGTCTGCTTCGGAATCAAAGAGTGTTGTTGTTTTAAAGAGAAGAATTGATGAGGGTGTGTGAGTATTGGATTTTAAAATAGTCAATCAATTCTTTTGTTGTGTGTTAGTACTACTACGTGCTTTTCTGTGCTACAGTATCATGAATGATGCCTCGTGTGCTATTTGCTGATGGATTCGTAGTTTTCTTAGATGTTTTGATGAGAGGAGTTGAAGGCAATTTTTTTTAAATGAAAACCGATCCAAAATTAGCAAGAGTAGAAGTAAATGTGTCTTTGCTGCCAAAATGACTTGATTCTCGATTATTATTTTGTTGGGTATGATTGTGAAAGAATGATGATTGATTCAGTGAGAAAGGGTTGCTCTTTGAACTTGTGATTGATTGGATTATTATGTGCTTTTTAATCTCACTTCAATTAGTTAATCTCAGCAATGTAGAAGATCAAATATGCAGCTCTTCAACAAGTTGCACAGCCCAATATTGAATCCTTGATGAATGTCTTGTTTCCCATATATCATAAATTTTATCAACTCAACAAAATGATCTCTAAATCTCAAATATTTACAAATTGATAATCGTGGTGTAAATAACCACATTTAGAAGAAATCCTCAATAGTAAACAAAATTTTTAATACTTTTTTACATGTTTGGCTTTCTTGTTTTCACCTCTAACTCTCTTTCTTTTCTTTGAGGCTGGATCTTCACTGTTGTGTTTATCATTCTTTCGTCCTAATCGCTTTTCAAATGTCATTCCTCTTTCTTCCTTACTCTTTGCACCAAAATCTAAAATATTGCTATTGTCATAATTGAGTGATTGAGTTGACTCAATACCATAAATTCCAATATCATCATACTCATCATCCTTATGCCTAGTGTTTTCAACCTTTTCCTTTCTCTTTAACTTTCTTTCATCCAACTTCTTTTGTTTTTCTTTAGTATCCACTTTAAAGTCTGGATCATTGAGCATTTCTGTAAATCTTTCGTCATTGACAGAAGAAATAGCACCCTTCTTCTTTTTCTTTGGAACTTCCTCACCACCTTCTTCAGATGTAATGAAATCAACAAGATTCTTAATACGTTCTTCCTTGAGTCTGTCTTCAGATTCCTTTTCAATCTTTTCAAGATCAATTTGTGGTTCAGTTGGCTTTTGATTGTTAAATTCGAGAGCCTTTCTATAGAGGGACATCTTGATGAAGAAACCGTGCATGTATGGTCGTAAAAGATCTGTTCCGAATAAATCTTCCAATCCAAGACTATAATTATTAAGTAATTGAAAAATTCATAAAATACATACTCTTGAATTTCTTCCATTGTAAGGAATTTAAAGTCTTGGTAAACAGTATTCTTCTTGAAATCTTCGAGTTCTTCTGTGATTTGATCCACAAATGAGCACCACTTTGGAGCAGGTCCCAAACTTGGAATATAGTATGGTTTTATCTTTGATCTTTCACCACCAACAAGAATCATACCACTGTTTGGAATTATACAGAAATCATTAATCTTTGCCGATAATTCCAAGTTTGTATAGTTATTGCCATTTGATTTATCCCAAATCTTGACAAGTTGAGTATCTGCAGAGAAGATATTCTTTGATGAATCATGATAAGCAATTTTAACAAGTGGTAAATCAGTGTTATGGTCCTTAATATAGACAGCACCTTGTTTTCTCAAATCGAATAATCCAACTTTACCAGCATTTGTACCAACTGCAAATCCAATACCATCATTATCAAATTCGAAAGCTGTTATTGAAGATGAAGATACTTCTGATGGTAGCATAGTGTTAATTGATCCACAAGCATCAATACATCCAATAATTCTCTTTGATCTTGGATCCATACATTCCACAAATCCATTATCACACCCAAGTCCAAAAAGTTGGTGAACTGGGTTAATTCTTACAGTATTGATAGCTTCTGTATTTGTATAACTTAATGTTGGTTTTCTAAACATGCCTTGTTCAAGATTGAATCTATAAATTTCATTAGATGAGCCAACCATAACCAATTCTGCACTATGGTCATGATAAACTAAATCTCTACCATATTTTGGAATTCTGAATCTATAGTAACTACCCCATTGAGCATGAATTTCAATATATCTATCTTGACAAAGAGTTGCCAATTTTCTAAAATCTGAAGTGAGTGGACAAATTTTAATAATTTCAAGATCTACGTGTCTCTTGAATTTCATTGACAAATCATCAAGAGTAAAACAACGGAGTTGTGGCTTGTAGATACCTGATGTCCACAAATGGTTTTCATCAGCTGCTAAACAAATATTATTACAAGCAGTTGGGAATTCCAAGTCATCAATCAAGTTAAAGTAATTCTTGGCATCCATGTTATATTTTGCCTTCAACTTGGAGTTTTGAATAATTTCCGAAAGTGATTTTTTACCTTCCAAATCATAAACAAGCACACCATAATTCTTGGAGGCAATGTTCATGTTACTACTTGAAAAGACTTTCTTCTCCTTCTCGTTTTTATCATCATCCTTGAAGAATTTAACATCGGTAATCTTCTTTTTAGTTTCAATTTCCTTCAAAAGTCTCTTGTGATTCATTTTCTTGTTTTAATAATGAAGACACAAAAGAATGTTGTTGATGCACAAAGGTTTTTTTTTGTTGAACGAAAATGCAAATTATTTTTTATTCTCTTATCAAAAAACAAGTTGAAGCACAACAATAAAATTATTTTCATCATTTCTTTTATTGCAAGATTGTTCTTTTCATCAAATAGTTCATAGCTAATTGATCAAACAATTTATCAATCTAATCCGATGGTGCAATTATTTGATGAAGAATCATATAACAAGTAACTATTGGCTTTGATAATAAATTTATTTTGAAAAAATGAGTGATAATAATAATGGAGGTGAACCTCTCCCTCTCAACGTTGATTTTATTCAAGTTGTTGCCAACACCCCTACTGAAAAGCAGGAAGCACTCCCTTCAGAATTAGAACAAACAGTGGTAGCAACAGAGGAAGCAACCATTCATGGAGAATACAGCACATCTCCCTGATCAGAGTGCAACAACAGCAATAAATTTGGAAACATCAGCAACAATGGTTTCTGAACCAATGAATGGCACAACAACAATTGCTAATACAACCACTACTACTACAAATAATGAAACGGAAACAATACAAAATAATTCATCAAGTAAAACTTCGGAACAAATTAAAAAGGAAGTTGAAGATATTGCTAACAAAATTGCCTTGGAAAGGGCAACAAACTTGAGAAAGGAGCAACCTGTTAAAAAACCATCATCATCAATCATTGATGTTACTAGATTAAATTTCGATGAAAAGTTTCAAGAAATTCAAGAACTTCTTCCTACCACTGCATTTATCAGTTTTGATCTTGAAATGACCGGATTAGAAGTAGAGTATGTTTATTATAATCTTTAATATTGATCTTTTTCAGTGAGGAACATAAATTAATGTACATTGATACTATTGAGGATAGATATCTTAAATTGAAAGATAGTGTTAAAGCATTTGAAGTTATTCAAGTTGGTCTCTGTTTGTGGTTTGTTAAGGATGTTGTAGAAGAACAACCAGCTACCGACTCTATGCAAGATGACGAAATTATTGACCAAGCAGAGAGATTAAGAAGACTTATAAAATCATCAATGAACAAAAAGACCACTACTACAGTCACAGCTAAGCCATATAATTTCTACGTTTTCAAATCACCAACTCGTTCAGCAAATGTATTTTCATGTCAAAACACTTGTCTTCAATTTTTAGTCAATAACAAGATGGATATCAATAAGGTAATCGGTCAAGGTATCAGTTATATGAATGAGGATGAAGAAGAAGCCATCAGAGAAAATGTCACAAGAATTACCAAGCAAAAGGCTGCTTCTGCTACCAATAGAAGAAAGTCTGATCGTGGAGATAAGATTCAAGTTGAAAATTTAAAACCAGAACAACGTGAATTTTTGGAAAATTGTAAAAGTAGAGTTGCTGAATGGTTTGATAATTCAGAAGATGATGATATTAACTTGGATCCTTGCAATACTTTTGAAAGAAAGTTGCTCTTCCAAGAATTTGGAGAAATGTATGTTAATTGCAATTTTTAACTCGGTGACAATAATTTATATAGTTATGAAAATAGGATTACCCTTACAACTATTTACGCCAACAATAGAACAGCATTTATTCGAGTACAGAGAGCTAGTGGAGAAAGTGAAGAAGAAAAGATGCAAAGAGAAATCAGAGAGGCTGTAAATAGAGATATTGGATTTTCAAGAATTATCAGAGAATTGAAAAAACACAAACACTTATTCTTTATTGGCCATAATGCCATGCTGGATATGATGCACATTGTTCACAAATTTATACAACCACTTCCAGAGTCTTCAGAACAATTCAAGACTATTGTTAGAGAGAATTTTGAACAGTAAGTTTTTATAACAAAATTTACAAAATACCCAATAATACAATTATTCAAACCATTTTAACAGTGTAATAGATACCAAATATATCTGTGAGACTTATCCTCAAATTTCTTCAGCTCTTGGCAGAGACACCTCTCTGAGAACCGCTTTTGAATATACACTCAATAATAACAACACAGATGGTCCAGTTTTTGAAAACTTCACAGAGTTTTATTCTTCCATCAAGGATTTCGATCACGTTGCTGCATTTGATGCTTTCATGACTGGTTATGTATTTTACAGAATTAGCCACATGATTGCAACAAACAGAAATAATAAGAATTTTAAAGGAATTGCCGATTTGACTCACATCAAGGAAATGACAAACATTATTAATATCCATAATTGTGATTTGAATTTGAAACTTTTAAAGACTAACCCATCTGAAGATAGATCTGATGTCTTCCTCTTAACTAATCTCACACAGGAAATTACTAATGAACATATTAAGGATGCGTTCTCAAGGTACGGTATGATTAAGATTTTTTGGATAAATGCCAAGTATTGTTGGGTCAAGCTTTCAAACAAGGCATCAGTTTTATCATGTAACAGAGATGTCATGAATCAAATGGAATGCCATAATGAAGGAATGAAAACTTTAGCTTTCGAAAAGGGTGTGACCATTATGACCTATGCCCAAGCACAACAAGGAAAAATACTTCCAACTATTTCACAACTTGCTTCTCTAGTGCCTTTGGCAATGGAAGATGAAAACTCTAAAAAGCGTAAGAATGAAGAAGTTGAAGAACAAACCACACCATCACGAAATGCAGCAAACACCTCACCTTCCCAAAATAACAATCCAAAGAGAGTACGCAGGAGTAGTGGAGTCCCACCAACTGAATCTGAAAAGGCATCTTCTTGCAACATTCTCTAATGTGTTTCACTCTCAATTTTGGCAAAGGGATTATCACAGTGAAACCTAAACTCAAAAAAAAGCATTGAGCTCAATAATGTAAGTTAAATAAATCCAAAGATTGTTTTTATTATCTCTTTGTTCGCTTTAGTAATTGGAGAGGATCATCGCCGTACTTGTTATAAAGTGGTTCAATTTTTTCTTGTCTCTTTCTCTTAGAAAGGTAAGCATCATCGTGAACTCGGTAAAAGTTTGGAGCCAATTCAACCAACCACTTTGGTTCAATGGTAATAATATCACGCATATACTCCTTAGTTGTCAATAGTAAGGTATGGTAAACAACCCATTCAGGATTCTTGTGGAATAGAGCACTTCCTGGATGCACATATACAGGTTGGTTTTCAACAAGTGTCTTGTATCCTTCTTGTGGATCTTTCTTGGCTGCATGGGCAAAAAATCCACTGGCAATAGCCTTTCTAATCTTGGTAAAGTTCTTTCCACATGTAATGACTGGCAATTTATATCTGTCCATAATTGTTAATAATTGTTTTCGAATATCCTGAGCTCTTTTCATTGATCTGGATTGGATAAAGTTTTCAAAACACCAAGGAACAGAAAAATTACTTCTTTCCCATGATTGATAAACTGCAAGAAGTGTCAAGTGATCTCCTTCAGGTTGGAAAAATCTTGACTTTTTCTGATCAGCTTGTTGTTGCTTCTCTTTTGGTCTATAGAAAATTCCTTGTACTGAAATCATGGAAACAATTGTTAAAACCTCATCAGAACATTTCAAATCTACAGAGGCAATAAGGGTTTTTGCCATTTGTGGTTCGAGAGGAAATTCTGCCATCTTTCTTCCCATTTTAGTTAATAGACCATCATCGTCAAGAGCTCCTAGACTGTACAATTGCTCCATAGCAGCAATAAGTGCTTGAGGTGGTGGTGGATCCATAAAATCAAAGTTCAACAAGTCATTAATACCCATAGCCTTCAAAGTCAATACAGTATTTGCCAAGTTGGTTCTTTGAATTTCAGGAACAGTATTTGGCAACATTTCATTTTTGTATGCTTCTTCAGTATATAAACGATAGCATTTACCTGGTCCAGTACGACCAGCTCTACCAGCTCTTTGACGAGCGGCTGCCTGAGAGATTGGGACAACTGTCAATTGATCCATACCAGTTTTGGAATTGTAAATATTTTGTTTTACAAAACCAGGATCTACCACATACAAAATACCATCAATGGTAATGGAAGTTTCAGCAATATTTGTAGCAATAACAACCTTTCTGCCACCAGGTGGTGCAGGGTCAAAGATTTTGGATTGCATTTCTGATGGTAGGGCAGCATAAATTGGTAAAATGACAAGTTCTGGAACATCACTTCCCAATGCTTTCATACGTTCATAGAGAATTTGACAAGCAGTATCAATTTCTTCCTGACCGGTTAAAAAGACCAGAATATCACCAGCTGGTTCAGTCAAGTGAATTTGCATGACAGTAATAAGGGTTGCATCAAGATAATCCTCCTCTGGCTCCTTTGTATATAAAATTTCGACAGGGAAAGTTCTACCAGGAATTGTAAAGATTGGACATGTGAAGAAGTAAGTGGAGAATTTTTCTGCATCCAAAGTGGCAGATGTTACAATTAGTTTCAAATCCTTTCTCTTTTGTGTTAACTTTTTCAATAGGCCAAACAAGACATCTGTGTGAAGGTTACGCTCGTGAGCTTCGTCCAACATGATAACAGAATATTTTTCCAATAGTGGATCCAACAGTGCTTCTCTCAAAAGCATACCATCAGTCATGTATTTGATGGCAGTATCAGGTGATGTACAATCTTCAAAACGAATAGTGTAACCAACTTCTTGTCCAACTCGACATCCAAATTCCTCAGCAACACGTCTAGCAACTGAAATGGCAGCCACTCTACGAGGTTGAGTACATGCAATAATTTTACCTCCATTGATTCCCTCCTCTGCAATATATTGAGTAATTTGTGTTGTTTTACCACTTCCTGTTTCACCAATGACGATAAGAATTTGATTATTACTAATTGAAGCAGCAAGCTCTGATCTGAGAGAATAGACTGGCAAGGATTCTCTCTGTTGTTTAATGGTGGCTGCAGAACTTTTTTGAGCTACACCAGTAATGGTTGATTTTTTCCAATCTGGAGCACCTGATCCCATTCCCTTATTACTGAAATCTGTTGATTCATTAACACGTCTATAATATTCAAAGAGAGGATCATCAGCTTCAAAATCTTGAATTTCTCCTTGGAGTTTTGCTCTCTGCTCTTCCTTCAAGTCTCTTCTGTCTTGCGAATATTCGAGTTGTTTTTCTGCTATTCTGGTGAGGGTACCATCTCTAACTTGAGTCAAACGAACAGGTGAATAGGTCATTCCACCTTTTGAAGTTTGATTCTCCAAGAATTTAGGTTCCTTTTCACTTCTCTCAATTTCAACATCCTCTTCAACTTCTTCATAACTTTGAGGTCCATCATCAGGATCTATCATTGGACCAGAATATCCAAATCCAGATGCTGCAATTTGTTTTTGTTCCCACATTTCATACGGATTCATCTTTTTGGTTGGCCTTCTGGAATCACTTCTAGAATCTAAAATGGAGGAAGATATTCCAGAGTGGTTGGTTGATTTGTAAAATTCATCATCCTCAGAGGAACCAGCTCTTGCAAGTGCTCTACGAGGAAAGAGATCTTTTCCTGTATTTTGGTCAACTTCCTTCATTGAGAGAGAAACTCTTGAATCAGTTGCTACGATAACCTTAACCCAAACCATATCATTCTTTGCAACAAAGTCATCTACCTTTGATACTTTCTTTTCATTACTAATTTCGCTAATGTGACACATGCCATCCTTATTTCCCTTTACAATTACACCATCTATGGTTTCCTCTAATCTCGCAAAGAATCCATAATTTTTCAACCCTGAAACTCTGGCTCTATAAATTTGATTAGCCTCGATTTTGTCTGTATATTCTCTTCTTTTTCTATTTCTATCGTCTTGAGATGGAATAGATCTTGAATCGCTTTTTGATGATGACAACGATGGTTGGCTCTTAGATGATTCTAATTGATCAGGTAATTTATCAGGAAGGCATAATCCTGGAAATTTCTTCTTTGAATCTATCTTTTTCCTAATCTTTTCTTCCATTTCTTCCTTTATACTTTTATCCAATGAATGCAATCGATCATTAATCTGTGTCGAAGATGATGTTACGACCTCCTTATCATTCTCAATTTTTTCCTCCGATTTTGTCAATGACGTTGTAGAGTATTTTCCTGCACTTGTAAACTTTCCAGATGTCTTGGATGACATTCTGTGTATCATGGCAAATAAAGTCTCCACAAAATCCCTCGGTAATTCAGCTTCATTATCAATTAATTTATTATAAAAATCCTCTGCAGTCTTTGATTCCTCCCGAGCAAGATGAATAACAAATTCAGCAAGAGCCTTCTCGCCTGATCCAATGTGGGTTTCAAGTTCTTTACAAACTTTAGAAACCAACTGAAGTTCCAATAAACGATCCATAATTATTTTTCATACACAATGATCAAGTAATACAAGTAGACTCTCCGAATATATTTTAAGTATTAATCGAAAATCTCTTCCGTAGTGTATGGTGTGGTGATCAACCTCTCTAGAATAACAAATGATGTTATTAAATAATGAATTTTTTTTGATTTTTAAATTATTAATAAAAAACCGAAACTCTACACCTTCAACAATCCGTAACCTCAATTTTGCTCATCAACAGCAATTACAAATTTTACGAATATACATCGGAGGCGAGAATGAAATCATCATCATCATGAATCATCAACAGATAGCAAGCCTTCCTCATGGTAAGGAACAATCATTTGGTAGAATTGTTGAGAATATTGTTAGACAAATTAATGATCATGTGATTGATTGTTTTGGTCCTAAATCAAGTGGTAAAATAATAACAATTATTGGAAGGGATAATAATACTCAACAATATTTAAGCAATGAGGGTGGATTTATTATTCAAAATTTAAATGTTAAACATCCAGTCGGGTTGATGATTGTAAAATTGGTTAAACAAATTCAAATGGGATGTGGTGATGGAACGATAAATGTTGTGTGCCTTCTTAATGAATTATTGAAGGTTGCACAAGATTTGATTAATAATGACACTATTGAAACCAATTTGGTTTGTGAAACATTTACTCAAATATGTAAGAAATGTGTGGATGAAATGAAAAAGTTTGCCCTCAATATTCTTGTCGATGAGAATGGGAATAGCCTTGACCTATCATCGATCAAGAGTAATAAGGATATTTTGAATGTAAAGATTCATATTGACAAGCGTAAATCAGATGATTTGGTAAGAACCTTCTTTAGAACCAAACTGAATGATGAAAAAATCATTTCTCAACTTGTAAATATTTGTCTGAAGGCGTCCTTTGATTTATACGATGGTCTTTCTATTAAACAAATGAAAAATATCCAATTACTGCCGAATTTCCACAATGTCAATATCATTTCACAAGTATCCCTAAGCTCTAGAGTAGAATATATTGATGGTCTTGTATTTGAACATGGATTGCAGAATCAGTTCATGCCTCGATATCTGAAAGATTGTAAGGTAATTGCAATAAGTGACATTCCACTAGAAATGTTGAAAGAAAAGAAGAAGAATGAATTCAAATCTGCACAAGAGAGACTAGAGCTTCTCAGAAAGGAGAGAGAAATAATAGATTACAAGTTAAAAAAGATACTGAAATTCTCTCCCTCTTTTGTAATTTCCAATAATGCCATAGATGATTCCAGCTTGAACCAATTCTCAAGGCACAATACTATTGCCCTCAGACACGTGAGACAAGATATTTTCGATAGAATTTGTGAAATGACGAGTGCAACAAAAATTTATGATTGCGACTACATCAAGGAAGACTATATTGGACATGCAGAGTTTGTTTCCATCAAGGAAGATCAAAGACATGCACAGCCAGAATCTATAATACACATTAAGGGAAACAAATACACTGTCGGATCGATAATAGTTTCAGCATCCAACAGAGTTCTCAATCAACAATATTCTAGATTAATTAGGGGTGCCTTGAAAATTATTAGAAATTCATACGAGGATTGTCTAATTGCTCCTGGAGGAGGATCATTAGAAATGATGCTTTCCTCTCACCTTAAAAAAACAGCAAACAAATTATCACCTATTGAACAATTGATTTATGAAAAATTTTCACTTGCATTGGAATCCTCAGTACCATTTCTGATTTGTGAAAGTAGTGGGCTCAATACGAGTACCACTCTCCGAACGTGGATGCATCAAATCAAGAAGGAAAAGATTCTAACACTAGAAACTAGCTCATTTCCAGCTAGATTCATTCATCCAGAAGTCAAAGGCGTTTGGGATTCAATGCGAGTAAAGATTCAATGCCTTCACCAAGCTGTTGAAATGGTTTGCACACTACTAAAGATCGATTCTATGCACACTGCCACAGATCTGAAAAAAGAATTCAATGATAGTATGCAAAAAACATTGAATGAACTAGCTCAACAAGAAGTTCCTCTCAATAACGAATGGAAACAAAGCAACCAACCTTTCACTAAACTTCCGTCACATTTAAGCTCTACACAACAAGAAAGAAGAAAACAACAAATAATCAAGAAGGATAAAGCATTCTATAGTAAGGAGAAATCCAAGCAAAGAAAAAAGCTAGATCATATTCAATCAGATAACGCTCAATCAATTCAACAACACCAAAACTCAGAGGTTGAAAGAGAGCACGAGAGAAAGCTAAGAGAAAAAGGTCTAGTTGGTTATGATATCGATCCATTTCATTAAATAATTTATTTCATTCTCATAAATGAGTGGAATTGTTTGTGTGTTGTAAACTTGTCCAACTTGAGTGAGTCATAACATGTTTCATGGACATCATAGCACTTATTACAAAGGATGAAAGACATGCATGTTTTGCATTTGTGGATTGGTGCTTGGAGTCCCACTGTTCCACAACCAGCACATTTGAGTTTTTGGTGGGCATGTCTTGGCTCGGGTATCATTGAAATTTCGTGAGTGCATTTGTGTGTCTTGGGCTCTTTTTGAAGGAAGAAACACTTTCTACATAAGTTAACATCCTTACACTCCGTACACATAAATCTTTCACCAATTATAGGACAAGCCAGACAAGAGCTACATTTCTTATCAACATGAACTGCATAACCACAGCCAGGATCTGGATATTCAATTGCAGTAAATGAATCTGATCTATGTTCATGTGAATCTTTTGTCATGACCTTATCAAAACAATCCTCACAAACATCAAAATCTCCTGAACAATCTTTACATGAAAACCTAGCTCCACAAATAGGATACATCTCACAAACATCACAAGAATACCAATCGTGGAAAATTGGTTCTGTGCAAGTATTCTCAAATATAAAATATGGCCCATAATCTTCTGAAAATTTAGATGAACATTTTTCACAGAGATTAACCTTTGGATTTTTACAGCTCTTAAACCTCTTAATATTCTTATCAGTTCCCATAAAGTCAGGTGAGAATAAATTCTTATCACACTTGTGACATGAATAGCTTGTCATTTCCTTATCAAATGCTTCACCCAATCTATTACCAATACTCAGCCACCCTTTTCTAATGTTGTGATTTCTTGCAAATATTTCAATCTTTCTAGCTCCTGGTACCATGCTTTCGATAATCTCGTATACTTCGTTTGGTTTTTGGGATTGGATACCAACTTTTGAGAAGAGAATATCGTTGGTAATTTTGGAAATATATTGCAACTTTTGCCCATTTTTCTTTGTTGAGCCATGCTTTACGCCAACTAGCAGTAATTCAGTTGAGTGAAGGAAATAATAACCTGTACCTGCAAATATTTGATCATTCTTTGTCTTTTTGATCCAGGTAATCTTGTCAATATAGGAAAATCCCCAATGATTCAGTAAATTGAGTCCAAATTGAAGAGATGAATTGAGAACCCACATGAAACAGAACCCCTGATCACACAATGATCCCACATTAATATCCATAATTTCCTCGTATGAGAGAGTGTTATAATTTAGTTTAAAGTTGGTATTACTGAACATCATGGCCTCCTGTGGTCTACTCTGAATAACTCTCCAAGGTGGATCAATTAATATTACATCAAATTTACCCAGTGAGGACAAGGTAAAATATCTCAAGTCACAATTAATATAGTGGCCTCCTTTGAATGGTTTGATTTTGTAACTTGCTTGCTTTCCGACAGACATTTTTATGAGCTCGGATATGTAACTTTCATCCTGTAAATTGGCTGGCACTTCATCCTCCTCTTCCTCTATTCCTTCATCTTCCTTTCTTTGTCTGACTCTTCTTTGTATTAAGCTTTCATACTCGTCCATTCCAGTTAGCTTCACTCCTACTGCGAGAGAATGACTAAATTTCAAGTTAGAATATCTTTCCATATTGAAAAGAACTACTTACTCGTTATTATTCTCATTCATGTAATTATCGTATTGTTCATCATCCAAATGTTTGTGTTGAGGAAGAGGAATTTGTTCGCACCTATTTTTGTTATATGGATTAATGAGTCCATCATGTTCTACAATAGGTGCCAATTCCAAGTCGGCAAAGGTTTTCTTATTCTGTTGTTTTTGTGCCTCATTATCACTGGTTGAGTAGGCTTCTTCCTCTTCTTCACTTTCGGATTCATTAATGAGCTTGGATCGTTGCCTATTCTGTTCTGCGATCGTATCCTTCTCAATCGCAAATATTTCAAATAAATTCTGAACAGTGTTGGGTGACTTTTTCTTCTTCTTGGAGTTGACAGTTTTAGATCGGCTTGTTGATTGAGATCTATTCGAGGAGCCATTAGAAGTAGTATTGCTACTCGATTTCCTAGAAGTTTTTGAAGTCTTTTTTGTTTTCCTCTTCTTTGTAGTACCTTCACTATCTTCCTCATCATTATTTTCCTCACTTGATTCATTTTCATCGTCTACAATGAAACTATCACTATCATAGGTTTCTTCGTCATTATCAGAGAGCTCCTCACTTTCGGACTCCTTTCTCCTCTTTCTTGAGGATGTCTGAGTAGAAGGTGATTTGGAACGATTAGAAGATGACGAACCTCTAGAGGCAGAGGTGGTGGATTTTGTAATTTTCTTCTTTGGAGTTTGCCTAGTTTTTTTAGTTGGTTCATAGTTATTGTCACTTTCACTTGTTGTGGTTGATATTTCCATCTTCTTTGAAGATGAACCTCTTCTAGTACTGGAAACTTTTGATTGATTTTTGGATTGGCTTTTAGGTTGATTTCTTGACCGTGATGGTTGTTTTCTTTTCGGAACTTGTTCCTCATCAGATTCACTACTATTACTACTATTGCTACTAGTATTGTTGATCTGTTCCTCTTTTGTAGAATCTACATAGGCCTCCATCTCTTCATCATCATCCTCTTCATCAAACTCCACAACAGCTTCATCTTCCTCCTCTTCCTCTTCAACTTCGTCTTCATTTTCTTCTTCGTCTTCTTCTAAAATAACTTGATTATTTCCTTCATAGTACGAGACGTTTTTGGCCCGTTTTCTTAGGGTTGGTTTTCTGTTCATTTTTTCAAGTGGTGCTGGTGGTAATTGAAGTGGCATCAACCACAATCTTATTGTTGGAATCCAATAACTTTCATCTCCTATCAGTATTATCGTGTTGCCTGATGAAGAATGAGGTTTAAAAATCCCCATGGAAAAAGTTGTTGTTGATGTGGTTTAATTCATCCTAGATGTGTAGATGTGTCGTTTCTGTTGGTCATAAGAGGAGATTTGATGTAAACTACGTTGTATACTTGTTGTATGAAGATCAAAACAGTTCTTTCCATAATAATTAAATATAAATCATGTTCCGAATCTTTCAGTATTGTTAGCCTGTGAAAACAGACAGAATGGGAAAATTTATGTCAATCCATTTTTTAATTCTTGATAAGTGTTTAGTGGCTATCAATGTGTTAAGGTGAGAATGGTGGTAGGTGTTGTGATAGTATGATGTTGGTGTTTTCGTTTCAATAAGGAAGAAGTTCATGATTTATTAGCCATTTGAAAATCACCAACAAAACAACAATTTCCAAATTTTAGATAAAACAGTAACAAAGGCTGTGTACTTGGAGCAGGTTCAATTGACTTGTGGGAAGCTACAAGCTCCCTAATTCGAAAGAAATTTCAATTATTACCATGTTCAAACAATTATTCTCCAAATGGCCTTCCAGGTAGGAAAATATTCTCGAAACACAGAGGTCAGTGTTTCGAGAACCAAACCAGAAAATAATTCTAACAAAAAAGATGATTTATAGTCTAACTTATTAAGAAAAATAACAATAACAAACTCCAATAGGTGTTGTTATCTTACATTAACATTATCATGTGTTATTAAACATCTTTAAATCCATTAAGGTTAGAATTATTAGTTGTCAAAACAAAAATATTGAAGATTAACATTTAATTATTTTAATTATTCAATATAGAGGCGATCAATTGGGCCAGGTGTTGGACATGTTACCTTCATACACTCTTCCTTGATATTGGTCTAAATAATGATCAATTTCTTCGACAAGTAGGTGTAGTATTGATGTATCATTAGACTGGTGTTGGTTGAATTGTTGTAGTACAAAGAGGCGCCTGCTGATGGATCCTATTGCTGGTCATGAGCGTTCTCGTTGAAGCAGCTAACAATATTCGATCCGTTACCGAAAAGTGCCTTTGTTTGCAAAGGATGTTGTAAAGGGGAACGACTTGACTGCGCAACCAATCCGTCTTGTGGTGTATGCTGAAAAGAACCAATTACCAGCAAGCTGCTGATGCTCAACTCAATCAAAGAGGGCAAGTTACGACATCACTCAGGCCTAAAAATATTTATGCGCCAATCAAACAGCAGCAATTGCTCGAGGCTCTTCAATAATGTTGATGTGCCGTTGTTGGAGAGAGAATATTTTTGCTTTGTGTAACGTGCGGCTTCAAGACAACGGTGGCAGCCTTTTCAACGCTGCATCTTTTCAAAGGAGAAACAAAACACTCAACACACAACAACAACACAATGGCAGGAAAGAAGTCTACCAAGAAGAAGGACCCAAACGCACCAAAGAAACCAAAGACTGGTTATTTCTTGTTCTGTGATGAACACAGAGAAGCTGCCAAGGCTAAGACTGGTGAAAAGAAGAGTGCCAGTGAAGTAAGCAAAGTCTTGGGAGAAATGTGGAATTCATTAAGTGATGAACAAAAGAAGCCATACAATGACAAGTACAAGAAGTCTTTGGATGGATACAATGCTCAAATGGAAGAATATAAGAAGAATAAGCCATCTTCAGAAGATGAAGAAGAATCCGACTCTGATGGTGAAAAGAAGAAGAGAAAGAGAGGAAGCAAAAAGGCCAAAAAGGATAAGGATGCTCCAAAGCGACCACTCACTTCATACATGATCTTCTCTCAAGAAATGAGAAAGAAGCTCTTGGAAGAGGATAGTACCCTTAAAGTAACAGAAGTTGCCAAGAAGGTTGGTGCTTTGTGGAAGAAAATGTCTGACGAACAAAAGAAGCCATACATTGCTCAGGCTGAAAAATTGAAGGCTGCCTACAAAGTTCAAAAGGAAGAATATGATGCCACTCACGAAACTAAGGCACCAGCAAAGAAGAAGACCAAGAAGGAATCGGAATCAGAAGAAGAAGAAAGTAGCGAAGAAGAAAGCGATGATGAGTAAATAATCAACACCCTAAGTTAATTGTAAATGTAAAAATCAATTAGACCAAAATATATTTATTTAATTTTTAAACGGTTACTTATTTTTTAATTTGGCGCAATTATGAATTTGTCTTTTTGCATACACAATTTCTTGTTGTTCTCCTCTTCAGAAAATTGGTGGAAAACTAAATTTAAGAAATCTAAACAATGATGGAACATTTAAAAAAAATGCCTCCAAACAAATCAACAACAGCAAAACTGTTCACTAGCCTCTGTTTCTTTCTCTCCTCTTCGATACCAAAGAATGAAAAAGAAAAATTAATTAAATCAATAGAAAAACATGATGGAACAATTTCGAATGATTTAGATACTAATGGAATTACTCATATTATATCTGTGGAGATGGAAACCAATTCCGAAAATGAAAATATTGATACATTGAATAGTTCTCAAGTTAAAAATCCAGACCGATTCATCATAAGTCCTCAATTTGTCTACACTTCAATCAAGGAGAATAAGTTGTGTGATGAGGAAAATTTTCTACTCTGCTATCCCTTTGTATTTTATAATCTTGTTTTTACTTGTACGAGAAAGATTTCCAATATTGCAAGTGTAGCTTTCATGGTTACTTTCCTTGGAGGAAAGTTTTTAGAACAACAAGAGGAAGAAAAAATTACTCACATTATCACAACATCGGATGATACTGAAACAGTTGCTCCATCATCATCATCAGATCATGTCATTATTGTATCTTTTGAGTGGTTGAAATTATGCTTTTCAAAGAGAATATATTTGGATGAAAAGAATTATTTGGTGGGCAAAAATCAAGGAAAATACATTAGTATTCATCAAGCAAAAACTCTCTTCCAAAGTTTAACATTCTACATTGTAAATTATCCTCCAGAATTTATAAGTATTTTACAGAGGGAAATTTGCTCAAACGGAGGAAAGGTCTTACAGAGCAGGTTGTTAAAAGATAATGTCAAGATTGATTATTTAATTACCAGATATGCATGTAATGAACCATATACATTAAAAAATGTAGAAAATATAACAACAGCTCAGTGGATTGACGACTCATTGAGGGAATCTAGATTGATTCCAATAAGTGAAAAGATAATTTATAGACCTTTGAAATCAAATAATTTTATCAAGGGATTTGAAAATAAGAAAATTTCCATTACAGGATTTGAAGGAGCTGAGAGATCAGACATGATTTATCTCATAAAACAAACAGGAGCTATCTATACAGGAGATTTAAATAAGCAAAATGATTTTCTCATTGTGAAATCATTTGATTTGGTTTCTAAAAAGATTGAAAAGGCTAAAACATGGGAATTAACCATTCTTTCTCCTGATTTCATTTTTGATTCTATTAGTCATTGGAGAATGATGAATACAGGTTTATACACACTCGAAACTGCAACAACATCATTAGATAAGAAGAGAAAATTACCACAAGAGGATAAGGTTCCTGAAAAACCTCCTCAGCAGAAAAAGAAGGTAAAGAAGGAGAGAGTCTTTAAATTATCACTTCATCCATCAGAGGAAGAGGAAATCATAGAAAAAATAGAAAATTTAGGTGCTAAAGTCTGCAGTACTGCCGTTGACACTCACCTCATCATTAGTGAAATTAAGAGAACTCACAAATTCATGACATCATGTGCTAAAGGAAGTTGGGTTCTCAAACCAAGCTATATTAAGGACTCTGTTGGGAACAATGAGTTTTTGGATGAAAAAAATTACGAGTGGTTTTCAGATGAATTCACAACAAAGGGAATATGGATGGGAGTTGGACGTAAGTGGAGACAATTCAGGGAAGAACATGGACACGGTCCATTCAAAGGATGGATTGTGTATATCCACCTGTTAGAGTTATCAGGACCTCCAAGAGAATTATTTCAGGATGTTATCACAGCTGGTGATGGTATTGTTAGTGAAACTCTGGATTCAAATGTCACTCTTGCAATACTGGACGACGACGTTAAGGCAACACATGACTCTGAGACAAGAACAATTTCCGAATTGAAAATTCCAGCAGTGAAGGGTGCATTCCTTTTAGATTATTTCACATTGAAGCAAACTCCGAATAAAGAGAATTATGTTGTGTTTTAAAGAGTACCACCCTTATTGAAATTTATTAAATATTTTTTAAAATCAAAATAATAAAAAAATGCTAACTTCATCGCCAGAGGAGGAATGTTCCGAACAATCAAATCATGGTACCTCTATTCCTACAGAAGATAACACTATGGGTATCCCTCGCATTAATTCTCTCTCTAATTTAAACTCCCCAAGATTTGAAAGTATGGATGCAATTGTCAATAGAAAGAGAATGGAATTACAATCTAAATTTTCAGAAATTGATGTAGATGGAGATGGATACATTACACAGGAGGAAGTTAAAAATTATTTGAAAAAGTATGGATTCTACAAATGTCCAGTGAATTGTACAGGTGGAAAAATTAGCTTTGTCGAATTTACACAATGGATGACAAGCGATAAACCAAATATTTTACAAAAGGCTTTGAACGGAAAATTATCAATTCCAAATTTTCAAGGTAAAATTATTTAATTACAATAATATTTATGGAAACCATATTTTTAAAATATTGAAATTAAATGGAATAGGATTTTGTAATAATATTTCGGAAATATTTGAAATTATTCAAAAAAATTCAAGTGGAATACTTCCTGATTATATACCAGAGTTAGCAAATGCTGATCCTAATCTATTTGGAATTTCCCTTTGTACAGTGGATGGACAAGTTGCACATTTTGGAAATGGTACCAAGAAGGTATTTACCTTACAACACTGGTATGTTCTAACTCTAATTAATTCAATAGGGTTTTTTACAAAATGTAGTATTCTTCCAATGTTATATTGTTTAGGAAGAGAGCAGGGTACTGACCTACATCAATTTATTGGTAGAGAACCATCCGGATTGAAGTTTAATGCCTTCTCCTTGAATGAAGAAAAGAAACCACACAATCCTTTTGTTGTAAGTGAATTTATCTGATACAAATATTAATTATTGAAATAGAGTACTGGCGGATTGGTTTGTGCCAGTCAAATTTCACCAAGGGATTGTAGTAGTAAAAGATTTACTAACATTTACCAATTCGTCCAAAGAATGGCCGGCTGTCCAACAACACTTGACAGCAATGATGATAATTCACAAATTTCATACTCTCAATGTACATATCTAAGCGAAAAGGAACACAATGATAGAAATAGAGCTCTCTTTTACTTTATGAGATCAAATGGTGTTAAGGGAATTTCACAAGAGGAGGGCTACGATATTAATGATGTACTCGATTTTTATGTTCAATGTAACAGCATCAGTTGTACAACAAGAGAATTGAGTGTAATTGCTAGTACTTTGGCAAATAGTGGTGTTTGTCCCTTGACAGGTGATAGATGTATTAAGGATATTCATGTTGTGAGAGATTGTTTGAGTTTACTCTACAGTTGTGGAATGTATGATTACAGTGGTACATGGGCATTTACTGTTGGTTTACCAGCAAAGAGTGGTGTTTCAGGATGTCTAATGATTGTGGTACCAGGTGTTTGTGGCATGGCAATATTTTCTCCTCTTGTTGATAAGAAAGGTCACTCAGTAAGAGCGGTAGACTTTTGTCAAATGCTCACTAAAAGATGCAACTTGTCAATATTTGGAGGATTGACAAGTGGTAACAAATTGTTGTATACCAATAGAAAATTGTAATTTTTAATGTTACTTTCTTTCTTCTGTTAATTTATCTTTTTGTTCATAAACTTCATTCATCAAGGCCTTAACCATATCAGTCTTGAATCCGCCTTTTGTTGATTCATAAAAAGTTGGTAGCTCCAAATTTTGGTCTGTTTCATATTCCAAAGCTTGAAGAACCATATCAAATTTATCAATATCCTTGATCATGACTGCTTCTGGTGATGTTCCTTCCTCATATTCATGCCACAAATCCAACATTTCATTTACAGTTTGAGTAAATTGTTTACCTTCCTCAGTAGTGTCACTAACTCCATTCAACAAGGTTTTCCTCATATTTTCAATGGCATCATTTTCAAGTTTGAATTTTTCTTCCTTTGAAACACCAGCATGAGGTGTGATATCTCCTGCAATAGCTTCAGAAAGATCGTGAATTATACTCATTTTGATACATCTCTCTGTACAAATATTTGGTTGATTCTTTGTGAGCATACTGATAATAGCCATTCTATACATGTGACCAGCAATAGTTTCTGGTTGTTTCACTTTACAATCTACCCATCCTGTTCGGAGTGTATGTTTTAATTTACTAACAATTTTTAAAAAGCTGACAATATTTCTTGCAAAAACAGGGTTGAACATTGTTTCAGTCACGTTACTCATTTTTTTTAAATTTGTTTTTAATTGTTTAATTTTCTTCTAATAATAATTGGGTTCTTACAGGTTTTTCATCATCATATTATTAATGAATGCATGGCCCACCTACGTTATTGGTTTGTTCAACTGTTTGAATCAACACCAATTATCTCTAATAATATACAATTCTCAACACATTAAATTTCTTTGTCTGTCAACGTAAAACAGTTAATGAACCTCAATTCCTAACAAGCATTCAATGAAATGGCAACAATGCTACTCACTTTCAAAAGTAACCTATTTGCCACCGTTAGAAAGTTTGGCAAAAAAAAAATTCAACAACTCGAGTTTTTTAACCCACCTTTCTTTCCTTCATCATCTCAAAGGTTCGTTTTGTTTTTAGCCCAACCCGTGATTATAACAACGGATAATATGTGCCGTCATCTCATTTAAAATTGCTATTTGGTTAAATGTATAGATTTCTATATGGGAGGTATTTGCTCATCAACCATGTCCACCAGTACTGCTTCAACTTTGCAACTTTTTAGACCTATTGTTATTTGTGGCCCAAGTGGTGTCGGTAAAGGAACACTTATTCAAAAATTGTTCAAGGAATATCCAAACATTTTCGGTTTTTCAGTCTCTCATACAACTCGTGGACCAAGACCAGGAGAAGAAAATGGAGTGCACTATTACTTTAGTACAAAGGAAATAATGCAAAAGGAAATTGATGAAGGTAAATTTATTGAACATGCAAACGTGCACGGAAACTTGTACGGAACAAGCTTTCAAGCTGTAAAGGAAGTTCAAACCAAAGGAAAATGTTGTGTCCTCGACATTGATATTCAAGGAGCCAGACAAGTAAGAAACAATAAGGAATTAAATCCTCTTGTTTTGTTTGTCAAGCCACCAAGCATGGATATTTTGGAACAAAGATTGAGAGGAAGAGCTACTGAAACTGAGGAAAGCATTCAACTTCGACTTAAGAATGCCAGAAAAGAATTGGAAGAATTTGAACAAGACAATACCAATCTCTTTGATGACTCAGTTGAAAATAACGATTTGGATGAATCCTATGCTAGTTTAAAGCTTACTATCAAGAAGCACATACCAACAATTCAACTTTAAAGACTTTACAAAAAAACAAATACAAAAATACATTAAACATTTAAATAACCATCACTTTCTTCTTGTGATTGTTGAGGAGAGGAGAATCGACCTAAAATTGTCTTGAATAACGAAGCAAATGCATTCAAAACACATAAAAGAGGAATTAGGTTTGAAACTCGTTGATAGATTGATTCGGAAGGCTGCTGTACAGATTCGCTCGAAAGTCCTAAAAGTGGCCTCTGATCTTTGCTCACATATCCACTCGATGATGAGGATGTTACTGCGGCAGCTGTTGATGTACTATTATTACTATATGGATTCGATGAGAGTATGTTATGGGGAGTGTAGGAACCCTGCTTGAAATCAAGATCATCGTCCGAGCTGCTTGAATCATAAAGTTGATCTGAGAGGAGGGCTTGTTTGTTACTCATTTTTTGTGGTGAATGATATGATAATGAAGCATTGGTGTAAGATAGATTACTGTATTCTTACCTAAGATTCAGTAACAGTAGATCCTTTTTGAAGTTTTTCATTAGGTCTCGATAAAGATTGACATTTTCAATTCAAGTTTTTGTAAACACTTATCAAAAAAATGAAACAATTCAACAAGCCCCAATCATCATCGGAAGGTAGTATTGTACAAAAATATTCTCTCTCCTTACAGAAGGATTTAAAAACCAATTCGTTAATGGATATTAAAAAATTGACTAGTATTGCTAGGGAGGAAATTAAATATTGTAAATCTATTGCAAAAGTTATTTCTACAAGAATTAAAACAGCAAGTGCAGAGGAGAAACTTCCGAGTCTCTATTTATTAGATTCAATTATTAAAAATATTGGAGGAGAATATATTGATGAATTTAGTGCTGGAATTTCGGACTTGTTCTTTTACTCATTCAAAGTACAAATAGATTTGAATATTCAAATTAAATACTTGAAATTATTAAAAACTTGGTCTACAATTTTTGGAGAACAATCCATTCATGATATTGAAGAAAGAGTAATGAAAATTTCACATTATGGACCAAAGCAAAATTTTGACTATGAACAAATTAAGGAAAAATATTGCAAACAATTGATTTATGTAAACCCAAACAAGTTTTGTAAATCTTCAATTGTAGAGGGTGTTAATACCACTAACGAACCAATGAACGACGCGTTGCCCACTCCAAATTTGGATTGGCTTAACAAGATTCTAAAAACATCTTCATTTGTTCCTTCTCCTCAGAGTGCTGCAGATTCCAACACACAACAAAGCCATACCAAGGACAATAATATTGGAAATCCTATGATGATACACTCACTTTATAGGAATACAAAAAACATTTCATTAGATGAAGTCAAGCAGCACAGAGAATGGTTTTTGAGTGATTTAGAGTGGATTAAGGTGGGCTGTAAAAAGAGAGAGAGATCTATATTTGAAGTGGAGAAAAACAAATAAGGTTTTATCCACTTCCAACAAAATATACGTATAATCCGATTCTTTGATGGCGAAGTTGCCAAATATTGTGCGAATTAAGATTTATAAAAGAAGGTTGGCTCCTCTATTCTTCTTGAATGAACGGGGATTATTGAATATTATAAGAAGTATAATCAATATGGTTATCTAATTGAAGATTTAGTTTTCCTTGCAAGCATTTTCAAATATTTACGAGCATGCGAAGCAACTTGAGTTCTAAGGAAGAATTAGGATAGAATTAGGATTCGATTAAAATGAAATCACTTACCTTGTTCTAAGGGGAAAGAAATAAGATTCAATTAACATGAAATATAGTTATAATTAGGGATTTACGATTCGATTAACACGAGCAGGTAACTTGGACAACTTACCTTGTCTTAACATAACCCTCTGCAATTTCTCTCCATTTTCCTTTTCCACATTCATTTAAACCTCGAATGAAATTGGCATGTTCCTGCTCAGTCCATGATCCATCATTAATCCCAATTTTCTGATGTTGCTCATTGATAAATTTGATTTTAGATGTATCTAATGAGATGGAAAATGCTTTGAATTGAATGGGTTCTTTTGATTTTTTGGAAATTTTGCTTTTTGGAATTTTCTTATTTACATTAAACGAGGACTGGAAAGAGTTTGTGGAACTATTCTGTGAAGAACTATTTTTTGGACTATTGCTATTTGATCTATTATTTGCTGCATCCGTCGTGAATGTACTTTGAGATGAAGAAGGAAGGAAACAAGTTTGCTTATTACATATCGACGAAGATGCATTATTACTAGAAGTTGTTGGACACATTTCCAAAGTTGGAGGAAGGGCATGTGGCATGTCACTAAGAGCATGTGGCGGTGGCTCAACAATTTGTGCAAGACTATTATTGCTAATTATCGTTTCATGACCTCCAGTATGATAATGAAGAGATTCAAAATAGCTTGGATCATGATCCACATGCATTACTTTGGTGAATGAGGTTTGCTGAAGATGACTAGGGTAATGATGGAGCTGATGAGGGTGATTGTGTGGTGATGGTTGGTAAATATTAGATGAAGATCTTAGAGAATTACATGTTGTTGAAGAGTAATATTTAGAATGAATGATGGGTGGTTCTCTTTGAGTATGGGATGATGAAGGGTAACATGCAGGAGAAGCAACATCTACTATTGGTTTAACATCTATTGGTTTCAAATTCTGATGAATATCAGTATTCAACCTTTGTTTGTCTTTAAATTCGTCAAACTTTTTAATCAATTCGTTTAAGGAAGGTAACATGTTGGATACGACCAAACGAATAAGTACCAAAATAACAAAACCTCTCTATGGCCAGTATTAAGCTTGTACTAAATTTGAGGAGGTATTGAAGTTGTTTTTTTTGAGGCTTTAATAACAAATAAGTCTCGGAATGTTGTGGTCTTGCTCGAGATTCATAGCCAGCCTAAAAAGTATACTTTGTATCTTTTAGGAAGAATTAATCCGCTTTTTGGCGATTTTCACACAACCCTGATTTACTAAGACAAAGCGACCAAAATTAACAGGCCTTAATATGGCCAAGATGAACCTGCTATTCTTTACCTGAATATACTAGTTAAAGAAGATCAAATATTGTGTAATATAATTAATAATTTAGAATCAATAATTATTCCAATTTAAATAGATGCTTTTTGTAAACTTTCAATTCTTCAATAGATTCTTTGATATCATCAAGTGCTCTATGGGCTCCAGTCTTTACAACCTTGGTAAGAGTTTCAGGTGACCATCTTCTTGCAAGCTCTTTAATTGAAGAAACATCAATAATTCTATAATGCAAATATTCATCTAATCTTTTCATTTCCTTTCTAAAATAATTAAAATATTATTAACAAAATAATAAAGAAATTAACATACTTCATAAATAATCTATCACAATAAACACTGTTACCAGCCAATGGAGCCAATCTCTCCGATGCAACATAGTGTTTAACAAAATCCAAGACTGTATCCTCAACTTGCTGAATGGAGAATGAGCTCTTTCGAACGGCAGCAGTCAAACCACTATCACCATGATGCTGTTTACACCAATCATTCATATTATCTAAAACAGAGTCACTCTGATGAACAATCAATGAATCCAATTGTGCAATAATATTTAAATTACCATCAGTAATAATGACTGCAATTTCCAAAATGTGATCGGAATCAATATCTAATCCTGTCATCTATTTAGAATTAATTGTGTGAATTGTGGTCAGTGGCTATTATCTTACCTCCATGTCAACCCAAACAATAGGGTCTTGTACAAGAGTTGTTGTCATATTTTTAAATAATATTATATTTTTAATTTATTATTTGATCTTGATTGTTACACGAGTTTCCAATACTTTGTCAAAAAAATGTTATTAACATCTTCGTTGCCCCTCGGTCAATTAACCTCTCGTGTTGGTCACAGTGGTATCTTTCATAACGATAAAGTTTATCTTTTCGGAGGCTTTGTCAATTCCGAACTACTTGTAAACGATCTCATTCAAGTGGATGTTTCCTCACAAAAGTGGGAAAACAAGACAATACATAATAGGGGACCAAGTGCTCGTAACTTCCACTCCTCGTGTCTAGTGAAAAGAAAATCGAATGATTGTAGTGATGAGATGGTAATTTTTGGCGGGAAATCAAATGGTTTTCATAATGATGTTTGGTCGTATCGATTTGATACTTTTGAGTGGGGATTACTGGAGCCTAGTGGTGATGAGATTATCACTCCACGTTATGGTCAATCAGCAACTATTTATGGTGATTATTTGGTTGTGTTTGGTGGGTATGATGATAACAACAGTTTCCCATCGAATGAATTGTTTATTTTCAATTTGAAGAGTAGAGAATGGAAATTGATGGAATTGAGCATTGAACTTATGGGAAGATATTATCATGCTAGTGTTTTGGATGAAGAAACTGGTGATTGGTATATTTTGGGTGGTAAATCGGCTACTGATCTTGTTAAAGATTTTGTAAAGATTAAATTGTCTACTCTGGATGTGAAAGAGGGTACTTGTCAATCGGAGGTATTAATTTCTGAACTTGATGGCTTTGCTCCAAGATTTGGTCATTCATTGGTGTTGGAAAAATCAGAAAATGGTAAAAGACTTTACTCCATTGGAGGTTGTAATGATAGAATTGACCATTTGGATTGTATCTATATTGATTTAATTAATATCAAGAATGGTTGGGATGTAAGCCACACTCACTCACTTTCTCAAACTTTTACAAGCCAAGATGTTGGACCCGTCTTTCATACAACTGTTCCATTCCAAGCGACCAATGAAGATGATAGTATTGCTATGAATTACTTTGTATTTGGTGGTACTTATCACAAGATTGACAAAAAGAAGCAAGTTAATGAGCCAACAGAGATCACCATAATAGAACCAGTTATATTGAGGGTTTGTCACAATGTGGAAGTGATATCTACGTTCCTAAAGAAGAAATTCTCAAGTACAATTTGAAAAACAGTTCAGCAAATTCTTTTAAAATTGTTCAAGTTGGTGAGTGTCATCATTTATTATTCAATATTGAATGCCAATTAATTATTTTAAATAAGGTGATGGAGCTGTGGGTAAAACATGTCTTTGGATATCTCTAACTACCGATTCCTTTCCACACGAATATATACCAACAATTTTTGATAGCAATACAATTTTTTCTATGATGGAAAAACTTTAAGTATTGGATTGTGGGATACCATAGGACAAGAAGGTTAGTAATTTTAAAAAATATTCAAAACATTTTTGATTGACCTTTCAAAAGATTTTGATAGGTAAGGGAAGAAGGATAAATTACACTTTTTGGCCGTCTTAAACCCCCTCCTACCAACTGAGGGTGTTGTATGATTTTTTTTCATGATTTATTATAGATAGAAGTTTATTAACAATACAAGTCTTTATTAGACCAAGAGAAAAACAGGGTGTTCAAAGTATCAATTACCACTTGTTCTTCAATGTACCAACAACTTCAAGTAAATGACAGATGTTGTTTTGGGTTGAATGTTGGCTATGATGTGGAAGGAAGCAAAAGAACTTCTCCCCCTGCGTGCTGTAATTTATCCTTCTTCCCTAGGGAAGTTATTTATTTATCAAAAAGCAATAATATTGTTAAATTTTGGAACTTAATGAATTTATCTATCATACACAGATTACGTCCACTTTCTTATCCCCAAACTGATTTATTCTTTTTGAGTTTCAGTTGTTGTTCAGAATCATCTATGGATAATGAACTAAGGCATCATTGTTCAACAACTCCAATTGCACTTGTTTGCACCAAAATTGATTTTAGAGATGATCCAATCTTTACCAGAGAATTACTTATCAAAAAACATAAAAAGATTCAAAGTTTTGAACAGGGAAAATTACTTGCCGAAACAAGCGCTCTGAAAGGTACTGGAATCAGGGAGCTGAACGAAGTGATGGTCAAGTCCATCTGTGTGTGGAATGATCCTTCATTTAAGCAAGTTGTAAAGAATAGTGAAAAGAAGACTTGTTCCATGCAATAATAACATGATTCAATACGATCATTTCTAGAGTTATACTTGTTTGGTTGAAATTCTATAATTTGTTCGATAAGTATCTTTTCTAAAGAGTATTAATACTCTAAAGGATGTGGACAGAGGGTGAGATATGGAATTTATGGTTTGTAACTGGTGTTTCCCCGCTGATTGAGGAACTAGTGAAAATCCAGCTACCCGGTCGGGAAAACTTTAGATGTTGTTTAGCAGGTGACTACCATGCTTTGAGTGATAAAGGAAACTTCCTATAAGGGTGATTGTACAGTTTGTAAGGCTTTCCCGCCTGTATGCAACAGCACAATAGTCTATTTTCAGCATTGGACTGATAATGAAGATAATAAATTAAGGTATTCGGATTCGGGTGGTGACAGAGATAAACGCACAAGGCTTGCTGAACTGTTCTTTAACTGTTACAGCAACTTATCACAGAGCAATAGTATAAAAAAACTCTCTACAACAGTGTGCGTTCATTAGTATGGTCGCTTCTAAGGTTACACCATTGCCCCCACATGTATCTGTATATACAACAAATAGGACACCAACATCCAAAAATCACCTTACCGAATCAAATGATGGATTTACTATTAGTGCTGTTTCTCCTTTGGAACCAATAATTGATGATAATTCGTCAGATGATGGTGCTCAAATCAAACAACAAAATAAGCGTTCCTCTCAGAAAATAACCATCAAATCAAGCTTAATACTCTTATTATTGTTTGTTTTGGTGGTTTCTGTAATCTTATTAACCATAGTTTGGGTATCTAGTTTTGCTGGGAGTGTTACATCTGTGAGTAATAGTTTAATGGAGTCTCAATTCTCTAGTATGACTGAATTTATAGACTCTACCATGAATAAGGTTTGTTGTTGACGGTTTGAATTTAGTGTAAAATTGACAAACATGTGGAAATTCCTAACAACAGGTAGCAATGGCCACTGAAACTGTAAGGAACTCTGTGTGGAATGATATGGATTATTATAATCGTGACGAGTGGTTAATTGACAAGACCTTCATGACCTATAAATCACAGGAAGCTTACATAAATGGTCTTTTCATCAATTCATATTTTGGAGATGTATTGGGAGGTAATAAGGGTATAACTAGCAGTCAATCTAGAGCTGCTAAATCACCTGAAATGTATCTATCATTATTTGTGATTAATTCAACAGGAGCTTATTACAAAACTTGTGATTTTGACTCCTCTCACACTAGCTGTGTTAGAAAAGGTCCAACATGGGATAAGATTAAACCAACATTTGATCTTTCAACTGAAGTGGAACAAGCCCAAAACTTACTCAACTCAACCGGATTTTCTGACTCTTACACAGATTCAGGATATCCACTGTGGGTTTGGTTCTCATGTGTAAGTGTTCACTCAGTTCCTGGCTCATCCACTTTTGATTGGTATTTTGCTATTGATCTGACAGTTCACTCTCTATCCCAATACTTGCTTGAATTTACAAGTGATATTATGAACTCACTGGCAGTTGTTATTGAGATCAAAACTGACGCTATTATTGCAAGTATGTTTTTTTAATATTCCTGTTTTAAACTGTTTCAATAATAATTAGCCAACTACCCTGATATTCCAGTTTCTGAATGGGATAAAAGTGGAAAGGAAACAAGAAAGACTGTTAAGAACTTTGATATTCCACAAGTGAGAGATATTGGATCTGCTGTTTATGAATCTTTAGGGAATGATCTCAAATCTATGAAATGTTCAACTTTCAAATTCACAACAGTTAGTTCTTATTATGTTGGACTCTATAGATTGTGCACTCCAACATTGTTGAATTGGATGATAATCTTTGCAGTGCCACAGTGGAACTACATATCTTCCATTGTAATTGCAGTGATAGTTGCCGTTATTGTGAGTGTCATTATTACAATCTCTGCAATTTTGATAGGTATTTGGTTCAGTACAAGAATTGTTACACCTTTCAAAAAGTTAATGACCCAATTTGAATTCATTTCAGAAATGCAATTGGACGAAATTGAGGGCTTGAAGGTTGCATCACCATTGAAGGAAGTTTCTGAAATCCAAGAACATGTATTGTTCATGGTGAAAAAGATGAAATTATTTAGAAGTTTCCTTCCACCTCACTTGTTGAGCAAATTGGATAGTAATGACACACGTTCACACGAAGAATCTAAACATCATTCGAGTAACAAGTTTACATCTCTTTCCTTCTCAAAGTCATCTCATCATAGCAAGATTGGAGCTCATTCTTCTGGTTTTCATAATTCCATTTTTAAATTAGGTCTGGAAAAGAGAAGGGTGGTGAGTGCAATGATATATTTCGAAGGGCTCAACGAACTACTTAATGAATTGAAAGAACATGATATTACTGTCGTGCTTACTGAAATTTTCACAGTAATTCAAAGACATGCAAGTTTAAACAATGCATTGGTTGGCAATTTTGAGAAGAGTACCATCATTCTTAGTTTTAATGCTACATCAGAAAGCGCCAAAGCAGAAGAAAAAGGTTTATTCTGCATGACACAACTTCAAGGTCAATTACAAAAATTGAAATGTTCTTCATCCATATCTTTCCTTTGTGCCATGGTTTCACAGCAAAACAAAGTTGGTAACGTTGGTACTAGAGATGTTAAAACCTTCTCAATTTTAGGCAGTTATCAAGAAAATCTTGAATTTTTAATCAGTTTAACTTCCAAGCTTAATGTTAACTTTTTAATCACAGATCATGTTTACCAGGAAATTGCTGATGTTCACTCGACTAGATTGGTATCATGGAAGAAATTAGTGAATGAAAATACATTTGAACCAATTATGTCCAATAGAAAATCAAAGAGTGGTGAAAAGACACCAATTTATGAGGTTGGAGATTCAAAACAAGTTAACATGGATGAATGTAAGTTGATATTGTTTTTTCATTTGTGAATATCATAATTACTTAGGGATGTATGAATTGCAGCAAAAAGAGCAAGTGGACAAGTGGAGAATTTACAATAAGGGAATTGAAAGCTTTAAACAAGGTCACTTTAATGAGGCCCTTGAATATTTTGAACAATATCAATCCATTCATATTGAGAAAACAGAAGGTGTTGAAGATAAGCCATGTGCTCATATGATTGAAAAGTGCCAAGATCGCATCTCTAAAGATACCAAACCATCTAATTTGTAAAATCAAAAGTCATATCACTAAATTGTATTCTATTTTGTATATAAAAATCAGAATACCATTGAATTGCTCTTTGAGGATATTCATTCTCGTGATTGACCCCACATATTCTCCGTTGATCTAATTGACTAGAATGAGAGTAATAATCCATTATAATGGCATTGGAAAGCTCTTCATTTCTCCATTTGACACTAACTACTCGATGTACATCACCAAAGAGCTCGGATTTATCTACGAGTTGGTATTTCTTCAATTCGTGATCGAAAATAATATCAAAGTAATAATTAAAAGTTTCTTTTGGAAGTCTAAGATTGTGGGTTGGATGATGGTCAATTGTTGCTTCCACACGAGTAATCAATTGCCATTTTGATGTGTCAATTACTTCATCCACCATTTCATCATTAATAGTAGCAAATGATTGGAGGAAGAATGGTCTCATTACATTTTCATCCAACAAATCACAAAATCTAAAGGTTCCAACAAACATTCTAGTATCATTCCACTGATATTTTACAGTTGGATCAACTATTATAATAGTGCCATCCAACATTAAATAAATATAATAACTTTCAGTATTGAAAATCAACATTCCTCCGTTTCTTTCCAAAATATCAGTTGTGAGATTAGGAATATAATTAAACTTGGGAATGGTCTTTGAAAATTCCTTTACAATAATAGGTCTGCAATTGTTATAGCTTGCCATTATTCTAACAGAGTATATTTTTCCATACTCTAATAATTGATGGGATTTAGCTGAGCATTTTACAACATTGCCTTGCATTTTTAAATGGAATCCAGTAACTGCAGGTTCAGTATCTAAAGTGACCCAATCTGATTCATTATTTGACCTTTTTAACCTTGCTTGAATTGTAAAATTGTATAACTTGGAATAGGCATCTTGTGGAAGGAAGACGAAAAATATTGGTGTCTTTGAAGTTAATTTAAGGAATGTATCATGAACCATAGAGAGTTCGCCTACATGTGGTATCTCATTCCACATCATTAATGAACTCGGAATGGTCACTGGGTTGCTTTTTGGTGTAATATTTCCAATTCTGAAACGATCAAACTTACAAGCAATAAACAATCGTGCTTTGTAACTTGCTTTTGTATCTATAGCTGATGATTTCAATTGTTCAGAGTTTAGTTCATGCCCAACTGGAGTTATTTCTTTCCACAATGGTTCTTCATATTTCTTAATAGCACTTGCTTCTACTACAACTTGCAACGCTGAATTCAATTCATTATGGAACGCTGGGGATTTTACAATTGAGCAACCTAGGTGAAAGAGTGGATAATTATCAAATTTAAGGTGGAACATGTTTGGATGAGTTGAAGCAAGGACACAACCATCAACAATATGTTTTACATTTTCATTGACCAATGAGGGCAACAGACCTGAAGAAAGTACTGATTCTGGATATAATTGACCCAAGTCATGATATATCCACGTATTTCTCTTTGAAATGACCACAAGTTTGAAAAAGTACTCCCTTTCACTTTCTAACTTTGGAGTCACAAAAATGTATTGGCTTGGATCTTTTTGAATTAATTTCCAGTCACTTCCTCTGTTAATGATATTCCACTCAATTCCATCAATAGAAAAAAGTACATCTACAAAATACTCATCCAATAGCTCAAAAATAAGTCCACATCTACCGTACTCTTCATATTTGAACAGATCTTGAACTATTTGGAATGAAGAGCTGATACGTTTCAATATTGTGGCATCTACTTGAAAGAATGACAAGCATACATCAAACTCTGCATCAGTCTTCTCAACGCTAAATTCACAAACAAGAACTGCACCATCCAACTCCTTCAAGTGTTGAACCATGATCTCTGTTACATTACTATCCACAACAGCAGTTGGTAATGTTAAATTATTTGCAAAATAATCAACAAGTAAAATCTCCTCCTCACAATGACTAGTTTTAAGCTTTAAATCTTTCCATGTTATCCATTGGCCAAACTTGGCATGATTACTGCCAAAGGATAAGATCTTATTCAGCTCTGTGCAATTAATTTCGGGATGATAATACGAGCAAGATCTATTTTTAAGGAACAGAGTAAATGGTGAGGAGAGAAAACTTTTAGCATGATAATAGGCATCAAATTCGAATCTCGTTGCAGTACTTGGAGAGGTGAACCTATCAAGTGCAGACATTTTTTTCTTCTTTAAAATGTTTTGAATTTTCAATTCTAATCAGCACACCTCATAATTACGAAATACAATATTGGTCTAATTTGTAGAAGTGAAATAGTGTAATTTATTCTTGTTTGATTCTCTTATTTTCTGATTCAGCAACATCACTTAAATCATGCTTATTGCTCGCGGTTGGAGGTTCAAAATAGTCACAAAACTTTTCAAATGTTAATAATCTTCTGTGATACTTCTTTGTGAGAGGATCAATACTATTGTAGAGAAGTTTAAAGCATCTGTGAGATGGCAGAATTTCCTCGCAATATTCATCATTATTGACAAAGAACCACATGACAATTCTTCCCTTAGTAACAATGGATCTAGCAGCAAATTCTAACAAGTCATCATACATTTCCTTGACATCATATGGAACTGTTCCAGCAATATAATTTTCTTTAACTCTTGCCAAACTATCCTCAGCCAATGGCTTATTTCTACCAATCTTTCTTGGCCCTTCTCTATTTCCATAAGGAGGATCACAAACAATAGCATCGAATATTGGCTTTGGGGCATGAGATTTGTTTTGAGGTTTCCAAACATGGCTTTGTGATAAGTCAACTCTCAACAATTCAAGACCAGCCTTGTTAGTTAATCCATAATCATCAAAATTGGATTGAATATTTGTTTCACTTTCAATATTACCCTTTTGACGGAAATTCTTTCCTCTAACCACACGAATGTCCAAATCAGAACCAATGACATGAGCTCCATAGTGTGCAATTGAAACAATCAGAGAACCTGTTCCAACAAAAGGATCATAAATAAGAGATTTTCTATTGGCAAGTGCACAATTAGCACTGAGGAATGACAGTGTGGCACACATACTTGTTGTACCAATATACTTTCTCTTCTTCAAGTCATAATCTGTAATTAAATGTCTAGAACCTTCACCTAGCTTTCTAGTAAAGTAAACTTGCTTTAAAACTAGAGTTTCTTGCTCATTGCCCTCCTTTTTAAATCCAGGAATACTAGAGTTTCTAAAATCTTGGAAAATGAAAAAGTCTGTGTCAGGCGTTTCCAAATTAACCCTTCCTTTCCAAGGTATCGTATTAAAACTTTTCATCAAATCAATTTTTTGTTTTTTAGTCCATCTACAACCATAATTTTCAACAGTGATACAATATGACGATGAATCATGTAAAATAGAAGACACATGTTGGGCATTCTCAGTACAATATTTTCCTGTTTGATCAATACATTCCTCAGCAGAACTACCACTTCCCCACACTTCATAAATACCTTGTATCAGCACAGATCTTGAAACTGCCTTCTTGGCATCCTCTTCCGAAGGATAATCAACAAAATAAAAAACTTCATCATCTTCCAATTTTCCACAATGACTCAATGGTATCGAAAAGGAGTGTGCAGAACACTCCAAGTCTGGCAATCGGAAAGCAGCATAGTCATTAAAGAAACGAACAAGGTATCTTGGCATTTTTTAATAATAATAATTATTATTGAAATGAAATTCAAAATTGCACTGTGCAATTTATTTAGTATTTGCAAAATTTCTGTTGCTGCAGTCTGTAATAACAATTTCAAGTCTACTAAAACCGTTATGCATTGTTGGCGCCAATAGAATCTTCAAAAAAATTATTCAAAAAAATGTTCCATCATCAACATCCCTTCACAAAGAAAGGATCAAATTCTATCAAACCAAGTCTTGCTCTCACTCCGAATGTAGAGATTGGACAAGCTTTCAAAGATCCGAAGGAAGCCATCGCAGAAAGGCAAAAAAAAGTTCAAGCAAAAGAATTAAAAAAGAGCAGACAATTGGCTGAGCAAATAACTAGTTCGACAAGTAATAGTGACAATCCGATACATAGCGTTCCTAACAAGCCAACCACTATTTCTACCTTTTCACAAGATAAAACTGATCATCAAAAGAAGGTCACAAAGATTTTCTCACTCAAATGTGAAGCCAAAAGATTGGAAGCAACTGGCAAGGAAAATATTGAGGACTTTACCAAATTGGAAATATCTCAAAGAAAGATTTCTAATCAACAGGTGAAAGAATGTTCAAACCCCTATCAATTTGTAAAACTTGAAACATTATACAAGGATTGTGTTCGTCAGTCAAAATATGAAACCTATAACTTGTACACTAACTGGTGCACAATTTTCACACTAATGGAACAATTACCCAATCTCACTTGCAATGCAAAGGGTATTGAGTTTGAAGTTTGGAGAGTATCCGATACTTTGAATGAAATGTTTGTGGTATTACTATTGCCACTCTTGAGTATAAAAGGTATTGGAAAGAAGGAAATGGAAAAGTTGGAATCAAATCAAGAACTTGTTCCAGGTGATATTGTCATTAGTGCCAATCCTACCATTCTACAAATTAACAAGAAGGAAACTGACACCGAGAATAGTACTAAACAACAATTCAGCTCGTTATCCATGATTGGAGAAAATAGAAATATTTCTCTCAAAGTTATTGGTAAGGCTGTACATTTTGGGACATGCACCTATGTACCAGTTGACTTTAACAAATATACCGGAAACAATCTTAAACTTTTCAATATGCTCAATGAGAAGAAGAAACAAAAACTGCAAGACGAAAATCAAACTACCACAACAACTAGCTCACAAAACAAGGATAAGCCACTAACATTTTGTACTTGTCCTATCAACAAGGCAGTAAGCAGATATTGTAACTACCACTTTAACAAGAAGAGTAGAGAAGTGCAAGATAGTAGAGTGGAATGCAATGGGGCCAATCTTGTTGAAAGGTCATCCATCTCATTTGACAAGCCTACTGTATACAATTACACAGGTGTTACCCTTTTTATAGATCCTGGTGCTAATGTTAAGAAGATTAGAAAGACCAGCTCCGATGAAAAACCAAAAGAATTGGCCACAAAAAAGAAAAAGAAACAAGAGGCCCAAAATTTCAGTGGTATCACCCCAAAGATGGCAAACTACCTTTCTGGAAACTCTAGAAGTGCTCAAATGTTTGTGGCAGCTCGTTCAAAGCAAATCAAGGAAGATTTATTGGCAAATAATAAGGTTAAAGACTTCACAGATCGTCACATTAATGCTCTAGCTCAAAAGGCTGTTATGAACACTATCGAAAATGCCACTAACAAAGATGTAAAGAAGAGAAAATTTGTAGAAATTGAAATGTCGGACAGTAGCTCTGATGATGAGGAATGAAAGATTGTAGAATAGTTCAGTGGAATTTTTTAATCTTTTTCTTTACATCCTCTTTGAATTTATCCATGAATACATATTTACAACTGGTTACATTTAGATAAGTGAGCCTCCTGCAACCCTTTACAATGGTTTCCACTGCAGTATTAGTTATTAGAGAACATGAAAGATCCAAGTGCCTCAGATTTTTCAGGGACACCAACATGCATGCACCCTTATCTCTTAGATTAGTATTAGGGAATTCCAATAACCTCAGAGTTGTTAACTTGCATAATGTCTCACACCCAACTTCTGTTATTTTATCACACTGATCCAATTTTAATTCTTGCAATTGTTTAATGGACAGTAGATTTTGTAGAGATGACGATGTCATTGATCCACCACTTGCACTGAAATGTTTGAGATTTGTCATGGTTCCTATAATCTTCATAAAGTCATTACCCAGAAAACAAAAATCTAGGTTCAACTTGGTTAACGTCTGATTATTCTCTAAAAGTCTGAAACAATCGAGAGGAATTCTATTGTCTTCCCCAATTACCAACTCTTGTAAACTCCCCATATTGCTAAACGTTGTAAAAACTCTATTATATTCAGTTACATTTACTGGAGGTGGATTATAGTCAACATAAACTTCATGCTTGATGTGGGAAATTGATTTGAGATTCTTCCATTCACACAATAGGTCTGCGTGAGCGATTATTGATTGAGGGCATGCTGATATTGATATTTAGAATGAGAATAATTCCAAGTTAAAATAACTTACCAATGTGAATCGTTTCCAAGTTAGGTGTGAAGGAGGCCAGGTTTTTTGGCAGTGTAGAGCCTAACCATTTAATTTCCTTTACATTTGGACCTGTAACCTCCAGAGCACTAGCCATGGAGGTATCAAATGCATGAAATCTGGTATCATAGTCGTTATCCCTTCTCTTTCTCATATGTCTTCCACCTTTTATGATTTCCAAATTTGTAAATGTTTTGAAAAATAGAGAACACAACTCTGAAAATGTTTCTCTTCCAACAAAATCCACTTCACTAACTTTTTTACAATCATCACCAAGTGATGAAGCAAATAGTTCAAGTTTTCGCATTGCTAAACTGGGATCTGCCTTGTTGGGACAATTAAGAAGATAATCAGCCACAGAGCCAGCAATTCTTACTTTTGAGGAGCCTACAAATGCCAATCTAACTAGTTCAATACTTTCCTTCATATTGTTGATAGCTTGATGATCCCCCTCAATGAATCTAAACATGAACTTCACCGATTTATCAACACTAAATCGCCCATAAAACTTTTTGATGAAAGAAGAATACTCAATCTTGCCATCCTTTTCGGTAATAGTAGACTTTTTGAAAATTCCTCCATAATAATCCAAGATAATGAGAACAACATCTGAGGGTATTTTCTTAAAAACTGCATTCTTATTCGATGAGGACTTGGTGGAGGAAGACTTGATAATTGCTGAAGATTTAGTTACGGTAGTAGTAGATTTCCCTGTAGAGGTTGGTGTCGTTTTAGAGGTGGCAGTTTTTGTTGATGTAGTCTTAGTTGGAGTTGATGATTCCTTTCCTTTGGATTTTTCAATAGATGAAGGAGAAGTGTGATTTGGAGAGCTATTTTGCTTTGTAGGAGTATTGGGATTATCTGTTGTGGTGGTGGTGGCTGTCTTCTTTGGGGTAGAATTGCTTGCCGTTTTGGAAATTAAGGGTGAAGCTTTCTTTTCGCTTAACTGAGCACTAACGCCATTATTTTCTGGTTGTTGATTCTGCTTAGTTTTAACTGGTGATTTAGATTGTTTGCTACCATTAGTTGTTGTTGGAATAGGTGATGATGAAGAGGTTGCAGTCTTTTTAGTTGTTGCAGGTGCCTTATACGGTGTTGTTAGATAGGGACTTGGTGCTTTCGCTTCGGCAATAGCTGGTGACTTTTTCATTTTTTTATATTTGAGGATTATTGTCTACTGATGCCTAATATACGATCAAGTTCACATCATCTGAATCTGGTGGATATCTTGTTCAAATTTTGATATTCCCTTTGCAATTCTATATGAATTGAAAATGTAAAAATAACATGGTAAGATTTAACAGAATTTAATCAGTTCTATCAATAATTTTCTCAGTACATGGGCATAAACGTTTTACAGTAGAATCAGAATTATGACAATTAAATTTGGAAACTCTTGAACCTAATACACAGGTATTGTCATTAAAATATGGAGCTACACTTTCCACAATTAATCCTCTCTGATATTTGCAATTACATTTAGGTGCAAATCTTTGCATTTCATCACATCTATTGATATAACTGAAAAAGTTGGCATCACACAATGCATTCACTTTTCTACAGCATGCATTACAACTTTCTCCCTTTTCGCATGGAATACTCTCAACATTTTTAAAATCACTAATAGAATGCTTATGTGAAGCTGGAAATGCCGCCAATTGCAAAACATCATGAGAGAATGAATTGCCACCACTTGAACCACCACTATTGGAATTACCAGATAAAGTTGATGCTGAATAATCAATAGCTTGCTGTTCCTTTCCCTCACAAGGAAAAAACAGAGAATGTGAACATGATTCAATTACCAAATGAGTTTGAGGTTCAAAACATTGAGGGAAGTGAGACTTTTCCAAGTTGAAATGATAATTTGGTCTCAATAATTGGAATCTGTATGTGTAAAAATAACGTCCTTTGAAATAGTCTTGGTGTGCCTTTTTAGTATTATCAAAGAAATTATCCAACAAGTGTTGAATGGTATGTCGGGTATCACTTCTCCTTCCCAAATATTCAATTAAATTTGGTAAATCCTTCTGTTGCATCATTATTCCACTCATTCCATAAGAAAAACGAAAACCAGCCCAATCCTTTCCCTGTTCTTCCAAATGAGTTGCCTTCTCAAATATCAAGGATAAATGTGAAATGGATGAATCACATAAAACATAATCATCCTGCATGAGAACTACAGGTATGTTAGCATCTAGAATACCACTCTTTGTATTAATACCACTATTCAAACCAACACTACCACTGCTACTGCTACCACCCTTAGAAATGAGAGATATTTGATTATTCACATTCTTAACCATGTCATAGAAAGAGTTGGATTGAGATTTTTGTTTTGGTGTAATTTTAGCATTCATAAACATGTTAAAACTATAAGAATTATGAATTATTGAAATGTATTGCCTTGGATATCTGTTTACAATCTTTTCAATTTGATCCTTATAAATTTTACCTTTAGAATTATAAATTAGAATACAAGGATTAAATACTTGTTGTTTAAATTTCATAATATTTTCAATTAGAAAATCTAAATGAACAAATTCAGTTCCAATTAATCCTAATCTTGGTTTTGCACTCAATAGAAATGTCACATGACATTTTTCTATCGGAACATTACGTAAATGAATAAAATATTCATCTGTTGGAATGTGTGTTATTGGTGAAAATTGAGGTTTAAATAGAAATATTTTCAATATTATTACAAATGATAGTAAGAATAAAATTTGTGAAAGGAGAAGAAATATCAATGATTTGGATTTGTTAAATGTTGACAAGAGTTTGAAAAAGTATTCTTTTAAAAGAAAGAATAATACTACAATGGCCGCGCAAAATTTGATAATATAGGGTTTCATTATATTTACCCATTTTAAAATGTTTTGTTTGATATTGTTAAATTGGTGTTGCTGCTGATGATGATTAATGTTGGGTATCATTTTTTTTGAAGGTTGATTGATGGGACGAATAGGTCGAACGGTAACATTTCATTTTGATATAATTTAAATTTTATTGTTTTTAGGTGTGTTCCTAGTTAATTACCTTCTTCTTCTTGGATCTTCCTTTTCATTATCATTAATTCGGATCATGTCATCAATACGGAGGATAGTAACAGCAGCTTCAGTAGCAAATTGGATATACTTAATCTTCAACATGGCAGGCTCCAAAACACCAGCTTCAACGTTATCTCTAACATCATCAGCCATAAGGTCCAAACCATATCTCAAATATTCCTTCTTGTTCAATTCATGAACATCATTGTGGTATGCTCGCAATTTGGCAACCAATTCAGTAGCATCCAAAGCAGCATTGACAGATAAAGTCTTTGGAATAACCAAGAGAGCATTAGCAAAAGCAGCAATAGCTAATTGTTCTCGTGTTTCAATAGTCATAGCAAAACGATCCAAATAGACAGAGAGAGCAGTTTCAACACTACCACCACCAGGAACAACATTCTTTGATTCCAAAACTCGTTTCAAAGCACACATAGCATCGTGAATAGTACGACTCATTTCATCCAACAAGAAACTGTTAGCACCACGCAAAACAATTGATTGTGAAGTGGTGAGCTTAGTACCACGAATATAAATCAATGAATCACCAGCAAGTTCTTCTTCAACAACTTCTTCAGCAGTACCCAAAGATTCAGCAGAGAATGACTCTTCACCATCCAAATCAGCGAATGATGTAACCAAAGAACCACCAGTCAATTTAGCAATACGCTTCAAATCTTCCTTATCACATCTTCTGACAGCAATAGCATTAGCTTCAACAAAGTATTTCAAACACATATCATCAATACCCTTTGTTGTCAAAATAACGTTAGCACCAGCATTTAACAACATTTGGATACGGTCACGAATCAAAGTTTGTTCACGTTCTTGAACTCCTTCCAATTCCTTTGGATCAGTAATTTGGAATTTAATACCCAACTTCATTCTTTGTCTATTCAAAGCAATATCGAGGAGAGCAATCTTGGCACCCTTGATAATCTTTGGCATTTGTTGGGATGAACGAGTATTGTTCAAAGCAAATCCATTAACTAATGTACTTTCCTTCATTGATTTTCCGTGTTGTTTCAAAATATTGATAGCCTTGATTGGATATCTTTCCTTACCAGATCCAGTAACAACTTTAACAGCCAACAAAGCATCAACACACAATTTGGCAAATAAATCTGATTCTGGTCCTAAAACCTTTGAAGCCATTGAAGTCTTGGCAACGTTAATTAATGCAGCATTATCAAGAGTATGTGTGGAGATTTGCAATTCATTCTTAATAAATTCAGTGGCCTTCTTTGCAGCCAATTTATATCCGGAAATGATATTAGTTGGGTGAATCTTTTCTGTGATTAATTCTTGTCCTTGTTTTAATAATTCGGCAGCCAACAAAACAACAGATGTTGTACCATCACCAACAGCTTCATCTTGTGTACGAGCAAGATCTACAAGAGTCTTAGCGGCTGGATGATTGACTTCAATGAGGTTAAGAATGGTAGCACCATCGTTAGTTACGGTAACATCACCAACTTCATCGACAAGCATCTTGTCAAGACCTTGTGGACCGAATGAAGTCTTCATAATGTTTTGCACTGTTTGACAAGCTTGAACTATTGTTGTTAAAATACAAATCCACAATATTGTTGTTGTTGTATTAAAGACAAGTTGTATATTCCAAAAAGATTTCAAAGGGTCCCAAGAAGATATCAAATGTACAATACAAGTTGATGTATTCCAAAATGTTACTATTATAAATTTACATCCGAATTTCTAAACACATACCATTTTCAAGTCTAACTTCATTACCAGTGGTTCTCTCTCCATCAATGTAGAGAGGATTTATACTTGGAGCCATCATTTTGTATAGGGATGATTTAAAGTTTTGTATCAAAGGAAGATTGGATGATGGAAGAAACGAAGTGTGATGGTATTCACTACTATCGAAAGTCTATTTTTTTTTTAAATATTTTTCATTTTTAAGACGGAAATGCCTTCCGTGAGTTGCATACAACGAGAAGCTTGACTTGTCAAACCAATTCATCAGTACCATGTACTACAACCTTAATCTTACAAATACAAAATCACTCCAAGTGTACAAAAAGAACATGATTAGAGAAACTATGCTGGATAATAAATATTTGTATTGTCAACTGGTTTGAATATTTCAGAGGGAAAGTTTATTTCTTACTGCTTCCACCACTGCTTGATCCTCCCTTACTATTTTGAGCAATCTTTTTCATAAGCTTTCGTTTCTTACGTTTTTGAACTTGATCCATTTGGTCTTGGAGTTGTGCATAACGTTGTGAAACATATCCATGTTCTTTATCATCTTGTATGAGCTCATCTAAAAAACTTTGTTGTCTCTTCTTTTTGACAACTCTGTTCGAATAAAATTCTTTAGCATTATCTACAATGGTACCAATTTGGAAGTATTTTGGCATGTTATCTTCATCAAATTGTGCAACACTTGATGATTTAATTCTCTTTCCTTCACCTTCACTAGCTCTCTTTAATTGCATTGCAACGAGTTCTTGTTTCAATTCAGGAGTCATTCTTGGAGCAGCCATATTTGCCCATCCCTTTCCTGCATTAACATTCTTATCCACAATAGATGCAGGTGTATAATTTGGATCTAATAAAGTAGTCAACTTTTCATGTTCCTTCTTTTCTGATTTAGAGAATGACGAGCTCCTCAGAACTGGTGCCATTAATTTATCTTCAATACCATTCAAAACAGATTCCTTTTCTAAATATGCGTTAACATCCTTGTGTAATAATTGTTTGTGAGATAGAGCTTGATTCTTATTATTTTGGGTGTTGACTGAAGTAGAAATTTCTCCTCTAGAAATAAATCCATAGGCTGTTGATTTGACTTCATCCAATGATTTTTCACCAATGAGAGCCTTGTCAAGAGTAAATGCTCCCGAATCTTCATCAAATTTGAAAAATCCTTTAGTAAATATGGAACATGATGAAATTGTTTTTGCTTCCTCTTCGGAAGGTAATAAAGATTTACATTTGATCAAACATTTAGAGTCCTCTGTTGTGATCTTGTATGGTAAATTTAAATTAAAACACTTGCTCAAAGATTTTTGGAATGACAAGTTTAAATCCTTCAATCTTTCATTCATAATAATAACTTCTTGGTCGGTAAATAATTTTTCAGCAACAAGTTGGTCTTCATTGTCGGATGATGATGATGTTCTATTATTACTATCATCAATAGTGAAATTCCTTTCATACTCTTTAACGTTCTCCTTCACAAAGCGTTTCATGGTTCAAATTCCTTTTTTTTAAAATTCAATTATTTTTTAATTTTCTTCAATAAAATTGAAAACCTTGTTCTTCCTTTATTAATAAACAGAAAATAAGATCTTCACCATTTCTAATAAAACAATCATAAAGTTTATCAACTTATCATCAAATAATTATTATTAAAATATAATAATTATATTTTATTTTTACAATTTTTTTAAAGTCTAATACCCTTAATTTCATTGATGGCATTTTGAGCTTTCGTGAGGGCTTTGAGCATTTTTTGAGTTTGCTTTCTCTTTTGAGCAATAGCATCATTTTCCTTTAAGAGTGTTTCAAAAAGTTCTGGTTTGTAAAGCTCTTTGATGAGTTCACTTTGTAAATTGCTCTTGGTCTTGATAACAAGGAAAGCCATAATAGACTTTGGAACTTGATCAGCAAGTTTCCTAAATTTGAAAAAACCATTGGTGAGATTTTGAAATAAATTGAAAAACTTACTTTCTGACAACATTATCAAAATAGGCTGTGAGAAGAGCACGAATGACTTCAACTTCTTGATTTTCTCTTTCTCCTAATGAGCCACCCATAAGTCCCATAGAATTGACAGGAGGTTGTAATCCAGACCTTGTGTTACCTTGGTTTGGATTGTAATCGTACATATCATCTTCAGATGGCATTGGATTTTGACTACGAATTTGGTGCATGTTTGGTCTCATTTGATGTTGTTGTTGTTGCTGTTGTTGTAAATGGTCACCACTTTGAACACGGTTTACACGATTCTTATTTGGCATCATGAGGCTGAATACATTCTTACTACTTCCCATAAAGTCTGGGTGATTAGTATTAATATAAGCCAATTCAATACGAATCATATTTCTAATAAATTCCTTAAGTTCAATGGTATAACCTTTCCATAATTGAATGATAAATTCCTTGACACGTTCCTTAAGATTTGGAAAACGAATAAGTTTCTTTTCACAAAAATCTTCAATATTCATCAATTCCTCAAAAACTCTATCTACACATTGAATGCTAGGATCTTCAAGAAGCTTAACTTGTCTTCTTACAAGAATTTCAAAAGCTGCTTCAGGAACGAAAAGAGAAGTCTTTGAACCCTTAGCATTCTTAATAGCTGTCTTGATATCAAAATCTGTCAAATTTTCACAAGCTTCAAGTTCTGATAATTGTGGATAATATTTGGAAACAAAAATATTATTGATAAGAGCACCTCCGAAAAGTTCATTCATCTTGATAATTTCAGTATTTCTTCCATCAATAGAATCAATATATTCAGTTGTATAGTCAGTTAAAAGTTGCAATAAGAGAGCACCTGGAGAATCATCGCTGATTGGACCACTTCCATATTCTTTCATTCTTTGTTGGCATTGAGTCAAGAGATTTCCAATTTTGTTTCTAAGCTCTGGGAGAACATTATTGATGTGATTGAGCAAAATCTTATTGAGTGTTTTTGCCAAATACTTTGTTCCCATATTGTTGGCATAACTTCTATATGATGGATGGTTTCTAAAGAATGCATCTTCATCTTTCAATGCATCTCTGATTGATTTGTTAGTATTAATATCATTTTGAGATCTGTTGATAACACCAATGTATCCCATTTTGAGTGGTAAAACTTCTCCTCTAATAATATCCATACAATCGACACCTTTATCCATAATATCCACTTTTGTCAATACACCCAAAGTACGATCTCCAGTTCTATCTACTTCTTTTGCCAACTTTAAAGCATCAGAGTTAGCAAGATCGGTATTTGCTGCAGTAACAGCCAAAATAATACATGTTGGTTTAGAAATAAATTGAAGAATCATCTTTCTGATTTGTTGTTCAATGTCCTTTGGTTGGTCACCAACAGGAACCTTTGTGATACCTGGCAAGTCAATCAATGTCAAATTGAGAACACTATTTCCGATCACGTTTGTGTTATTGAAATGATGAAATTAAACAAAACATACTATGGTGAATAGATTTTCAAATTGATAGGAGCAGAACTAATATTCTTATTTGATCCAGTAATTCTATCGGTTTCTCTCACAATTTCCTCTCTGATTTCAGAAAAGTTATAAAACTTCTTGTTTGGCAAGTGCAAAAATTCACCGTATTCTTCTTGTTGTTTTTGTTGTTCGGTTACTTCCTCAACGGCTATTAAAATTGTTGTTGTTGAATTTTCCAAAATATACACATACCCTTATATTTTGATGCTATTGTTATTAATTGCAAAATCAGAGGTCTAAACTAAATTAGAAATAATAGTAAAACAAACATTACCTTCTAGTAACAATTCCTGAACCTCTTGGTAAAAAATCTCTTCCGACAACATTTTCCAATACAGAGGATTTTCCTGAACTTTGACTACCAACGACGGCAATTTGTGGTAGATCGATCGAGTCATTCAATCCAACAGTTGCAAAAACATCCTGGATTTTGTTAATAATTGGTAACAATTGCTCCATTCTTCCTTTTGTGAATATTATAATTAATGATACAAGATGATGCCGAAAATTTGTAGTGTGATGCCTGGAAAAAATCTACACAACAATAACACGTTTTTTTAATTAAAAATAAAATAAAATTTTATTAGTGATGACAATTAATCTTTCTGCTTCTAAAAGGGAGTTGGAAATGGATTCGAAATAGTATGATCGTTAATTCCCTTCAATGAAAGTGGCTCCTTAGATTGTTCAAAATTGTAGAGAGTTGGGTTGATGATTCAAGAATCCTAAATTCTTAACAATAACAGTTTGAGAGGTTGTTTCAAAATGTCAAACAAAATGCCGCCAAAAATGGTGGTTTGAAAAACAAGCAAATTATTTACAACTGTTTCCCGCCATGCCTAATGTACAATCAAACACATAAAAAAAATGGCCTCAAAGGAAATTCAACAAGTATTCGCTTCATACAAGAAGGCAAGAATTACGTTTGCCAATAGTGTTGCCGAACTCGTAAAACAACCAAGACATATCGAAGGTATGTAAAATGATTGGAGGACAAAATTAATGATGAACGATTTTAGCTATGATTCAACAAGAAACTGGTGTTCTGGATTTGCTCCGTCCACTTTTGCTCGATAGCGATCCAAGTGTTCAACAAAATGCTGCTCTTGCATTGGGAAGATTGGCCAATTATAACCCTCAACTTGCCGAGAAGATCGTTGCAAGTGATATTGTCCCTCAATTGGTTGCTTCCATCCTCAAGAATAATGTATGTTTCTTCACGAATTATTTAAAATAATTGTCGTCTTAATATTGTTTAGAAATACTATCAAAGACATGCAGCTTTCGTTCTGCGAGCTATCGCCAAGCACGGACCAAGATTAGCACAAGCTGTTGTTGATTCTGGATCTGTAGAAGCTTTGGTAAAATGTTTGGATGAATTTGATCCTTTGGTAAAGGAATCTGCAGCATATGCAATCGGAAATATCTCAATACATACACCAGAGTTGGCTCAGATTTGTGTAGATCATGGTTGTGTGGGGTTACTTTTGACTTGTGCCCAACAACCAGAACAAACTCTGAAAAAGGTCGCAATTTCATCTCTTGCCAATATTTGCAGTCACACTCCTGAGCTAGCTCAATCTGTAGTTGATGCTGAAGGTATTCCAGTTATAACACCACTCATTCTCAATCCAATGGTAAAGAGACAAGCATGTCAATGTCTTGCCTTCATTGCTAAACATTCTGTTGAATTGGCAGAATTGGTTGTTGAAGGAGAAATTTTCCCAAAGATTTTTGCTTTATTACAAGACCCAGATGATGAAATTGTCAGAAAGAATGCTGCCTCTTGTATTATGCAAGTATCAAAGCACAATCCTGAATTGGCTTCACTAATTGTCAATGCTGGTGGTTTACCAGCTATTGTTGATTATATCAGTAATGCAGAGGGTGATAACAAATTACCAGGTATTATGATTCTAGGATTTATTGCTGCCTTCCAAGAAACAATGGCCACTGCTGTCATTAAGGCCAAGGCAGTTCAACCACTAGGAAATTGTTTGTCACCATCATATTCCGATCACCTTCGTGCAGCTGCTGCATGGAGTTTGGGACAAATTGGTAGACACAGTTCAGAACACGCAAAGGCCGTTGCTGAAGCTAATATTTTGACACTTTTGAATGAATCTTTCCTTGATGACAAGGCTTCTGAAGACTTGAAGAGTAAGTCAAAGAGAGCCCTCAAAGCAATTATACAAAAATGTACATATCTTGATGCCCTTAATCCATTACTTTCTGAAAAGGCCCCAGAAAGTATTTTGAAATATGTTGTCAAGCAATTTGAAGCTCTTTTACCAGATGATGTTGAAGCAAAGAAGAGATTTGTTCAATCTAAGGGTCTTCAAAAGTTGCAATTAATCAAAACAGAAGAAGAATCTCTGCAAGAAAGTATCAAATTTATCAACAACCTTTATCCTGAAGAACTTGTCAAATATTACACACCTGGCTATGATAAGGAATTACTACAAAAAATTGATGAAAATCAATAATTTCTTTAATGTTAATAATAATACAATAAATCGAGTTTTAAGTAATAACTGTTGGTTCATTTCTACCAGTGAATTCAGCTAGTTTGCTAACAGTGAGAGCGACATGGGCAAGTGGTTTGACTTCTTCGAGTGGGTTTCCATCCAAACGATCTGGATTATACTTTTCCATATAAACTCTAACAGTTGCTCCAGAACTTCCTGTACCAGATAATCTGAATACAATTCTACTTTGGTCAACCAATTTGAAGATCATTCCCTGCTTTCCAGTAAAGCTGTTATCAATAGGATCAGTGTAGGAGAATTCTTCACATGAAGCAACACTCAAAGATTCGAATAACTTTTTAGATTCTTCAGAGAGAGAATTAGTTTGGAATGGAGTAACATAGGTATCTCTAATGTGAGACATCATATTGTTGGCACCTTCAGAGCTAACTTCTTCATAGTCATATCTGGTATAATAGCTTCTACCATATTTCTTCCAGTGATTCTTTACAATGTCTGCAACTGAGGTTTTGGTATTTTCATTTTCAAATGCCATTATTGAGAGCCAACTCAAAACAGCCCACATACCATCCTTTTCTCTGATATGATCACTTCCAGTACCAAATGACTCTTCACCACAAATAGAGAGTTTACCAGCATCAAATAAATTACCAAAATACTTCCATCCAGTAGGTACTTCATAAATATTTACACCCAGAGCTTTAGCAACTCTGTCGAGGGCTGTACTAGTTGGCATGGATCTAGCCAATCCAGAAATTCCACTCTTTTGGAAATATGGAATGCACCTTTGTGCATAATCAGCAATAATTGCAACAGAATCAGAAGGAGTGACAAAAAAGTGTTTACCAAGAATCATGTTTCTATCACCATCACCATCAGATGCAGCTCCCAAATCAATAATACTATTTTCATCATTCAATACCTTCTTGACCAATTCTTCAGCATAGGTAAGATTTGGATCTGGATGACCCTTTCCAAAATCTTCACTTGGAACATAATTAATCAAATTCTTTTGAGGATCAGCTCCTAATTTCTCATGTAAAATTCTCTTGGCATAGGGACCTGTGACACCATGCATGGCATCGAACAATAAATTGAAATCATCCCTTTGAATTAATTTCTTAATCTTTTCCATATCGAAAATTGTACTGAGCAATTCATAATAGTCATCTACAGGATCAATAACTGAAACTTTCAAATGTTCATCAGAAAAGACATCAGAAATGTGAGAAAAATCAATCTCTGGGAATTCATCACAAGTATGATATTCAGTAATTTGAGTTGACTGTTGATAAATAATGTCAGTAATCTTTTCAGGAGCAGGTCCTCCATTTGGTGCATTGTATTTAATTCCCCAATCATTATTTGGACCACCAGGATTGTGAGATGCTGTCAAAATCAAACCACCCAATTCGGCCTTATATTTTCTAATCATACACGAAACTGCAGGTGTAGAAACAACACCATCCTGCCCAACTCTAACATGAATTTTCAAATTACGAGCAACAGCATTAGCATAGAGAATCTTCAAGATGGTTTGAATGGCCTTCTTGTTATAATAACGACCATCTCCACCAATAACCATTTGTAAACATCCTTGATCATTTACCTTTCCGATCAATCCTTGTTCCGATGAGAGAATAATATTGAATACACTTTGGGAGAAATTTTCAAGGAAAGATGGTGTATTTTCAACAAGCTTAACTTTGACACGAAGACCACTTGTACCCATCTTTTGTCCTGGGATTGGTTGTGTGGCTTGTTTGCGAATAGTGAGAGGTGCCATCTGTACAGAAAAAGGTTTTTATATTTTTTTTAAAGAATAGCTTACTGATTGAGAACTCTTTTGGATGGAGCCATAAAAGGTTTTAAGATCATCAGACTGTAAATACAATATTCTCAAATTAAGAATTTATTTAACTGCTGAAAAATCGAGTGGTTTTCATATTGAAAAACAAATTTGACAAAATGATTCTCCCATGCCGGGAATTGAACCCGGACCTCCTGGGTGAAAGCCAGGTATCCTAGCCATTGGACTACACGGGAATCATGTTCATAATGAACATATATATCTTATATTGTAGGAAAATTGTTTATTGGAGCTTCGTGAAACCAAACCAGACTTTTTAATATTTGAAAAAACACATTAATATTTGTAAATTTGAACAAAAATAAATTTGTTGAAGCACAAATCTTTGCTCAAACACAATTATTAACGGTTGCATCAAAGTTAAAAAAATATTAATAATTAAAAATAATGCCATCATCACCTGGTGGTGCCTCTGAAAAAACAGACGATGGCGAAACAAATAATAATACTTTGGACCACTTGGGTGGATCTGGTGACAATAGCCAATTTAAAAACAGAGAGAAGGGATTATTTAGTAGAAGTACAGATGGCAAATGTGATCACTCACTCTATATGCTCTTGAGTGATAGTCAAAACCCAAAACAATATATTCAATCACTAGTACAATTATTATTAATGTGGATGAAAACGGACATTAATCCAAGTGATCCGATAGAGTTGAATGATTTAACAACATCACTGATGAAAGTACTTTGCATAGGCTTTTTTGAATTTTTATATTCCGTGGAGAGTGCAAATGAAAGTAATTGTCAACAGAGGCCATATGATGAGGATGAATTTATTGCCAAATTTTGTGAGGGGGATGTTTTTGCCTTTATTGAAAATTTAAGAGATTACAATAGCGAAAAATCAAAAAAGCTCTTGATCTATCTCCAGAATCAAAAATTAAACGAATTAAGAATGGAAGATAGTAATTCAGCAAACAGATTTTTGAAGCTCAGATCTGAAATTGTTCATGGATTCAGAGTATTTGAATATGGGACATTATTTTATTACGTCTCTGAATTGAAAAACTTAAAGAAAGCATTTGACTATACAATATGGTATTTTAGAAATAGTTCCTTGTGTATGGATCCAAATTTCAGAGATATTTTAATGGCCATTGTTGATACCCTAATTATGCTTAACTTTAATTCTGTTCTTGATGCAGCTAAAGAAGTTGAACCAGGTATTTGGGACTCGGATTATGTTAAATTGGATGATGGAGAGAATGTGTTGGATCAATACTTTACTTTGAAGAAGAATCAATCAATTGCTTGTGTAAAGAGATTGATAATTGCGAATAAGGCTACTCGTTATGTTATTACACCTACAATATTGGAAACAATTTTAAAGAGACTTCAAGATGATTTTGACTGCATTGAGGATATTATTGATATTTATCAAGCCAATACAGATAAATTTTCAACAGATGATTCTGAAGTAATACTCAAGCTCAAGACAACAATTTCCAACAAGTGGAAATCTTCTTGGGAATCAAATATTAGTGGCTCTGTGCTAGATCATCACACCTCTCTTCCTACTCAACTAAATACAGCGATACCTGGTGGAGCCAGCTCCCAAAGCACAACCAATCTCGTTAATTCCAATGTTGTAAGATTTAGTGAGTGGATTGGCATTTTCCCAGAGTGTGAGATTTTTGACACTTTGAAAAAGTTTGAAAAGGTCTCCAGTGATGTAAATGCCACAGAAGTAATGAGAGATGGATGGATGAAGGAAGTAGCTTCTGATCCAATTCAAGTTTTAAACTCTATGCAACGTGCAATTGAAGGTCTCTATTGTAACTTGCAAAGCTCTAGAAAAGATGCCCTCGAAAGTGTAATATCTAAGGAAGAAATTTATAAGGAAAATATCAAAATTTCTAGAATGAGAAGACAAAATGAAAATTCTGGCACTTCTCAATCCTCCACCACTGTAAATTCATCTCAAACATTTGTATCTCCAAGTCTTCTCCTCAGAACTCAACCATCCTTAACAACTAGTCAACTTTTAACCAATACAAGTACTGGTAGAAGAACAGAGCACCCAACACCTTCCTCACAAGACAGTAAGAGAGTAAAACGTGACTAAGTAAAACCAATTAACTTTAGAATATTTTGAATACATTAAATAATGAGTTTTAAGAAATTATTTATATAATCATTCAATCCTGACATGCGTATTGGTGCGATATTAATAAAATTTCTAATTATTATTATTAATTTAAATAATAGTTGCTTACCAGTAAAAGATAATTTTCAAAATTGATTTAAAAAAAATGAAAAAGACTAAAAAGACTGGTGGTCCAGTCAAGACTGAAGATGTTTTAAAGGCGGTCGTTTTGGCCGACTCTTTCACAAAGGAAATGAGACCAATTACATTATCTAAACCAAGAGTATGTTGTTTAATAGTATCCGTGCTGATTAAAATCACACTTGTTGTTATTTAATAGTGTTTACTTCCAGTTAATAACATTCCTATTATCGAATATATTTTGGAGTTGTTAGCTTCATCAGGAGTAAAAGAAATTTATGTTTATTGTTGCCACGGAGCCGATGAAATTAAACGTTATTTGGAGTAAGTGATACCAGAGATTAATAGTAAATATTTATACAAATAATTGGTCAATAGAACATCAAACAAGTGGAAACAATCACCAAAAGCAACAAGTGCTGATATTAAAGTATCTACCATTGTTGGAACTGATGCCAAATCTGCTGGTGATGCTCTCAGAAGAATTGCTGATATGGATTTAATTAGAAATGATTTTATTTTAATTCAAGGAGATGTGATTAGTAATATTAATCTTGCACCAATTGTGGAAAGACACAAGTATGTTATTATTGTATTTCGATTGATTTTAATGTACATTTTTTAGAGCTGAAAGAAAATTAGATTCCAACATTTTGGCAACAACAATTTTCCGTAAATGTACTCCAGATACTGTTAGATTCTATGAAGATAATGATTCTGTTTGGATTGCTGTCTCTGAAAAGAGTAAACAATTATTACATTATGAAAATGAAAAGAAGGAAAATCTTGATTTTAAGATTGAAACTCGTCACTTTAAACAAACAAAAGATAATATTAGAATTTATTCTGACGTTATGGATTGTAGAATTGATATTTGTTCTCCTGAAATTCTTCCTGTTTTCCAAGATCAATTCGATTACAAGCATTTAAGAAATGATTTATTCCAAAAATATGTTCTCCACAAATCGGAAGTTGTTGAACATAAGGTCATTGCTTATATTGATGATAATGGATATACTGGTAGAGTTTGTAATCTCAATTCATATGAAAGTATTAGCATGGATCTTATCAATAGATGGATGTATCCTATCACTCCAGATTCTAATTTTTCTGGAACTACTTCATTCAGATATTCAAGACCAAATAACTATTATGAATCAAACATTTCTCTCTCAAAGAGTTGTGTGATTGGAGAAAATTGCTTAATTGGAAGTGGAACAATAATTGGAGAAAATACCAAGATCAAAGCAACAGTAATTGGTAAAAATGTTCAAATTGGTAATAATGTTCAAATTGAGGCTAGTTTTATTTGGGATAATGTTATTATTGAAGATAATGTAAAGATCACATCATCTCTCATTTGTGATAATGTCAAAGTGTGTACAAACTCTGTATTGGAAACCGGTGCTGTACTTTCATATGATGTTGTTATTGGACCAGATTTTACTGTCAAATCTCATCACAGATTAACAACTATTGAATATGATAAGGATGAATATTCCAATCAAGAAGAAGAAGTTTCATTTGATGATGCCTTTGAAAATGAAAGAAAAAGTATCAACCTGGTTGCCAAAAAAGTTGTCAATAACAAGAATTATGTTGGTGTTAATGGTGTGGGTTCTTTGCACGTTTTGCCATCCTTCTTGAGCGATCAATTAATTAACAGATTGGGAGTTTCTCAAGCTGATGCTGATAAACTTGAATCAGATATGGCTTTGCGTGATAAAGTTGTTAAGCCAACCAAACAACATCATGAAGATATCGATGATGCTAGTAAGTATTTAGTAATATTTCAATCCATAATTACCTTCTGAATAGATTTCTTTGATGAGGTTAGAGCCAGTATTAGAAGATCAATAGACGAAAATCACAGCATTGAAAATGCAAAACTTGAACTTAATGGTCTCAAGTTTACCTATGACAGCAGCTTTGAAGATATCGCCATTGGTTGTCTCACTGGTATTTTAGTTTATTGTGACACAATTTCAAAGAAGGATGACATTACTGATTTCCTTTCTAAGTTTATTGATGTATTGACTGGAAAAGATGGAAAGAGATGTTGGATGGAAGTGCTCGAACACTTCTTAAAGTTGGGCGTAAAGAAATCTAGAGTTTTACTCTTAACCCACTTGTTATACTTTGTAGCTAGCGATGAAGGTGTTAAGTATCGTCCAGCACTTATCACAATAGTGAAGATTTTAAATGTACAAGAACTTGTGGATAATGATACTGTTATTGAATGGTATGACGAACATTTGGATGAAGAAAGTATGAAACCAATTTTGGCTCTTTGTAAAGAATATGTAAATGAACTAGAAGAAGGTTCTGAAGACGAAGATGAAGAAGAGGAAGAAGAGGAAGAAGAGGAAGAAGAAGAGGAAGACGATGAAGAAGAGGAAGAAGAAGAGGAAGAAGAAGAGGAGGAGGAAGAGGAAGACGATGAAGAAGAGGATTAAGCAATAAATTATTAAGTTTAAAATGTTTTGTGTGGTTTTACTTAAAGTAATTTTCCACCAGATTTTCTTTCACACTGGTTGAGAAGCGAATAACTTTCGTGTCTCCATCTTCACCATTGTAACTTAAAGTGTCAGAAGCAGGATGACTTCCATACGAATCACTTATGTGGGATTCATCAGTTAATGAATTATGACCTTCGAGAAATTTGATTTTTTGTTTGGATTGGGCCAACTCTAGCTCAATTCTCTTCCTTGTCAACAGTTCCTCTTGTAAAGAATTCAAGAGAATTGCATTTTCCTTCTTCATCTTGGTGATAGCCTTTTTGAGCATTCTGTGATATCTGTTCTTTGAACCCTTCTTGTATCGATAAAAGTAGCTTATCCAAAAGTGTGTGGAGAGTGTGTCAATGTCGGTATTTACAATTAATGTTGAATATTCGCTATTCTTTGGGTTATAAACATCGTTATAATACAGAGAAGGGTTTGTCATTACTTCTGTCCAAACCGAAATAGTATCCTTTGTAATATTTTCATCGAGCTGTTGTTTAGCACAATTCAATAAAAAGTTTCCAAAACGACAAGAATATAAACTGTCCAATATTAAGAAGAGGAACGCCTCATTAAACTCGAAATGTGAAGGATATTGTTGCCAAATTTGCCAAACACAATCAATAAATTGTAAAAAAACAGGAGAAATTTCATCAGAGGCTGAATTAGTTTTTCCAACACATCCATGTCCTACACGATCTAGAAACTTGTGACCAAAAGAAACCCACTCTCTCTCAATTAGAATTTCAAATCCCTTAATAGTTCTGTAATAAGGGTCTAATAAAAGCTCTGCAAGTGCGCAGATTTGTGCGGTACGATCCCATCCATCACTACAGTGAACAAGTACTGATGTATCAAATCTTTCAATATAAGTTACAACCTTTGAAGCTGCTTGCATGATTAACTTGGTATGTTTTAACCATCCTGTTGCCTCAAAAGAAGATAGCCAATATTGATCGTTATTTTGCTTATTTTGAATTAATTTCTTTAGCAAATTAAGACTGTTAGTCATGGCATGAATATTTTCAATATTCATGAACTCTATTGAACAGTTAGTATAGTATGCAATATTTTCATAACCCTTTCCCATAACTGTATTGGCCCAAGCGTTTGCCTTTGGTCTACAGTCAATAATCTGAAGTCTCTCTGATCCAGATGCTCTTCTGATGGCATCAACTAACTCTTCATCTTCTTTACATCTTGCTCTTGTGATACCTACCATAGGTTGACTCGATCTTACAATGCAAATATTCTTATGAGGATGAATCCAGGAAAGAACTGGAATTCTTCCTTTACTTCTAAAAGCTGCTGAAGCTGCAAGCATTTCATCTGAAACATCTTTAGGAACAATAAAATGTTCTGGATAAGTGTCACAAACTTTGAATTTTGAGTTAATAGAACTAATACGCCAAGAAAAAGCTGGATTATTTTGGTGTCTTGTGAAAAGGCCTTGTCTTTTAAATTCTCTTTTCATCTTGTAAACCTTCCATCCCTTTTCAATATCCTCCTGAGAATATATTTGAATTGGATAGGAGGAAATATGTTTACGGAATGCAAATGCAAACACTCTCTTTGAGGTAGCAGCTTTAAGGGCCTCCATAACTTTGTCAATTGTATAGGAAGAATCTCTAAAGAATAAAAATTTCAAAACCTGCAAATCTTTGCTCTTAATACTAATATATCCAAGACTATTAAACTTGTTATCAGTGGTAGGTCCATTATTTGCATTTGATGAAATATATTGACTGTAATAGTTGCTGTAGGTATTTGTCTCTGATTGTGGATATTTTGGAGCCATTCTAAGAATACAAGATGTTGGAGTTGATAGAACTAGAGATGGTTTAGCAACGCACTATTTAATTGTTAAAATAACTAAAAAAAATTGAGAAACTTACTTGGAATCTAATTTGATAATTTGTAATATATAACTCGCCAATAACAAGAGTAGGCTCAGTATCAGATTGATCACCAACATTAGTGGAAGTAGCATTACCATTAGTGCTAATAGTACTTCCAGCACTTCCATAATTTGAGCTAGATCCGCCTACTGTATTCAATAAGTCATAAACATTAAAATCATTCAATAATTCCTCTGCTGTTGTTAAAAATTCTCCAGAAGCTTGTTTTGGTTGCTCAATAAAAGGTCCTTGAGATGAAATTGCTTGTGGGTTGGAATGAGTTGGAGGAAAGTATGTAATTGGGAGATTTTTAACGACTCCAACCTTTTTAATATGATTAAGAACACATTCCCCTGGTAAAAGCCAAGATTCTGTTCCTTCTGGGTGATGTTTTCCAATATTATGTTTGATGATTGGTTTTTTCATTGATTGACCATTCGATTTGAGAGGAGAAACGTCCATACTTGGTAAATTAACCTCGCTATAATATTTTTGTTTTCCAATAAGTGCAGAAGCACTTGTAACTTCTTCCTCGTTGACCATATAAAAGTCATGTTCATCACTTTGTTTTAATAATGATTGAGAAAGAAGAGATATTGGTTGATTGGAAAGCATGTTTGGCTGGCTTTGAATATGATGAATACCAGCAGTTGGATTATTAATATTTGTTGGAGGTGTTTGAGAAGTGGTAGAGGTGGTAGAAGGAGTATTATTATCGTTGGTAGTAATAGTAGGATGATTTGCTTTGCTATTATTATTTGTGACAAGTTTCTCTTGTTGATTTGTAACTGGTAAAGAAGCAACTCGAGACCTTTTTCTAAATTTCAAATAATGATCAAATCACAAGAAAATTTAGTTCCATTGAACAAAAAGGGAAAACTTACTTTTGTACATTATCTGGATTGTGACTTGTTGGAAACTCTTTAGTTGAGGAAGATTTGTTAATTGTGGTAGGTGAATAGGGATGATGTTGTTCTGTTAGAAAGTGAACAGGAGTAGTTATGGCTGGAGTGACTTCATCGCAGGCACTCGATGGAGCAGTATCATCGTCATTTGAGGAACTGCCACTCTCATAGCCAGCATCATTTAAAAAGGATGGAGCAAATGGTTGATCCTTCTTTGCATGAATCATGTGGTGACCATGTTTGTGGGTGGTTAGATAAATATGAAGTGGTGTAACGTCTGGTGAATCATCATTATTGGCATTACTTGGAGTTATATTATTTGAGCTGGTATCACTTGGAGTGTCATTATACATGTTCCGATGAGGCATATTGTTGAGAGGTTTTTTGTTATGAATTAATTCAATCCAATCTGATGATCTTTGGATAAAGTGATAATGAGGTTCAATTAATTCCTTTTCTTCTTGATCAAGTAAATTAAAAGAGGTTTCTAACTCTGAATTTTGAGATGGATCAATCATCAAGTGCTTTCACTCCTAAAAGTGTTTAATTGTGTGTATTTAATTTAAATTGTTTCTTATTACTATTTGATGAAGTAATGAAATAAACAATGTAATACTAGATTGTTACTACAACAAAATTATAATCCCAATCAAATGATGAAGAGGTAATGTTATGATGATGGAGGTTTACTTTTCCCAGTAAAATAAACCTTCAACAAGTGTGGTGGTAGTTTGGTTAGTAATGAAGAAATCTATGGCAATAGATTGTGGCGTTTTATTCGGGTGATCAACAACCTCCTACTGCTCTCTACTGCTTTAGTTGCTGTATTCAAACGTGATGAATTTTTTCTTTTTTGAATCTAATGAGGAAGTTGTACAGTGCTCAAACACGCTTTGAGTTTACGATGAGTTCAATCCAATAAATTGATGCCTTTTTCACTATTAGTTGCATAATAAGCATCACATCATCATTCTGTTTTTCAGATCATTCTCTACTGATACAAGCAATAATAAAAAACTTTAAAAGTTTAATAATATTTGGCCAAAATTGGAGCATAAGTCTTCTTGAGATCATCGCTTAAACTACTGGCTGGCTTCAACAAGGAGAATTTCATGGCAGAGTGAGCACTTGATTCAAACTTGGTGAAAGATTTGGCAACTTCTTGAATAACTCTTCTAGCATTGTCACCATTATCGTGCAAAATCTTGACAACTTCTTCAACAGTAACTGGTTCAGCTTCATCTTTCCAAGCATCATAATCAGTGACCATACCAACACAAGCAAAGGCCATTTCAGCTTCACGAGCCAATTTAGCTTCTTGCAAACAAGTCATTCCGATGATACTACCACCCCACATTCTATACATTTTACTTTCGGCACGTGATGAGAAACATGGACCTTCCATACAGACATAAGTACCAGTGGCATGAGTCTTTGGAATAGTTTCAATACGTGAGCATGAATCAACAACCAATTGAGACAAAGTCTTACAAGTTGGTTCACCGAATGAAACGTGAGCAACCAAACCTTCTCTATCATAGAAAGTATTTTCAGATTGACGGAATTTGGTACGATCAATGAATTGGTCAACAACAACAAAGTGTTTTGGAGCCAATTCTTCTTGCAATGAACCAACAGCTCCGAAAGAAACTAAATTATTAGCACCAAGTGATTTGAGAGCAAAAATGTTGGCACGATATGGAACATCGGTTGGTTGAACAGAGTGAGAAAGACCGTGTCTACACAAGAAAGCAACAGTCAAACCGTTAATAGTACCAATAACAATTGGTGATGATGGTTTACCGAATGGAGTTTCAAATGGTTCAACAGTGATAACATTTTCAAGACCTTCAGCCTTTGAGAGACCGGTGCCACCAATGAAAGCCAAATCAACACGTGGATAAGCAGAGAGATCGACAGCAGCCATTATATATTACTATTCAAAAATTGGGTAATTTTTTTAAAAACGATTTTTAATAACTGCGATGGAAATTCAATATTTTGGCTGATTCTGTTTTAACAGAGTCTGTCGCAAGTGGTGGCTGAATGAAATTGAAGAAATTTCACATTCTCTCAAAGAATCTCAAAGATGACAACAATCTAATAATATTTTTCTTTTTCTTCTTTACAACAGAATAATAATACTATCATGTCTGCCTGTGGTACAATTTACATAGGATGGATAACATTCAATGGGTGTTGATTTTCAATCAATACATGATATTCTCATCAATTTTTAAAATCATATTAACCATTTCAGTTGCTAAAATGAGAACATTCATCTTGACAAGAATATTTTCCATAACTTGTGTCTCGCTCATATTCTTAATTTGCATTAGAAAATTGCAAGTATTTGAACAAGGTTTGGAATATTCCTCAATCAGTTTCTCATCTCTCAATAGATCATCTTGGGTGAATGAGTTGGCAAATAGTCCACAATAATATTCTCCTAATTGATGCTTGTCAATCAGAGTTTGAATTGTTTCAATTACAGAGAGTCCTGAATTTTCAGCAAATGTAGATGGAACAACCAGAAGGCTTTTTGCCCAATGCTTGGCAATGGTTTGAGTGAGAAAATCATTTGGTTCAATCTTTTCCAAATTTTCCATTACGAGAGAATAAATTTGCATTTCAAAACATCCACCTCCATAGCTTAATGGAGGAATAAGGGAGAGAGTTTCCAAATTGTCTTCAGAGTTCTTTTCTAACACATTGTGTTTGTTGGAGAGGTGAGAATATACGGATCGAACACTCATTAGCGCATCATTCATGGAACGAGCTGTTTCTTGGGCAAGAAACTCATTTGAGGATCGTATTAGGATTGAGCAAACTTTTGGTTCTATGCACTCAGTAAAGGTCATTAACTTGTCACCCTCCTGATATTCAAATTTTCCAGCATAACCAAGCATATTTTCAGTAAAGTGAGCCACTTGTGGGCAAATTGAGGCACCTGTAGCGAGAGCAATTCTATCCAATTCATCGGCACCAACCCACCTTATACCAATAAGGTTGTTCTCAACTAGGTAATCATGAAATCTATTATCGAATCCCCATTGTGAGACTATTATATTTACATTACAATTCTTCAGAATTGAAATAACTTCTTCAAGGTAGGAATTTTCAACAGCTTCCAATTCTTGATATTGTTTTGAATTGGTAATATTAATGTGGTGTCGTGTCTTGAGTCGAGGTGTTTCTATGGGACATGAAAATAGAGCAATTCTGCAATCTCTCATTGAAAATTTCATATTCAAATTGGATGCCAAATTTTTACCAACCAAACATATTCCAGATTCAATTAGAATTACATTAGTACTACTGTCAATATGTTGTTGATTCATTAAATTTTGATTATCAATAATCAGAGTGTCCACATTGATGAAATGAAGCTTGCCTGCTGTAGCGTGAATGGCTTCCACTGCTATTGAACTGAGTTCCTCACAAATATTTTTCACTTGTTTGGAAAGGAGGCATGATTTAGCTGCAATTTTTTCAATATCACTCTGTGTTAAATCTTTGATTTTTGAAAGGTTTAAAAATCTACTAGCTTTTAAAGAGCTCTCTGTTGGGTCAACCTCTCTCAATGGTTTCGTAAAAACAGATAACCATTCTCTTAAAATATAATCCAAAGTTTTTTGAAAACCTTTCATAATCTTATCTACACTCAAATTCCATTTTTCAATCAATTCCACAGATAATTTACACATTTCTCCACACAAGACGACAACACTAGTTGTTCCATCACCTACTGTATTGTCTTGATTTTTTGATAATTGATAGAGTAGTGTATGAATTGGATGTTGTTCTCTATTCTCATTGAGAGATCTCAATTTGAACATTTCCTCCATTAACGTTCGTCCATCATTCGTAACAAGGATGCTTTTTTGTAAATCACCCTTGACAATTAGTTTATCTTTACTGAATGGTCCAAGTGAAGTTCGGATTAATCGTTTGGAAAATTCATAGGCCAGCTTTAAATTATTTAATAAATTTTCCTCACTATAACTATTCTGTTGATGGTGATTTTTGGTGTGAAGAGGAATTTCCAATCTATCTACAATATCGGACGGGCTTGAGTCATTTTTTATTGCAAAATCATCAAGGTTAATTTCATCCATTTTTTTTAGTCAATTAATGAATTTAAATATTAATTACCTATTAAATGAATTTTATTTAATTCTTTAAATGGATTACTATTTCAATAACAATATGAAGTTTATAAAATACAAAATTTATGAATCCATCAATTCCAACAAGTCATCTTGTTCAACAATGTTTGAAGGAGTGGAACTAATATCAAAGTCAACATTCACTCTATTGCTTACTCTACAATCGAAAATCAATTCCTCAAACTTTTTCTCTACAGTTTCAACGGTTTCATCTTCCTCAGGTTCTTCGAAAATATCAAACTTGGAGAAGAGGTTAACCTTGAAGGTTTCCTTTGTTTCTTTTGGTCCATGAATAAGGTTTGCCAAGAAATTTAATTCACTAGTTGTGTCGTGACTCTTCTTCACAGCAGAGAATGAATAGTTTTCATTATCATCATCAGTGTGTTCTTGTTGGGCAATTTTAGGTTTTGTGGAAGAGTAGCTATGGTTAATAAACAAATTCCAAATTTAGGAAATTCATAAAATATAATAAAGGAAGGAGAATAAACTTACAAGTTGGCCCCCAAATCACTTGTTCTTTGATTTGAATCAGAATGTGTAACTGTACTGTGAGTAAAATCTTTCATTGGGTGATTTGCTATTAATTCAGTTTCTTTCAAATTTCCTTCAGCTTCAAAATATCTGCAAGTTCCAGGCTTATCAAATCCGAGTGGATATTGCTTATTGTTTGGAATTCTAAAGTGACCATTTGATCGGTGTTGAATCTTGCAATTCAAAAAGATTGAAACCTTTATATTTCTATCCTTCAAGAAATTACAAATAGTATATCTGCATTTAATAAAATCATTGAGGGACATTTTCTTTGAGATCTATTGATCAATTTAATATAAATAATAAGTCCTTTCAATGAGCACTTACCTCAACAATTTCGTTTACAGCTCGTTGAACACACTTCTTTGCTTCTAGGGCAGTTTCATCACTATCAAGCTTGCCGATAATATTTTCAATTTCATCCAAGTGATTCAAAGTAAATTGGAGTATTTCATGAGGGTGATTACAGGCAATGAAAGAGTACTTTAAACCCATTACCATCAAATCGTACAACTATAAGTAATAATAACAATAAGGAAATATTAATTCCGTAATATTTTCCATTTCAACCTTACCTTGTTCATACTGCTAGTGGAGAGTCTCATGATGGAGGAGTGTGCCAACTTTTCAAAAACATGTCTAATAGAAGCATCAGAATACATCTTTTGAGGTTTAACCAATTCATTAATAAATTCCTCATCAAACATATGCTTGACTACATCTTGAAGAACCTTCTTACTCTTCTCCTCGGTAATCTTTTGAGCTTCCAATCTTTGATGGAGAATGTACATCATCTCTCCACCGAGATTGAAGATCAGAAAAGGCATAGCATAATGACTCATTTTTTATTGTATTTTGCTGTATAAGAGAGCATGCCTTCGAGCAATGCATTGAGGCAGATTGTCTAGAGTTCTGATAACATCTCGACCTATCACAAGTGCCGCCTAAAACAAACACCTCTTAGTGATGAACTATATTTGAGCAGGTCATTTAAAATTCTGTTTCATTGTCAATAAGTGACGATACAAAACATGCAATGACTTGTATGTTGTGATAACTTGAATAATGTGTGGAAGCAATTTAGTTTTGAGTTTTAAAAATGAACAACACAAACAAAGTTTCATTCCTACTCGGAACATCATCAACAACTAGGAAACAATTATTATTGGGTCATTGTGGTGTTTTAAAATTCTCAAAATCTTCGGAAGGGAATAAAAGAAGAAATTATTCATCAGCTTTTCATCAAGATCATGTCATTGAGAGTAGCACCATTCAGAGAAAATACTTGACCAATATTGATTTTATGAGGAAGAATTTAAAACATTTTCAAGAGAGTAATAATTTAAAGGCAAAACATGAACAAAATATTGGACTTTTATTAAATAATTTTTCACAAAGATGGAATAATGTTAATATTAGAAATGAAGTTTCATTGATAAGAAGAAAATTAGTAAATTGTCAACAAAGCTACTTGAAAAATGATAGAACAATATTATCATCTTCAAATATTAAACAAGCACTACAGGGAAGTCAGCACTATTTAAATAATCCAAATGAAAGAAAAATAATTCTCCAAGATAGAGAAACCCTTCTCCGAAAGGTTGACATCATGTTCAGAGATGCCAAAAAGGAAGCTATATTTGTAAATGACATTTCTAATAATATTGGACCAGACGTATTAGCTTTTGATGTACATTTATTTAACATGTTTATGGATATTTATTTGAGATTGCGAGCAACGGAGCAGATTTGGGAAATGGAAAGATTTATGGAAAAGAATGGAATCAATCCTAATTTAACAACATTGATTTTCCTTACCGATGCATCCAGAGTTGACAATCAGGTTGACAAGGCCATTCAATACTATAGAAAAGCAATTACACAGTGGAATGATTGTATTGAGCTGGATACATCATATTGGAATCATTTTCTTTCTGCTTTGGCATTAATTGGTACTGATAACATGTCGAGAGATGCAACAAACTCAATGACAACCCCTCTCCAGGAAAATGAACTCCTTTCAAAATACTTTTCTATAATGATTGATTCTGGGTATGAGCCTGATGAAGATACATTTAGATTTGTTATTCATGGATCTAGAAATATCAATGTCATGATGGAAACTTTGGATTTGATGGAAAACGAATATGGCCTCTTCTATTTGAAATGTTATGATTCTATATCACTATTTCTATCTGGATCTTATTATAATCCACAGGCAGCAAAAGCTCTTTTCCACAGGTTATTGTTGAATAGAGGAAAGTTCAAAGATTACAGAAGTAGCTCTGCATTCTTTTTGGATAATTCCAGTGCAAAAGTGGTGGGAAGTCTTGACAATGTCGCCCCAACAGAGAATGCTCTCGAGTTCAAGCATGGATTGAATTTGGAACTGACCAGTATTTACCAACATTTGATTCGTTCCTTCATTCCACCAAACTACACTTACGAGGTTGATATTGACACAATGTTGACTATCTATGATTATGCTGTAACTAAGGAGAAACTGAAACCAACCTCCATGATGATGGAAGATCTCATTGATGCCTACTGTAGAGTTGGTAATATGAAAGAGGCTTGGGTGATTCTTTCTAGAATGAGATCACTTAATCTTTTCAAAATTAACAATATCAAAATTCATTGGAAATTATTGATGGCCTACAGACACCAACAAGATGTCAAAGGAGCATCCACAGTAATGAAGGATGCTCTCGAGAAGAGATTGGCAATTACTGAGGGACTTATCAAACTTTACTTTGAATCATGCAGAACTAGTGATGAGATGACTCCACTTGTTGTGTTTTGTGCCTTGATTGATAGAAAGTTTGTCGACATTACACAACAAAAATATCTCATTCCAATGGTGAGAGATGTCTTTCAAAATGTAAAGAAAAAGTTTGGTGTTGTTCACAAGCAACAAATCAATGATATTGACTCTGAAGAATATGGAGAGTTTGCAAAATTCCAAAAGATTACCTCAATGCTCCACGAAAGATATGTAAAATTCCATTAAATTATTTCAACATTTTAATTATGTTACCAAATATGTTTTTAACAAAATAATACCAATTATTCCAATTTTTTAAACAATAATAAAATTGAAAAAGGATTATTTATTTATTAATAAATTAGTAGGATTCGTAGAGTTTAGTTGTATTGACAGGTGGTAAATCAAAAGCATAAATGGAAGAATAATCTCTTTCAAAAATACTATTAACTGTTTGTCTCAAAGATGGGGTGGTACTAACAAATGAAATACCTGCAGTAGTGTAGAAGTAGTCCTTACTCCAATTAGATGTGGAAATGTAGGCTTGCTTTTCTGTGACCATATACTTGGCGTGATTGACTCTTGTGAATGGATATTTTGGAGCATCTTGTTGATCAGGAAGTTGGAAGATTTTAGCAGAAATTGAGCCAGTACACTTGTGAGATTCAGTACAGAATTTACCTCCAAATTCAACCAATGATTGCAATACAGTAATTTGATATGACTTGGTGTGATCCCATTTACTGATAAGCAACTTGACTTTAACATTTCTCATAATAGCAGCCTTAAGAGCATCTATTAATGAATTTTAGAATAAATACAAATCTAATAAAATACTTACTTTCAATATCTCCCCAATATTGGAATTGTGGACCAGCATACATTAAGAGTGGTACAAAGTCCATTACAGAAATGTGAACAAATTGAGTGGAATTGTTAATAACAGCCAACAAGGCATCAATATCGTTAGTTCTTTGTGGTTCGTTAATAATTTTTGGACTAGCACTCATAAAGACAGTTGATTCATTCTTTTGAGGTTCATTCTCGAATGGAACGAGCAATCTAGAGAATTGATTGACAGAGGTGAAGGTATTTTCAGGCCATCCTCTAAAACCTTCAAAAGTACTATTCATATTCTTTCCAAGAGTATAATAGATATCCAAAATTTTTTCAATATCCTTTGTTAAACAAGCACAATTTGTGACCTTGACACCCAATTCCTTAACTTGAGCCAAAGATCTCCAATCCAAATTTGCACTTCCAACGTAGAAATGTTGTCCATCAACAGCAATGGCCTTTGTGTGAAGAATACCACCTGAGAAGGCTTTACTCCAATCAATTGAAACGAGTTCAGCACCCATTTTCTCCAAAGCTCTAGTATCATCATCTGGGAATTCCTTTGATGCAATATTTTGAACAATACGAACTTTAATACCTCTCTTGATAGCATTAGCAATACTATCAAATGCTTGGTTACCAAATTGTCCACCAGAAACATCAGATGCATCATTACGAAGACTTGAATAAAAACAAGCAATTGTCAATGAAGACTTGGCATTTGAAATAATTGAAGACCAAGCATTATATGTGTAATCGGTATTTGGAACAAGTTTGAGATCAACTCCCATTGGAATACTTTCAACAATCTGATAAGAACTAAATAAATTGTTGAAAATGCATTTCCACAACAACCTACCAAGTAGATTCACAACTCAAATCACTAGCTCTATTTCCAATTCTAGAATAACTATAATATAAAGCAGGAGTAATCACTGATGGAATAACAACAAGACAAGTAAGAACAAAACAAATGGCAGGAACAATATAGGCACAATAATTATATTCTCTCCATTTTAAAATTCCACGAAAACCACTTCCATCATCACCACCATCATTTATAGAGTCACCACCACCACTACCCCTTTCATATATTGGTGAGGAGTGATACACATCTTGATGATACCCTCCCGATGAAGTTGTTGCGTTATTGATTCTATCGGATTCACTCATTTTTTAAAAAAATCAAATTTTTTTTCAATATTTTCTAGTAGGCACCAATTAAACTGGTTGGTATCTTTGGAGTTGTAGTCATGATGATGAACACTTGATATTGAGCAAGTGCTTGCAAGAAATATCTTTGCAGAAGAATCTGTTATTTGCCTCAATCATTTTTTGTTGAGAATCAGAATAATAACTAACAATATGTAATAAAAAATGACACCAAACTCACCCAATCTATCAAGTGGTACTAGGATGAATTTTGGTAGGATTGTTGAAGAAGAAGTAGAATTGGATGATCGGGATGGGATTGATACAAATAACAATGATAAAAGGTTGATCGGAGGAGAAGAAGGACAACAGATTGATTTTTTGATTAGTAATAATAATATTCGGAATAATTCATTATTGATTAGTGGTAATAACGTGATTGATAATAGTACTAGTGGAACATCACCTATTCAGATTGTACAAATTGGTGGAGAATCAACAGCTTCAGAAAGAATTGTGTTTGATTTTTCAGATGCTCCATCACCTCGTTTGAATATTGATAACACAACAAGATTGAGGAAAAAATCACTCACTTCACCATTTACTCCTCCTTCCGCTTCGAGTGACAATGGGAGTGATAGTGGTTGCAACACATTGCAATCTCCAAATATTGATACAACTTCGAGATCAATCTCTGAACGATTGAATTTAGCAACACCACACATTGAAGAAAATCAACTAAAATCGAAAAAGAAAATGCCATTACAGAGGTTTGATAGTTTTTTGAGATATCTGCACAGAGAATTGAATGTGACAACAAGAAATTCGCCCAATGTAATTTCAAATTCTGAAGGAAAATCTACTAATGATGTTATAATGTCCGCAGAAACACCTACAAGTACTCAATCAACACCAATATGTGATAATTCTCAAAGTTCTCTAAATGGAAAACCATATAATTTTCCAAATGGATTTATCAAATTATCACACGATCCAAAAGATAATTGTTTCACAGATGAAGAATTGAGAGGTCAATTGTACAAATTTATTGAGATACCCATTAGAGTGGAGAGATTTTTATTCTTTGGATTTTTCATTTGTTTGGACACATTTCTATTTTATTTGACCTTCTTTCCTGTGAGAGTGTTTTTATCATTGTGGAGAATTATTTGGTCCATTGTAAAATATATTATACTATTACCATTTAGAGGATGTTTAAGAGAGATGAGTAATGGAAATAGCAGATTAAAACCGAGTGTGAATGAGTCAGTCCTATTTGATTTGGTGAAGTTTTTCTGCCTCGTCATTAATATAATTCTCATCATGCAAACAACTGACTATTCACTACTGTATCACTACATTAGAGGAGAATCAATTTTAAAGTTGTACGTGATTGGTAATATGTTGGATGTATTTGACAAGTTGTGTTCCTCCTTCGGTCTAGATTCACAAATAGCTCTCCTTTATTCTTCCAAACAATTTGTCAATGGTATATTGAATGATAGGAGTGGGTCGTGGAAAGAATTTGGGCACATGACAGTAATGTTCATATTCCACATGATTTATCTCTATGTGCATAGTATTGTACAATTGATTAGAATTGTTACCTTAAATGCAGCCCTGAATAGTTCTAATTACACTCTTCTTACAATGATTATCTCGACAAACTTTGTAGAATTGAAGGGTAGTGTATTCAAGAGATTTACAAAGGAGAATCTTTTCCAACTAGCTAGTAGTGATGTAGTGGAAAGATTTGAGATTTTTTGGTTTACTATTTTGATCTTTGTACAAAACACATTGAGAACAATTGTGGATTCAACCTCTGGGCCTGTTGAAGGAGTTGACTTGAATGACTTTGAAACTATGACAAACCTGGAAGGCTCTAGCTCACTATTTTCCTTCCTCGACGACAAGTTGGAAGAGTTTGGTCATATTTTCATATTCATGATTTGTGCTGAGATTTTAGTAGATACTCTCAAGCATACCTTTGTCTCCAAGTTTAACAGCATTCATCCATCAACATTTAGAATGTACACTCTCAAGTTATGTGACGACTTGATATCTCATTCTGATTCAGCAAAAAAGAGTGAGACAACTTCAGTGGTTGTCTCATCCTTCTTTCACAATACAAATAGAAGTAAGGTTGCAAGAAGATTGGGATTTTTGGAAGGCCCACTCATCACTCACACCCTTCGAATGATTATGGAAGTAATGCTACCATGGCTATTTCACTTTGTGGCTGTTCTTGGATATAGTAATAATTGGGATTCATTGGAGACATTAATTGCCATTCCTTCTCTTTCCAAAGTAATTTATCCAATTATCATAACATTGCTTGGATTTTTATGCTTATTCCTTCTCAAATTATTGATATCAATCACAATCATTGGTCATGCAGCTAAAAATTTGTGTGCTTACAAGCAAGATCCAAATAATGTAATTCCAAACTTCCCCGATCGTTACATGATGTTTGATAAAAGAATTCCCTAATTCTATATGTTCATAAATATATAAAGGTATTTTACAATATAGTCCTACCTTTATCTTGTTTATTGGCACATTGTGTCTTGTTGAATTCTTGTACAACTTTGCTATTTCAACATCTTAATATTTTTAGGAAGACTGCCATGAAAAACAAAACTATCCGAAAAGGATCCATAAGCCACGTTTTGTGACGTCATACCTCCTTCTCTCTCCGATCCTCAAGGAAACATGGTAAGTGAACAGCCCTCTGAGTGTAATCACACCTACTTTGTTGAAGAATATTCTACCTGATCGTTCTTTCCCAAAGAATTTCACAATTTTCCTTCTCTCTATTAATTCTGTTCAACTATGCGTGTTAAAAAAAATACTTGAACCAAGCCTTCTTCACATCTAACAACAACAACAACATGAAGATTATTGACAAGATCAATCAGTGCATTGAAGAAAACAAGACCTTTTATTCATTCGAATATTTCCCACCTAAAACTGATGCAGGCGTTGAAAATTTATATCAACGTTTGCAACGTATGGCCAAACTTGCTCCAATGTTTATTGATATTACTTGGGGAGCTGGTGGTAGTACTGCTGGTAAAACAATTGAAATCGGAGCAACTGCTCAAAATATGATTGGTGTTGAAACTCAAATTCACATGACTTGTACTAATATGAAGGTTGAAGAATTGGACAAGGCTATTCAAACTGCAAAGGATATGGGTATTTCTAATATTTTGGCTTTGAGAGGAGGTTTGTTTTATTATTATTTATATGTGTGTTAATGATAATTTATTATTGTTGCTTGTTAATAACTAAATGTGTGTCACCAATTCCATTCTTCATCATCATTGTCATCATTGTTATCATTACAAACCAATGCTACACTAATAATAATAATAATACTATGATGATCTTTTTTAATAATTTAATAACACACTAATTTAATAATAACAATATTAACAATACCATGATATATATTATTATATAACAATATAGATCCACCTCTTGGAAGTGAAGATTGGGAACAAACTGATGGTGGTTTCAAGTATGCTAGAGATTTAATTTCACACATTAGAAAGACTCATGGTGATTACTTTGGTATTTCTTGTGCTGGATACAGTGAAGGTCACCCAGAGGGAGATTATCAAAAGGATTTAATGTACTTGAAGGAAAAGTATGATGCTGGAGCAGATTTTGTTGTTACTCAATTGTTCTACGATTGGCAACAATTCTTAAAGTTTGTTAAGGAAGCTAGAGAAATCGGAATTAAATGTCCAATTATTCCAGGTATTATGCCAATTAACAATCATGCATCTTGGCAAAGAATGACCACTTTCTGTAAAACAAGTATTCCACAAAATGTTCATGATGAAATGGCTAAACTTAATTTGGAAGATGATAATGAAGTTAAGGCCTATGGTATCAAATTATGTATCACTATTTGTAGAGCATTGATGGATAATGGTATTCGTGGACTCCATTTCTATACTCTCAATTTGGAAAAGAGTACTGAAGCTATTCTTGAAGGATTGGAACTCTCACCAAAGGAAAGTATTCCAAGATCATTACCTTGGGTTAAACCTGCTAATGCTAAACGTTTGGCTGAAGAAGTTCGTCCAATCTTTTGGTCTAATCGTGTTAAATCATACATTGATCGTACTCAACATTGGGATGAATTCCCTAATGGACGTTGGAGTGATTCTAGATCACCTGCATTTGGTGAATTGGGTGAAGAAATTGCCTATTTCTATAGAAGAAAGTTTGGTGAAAAGGAAAATATTGTTGCTGCTTGGGGTGCTGAACATGCTAATTTGGAATCAATTTCACAAGTTTTTGTTAACTTTATTGAAGGAAAGATTCCATTCCTTCCATGGAATGAACAATCTACCTCTCCAGAAACCAATATTATTAAGAATGAATTGATTGAACTCAATAAGAATGGTTTCTTGACTACCAATTCTCAACCAAAGGTTAATGGTGTTTCATCATCTGATGATTCTGTTGGTTGGGGACCATTGAATGGATTTATCTATCAAAAGGCCTACGTTGAATGTTTCATTTCACCACAACATCTTGAAACTCTTGAAAATATTATCAAGGAAAAGTATCCAATGGTTACTTATCAAGCTCTCACAAAGGATGGAAGAGTCAAGACCAATATTCAAGGTGATAATTATGTGAATGCTGTCACTTGGGGTGTTTTCCCAGCTCAACAAATTCTTCAACCAACTGTTGTTGATAGTAATGCTTTCTTAGTTTGGAAGGATGAAGCTTTCCAAATTTTGGATACTCACTGGTTGTCTTTATATGAAGAAGGATCTCAAGCTCATACTCTCTTAAAGACAATTTCTGACGAATGGTACTTGATCAATGTTGTTGATAACGACTATATTAATGGTGATATTTTCAAATTATTCAGGGAAGTTTCTCAACAAAAGCAATAAATTATTTCGATCAATTTTTCTAATTTTGATCTATTTTACTTTTTTGGAAATATTGTTGATTGGATGGTATGTTTCAGTGTCATTTCTTTTAATGGATGAACAAGTCAATAATAGTCCCATTGATGATGCTACAGACCACGAGTTACTGCTGCAAGTTATTATTACATGTTGTTGAAAGATTTTCCAATTCAGATATATTCAAAAGAAAAAATGTCTTCAATACTTGCTGAGGAAGAAATCATTCTCATTGAATCTGGTGATGAACAGGAAGAGACTTCATCTTCAAATTCAGCCTACTCCTCTGAAGAAGAAGAAGAGGATGATCAACAGCTGCAGAACAATTCAGGCAAACAATTGACTCGTAAAACTCTTCCAATGGAAAGTTCTCCAACTGTTCATGATACATCTCAATTTGAGAAGGAATTGAAATCAAAGAAGAATAACTTTCTCTCTCGATATATTCATAAAGCTAATAGTTCAACTGATGTGGTTAGTGGTGCTGGTGGTGCAACAACTTTTCAAAAGAAAAAGAATAAGAAACAAGGTAACAAGTCAACTGCAACACTAGAAACTAAAACGAGTAGAGACAGTGTTCAATTGACTAAATTCAAGATTGATGATGAGGATATTATTGATTTTGGTAAACCATTGACAAGTAATACTACATCTGCCAATATTAACATTCAATCAAAGAATAATGTCGAAGATGAAAGTGAAGATGAGCAAGAACAAGATGGAGAAGATCTTAGAAGACATGCAATTAGTTCTAGAGATGATGATTTGATTAAACTGGAAGATGTTTATCAAGATTCGAATGTTCAACAGCCTCCACCACCTCCAATGCTGGTTTCTAATAGTAATCCTACGAACGAAAGTGAAGTGAAAATTGAAGAAACAGCCACAACTCATGAAGAGCCAATCAAGTTGGAAATTAAGAAGGAATTGAGTTTCTACCAGAAATGGTTTGGTTTCTATAAGAATGATGAGGGAGAAACCAAAACTGAACCAGAAGAATCTCCTCGACCATCTTCTGCTATTGTAGAAGTCACCAAAACAGCTGAACAATATCCAGTTTACAAAATCGCCATTCTAGGTGAAGATTTATCAGATTCTCTCATTGCAGCTGAATTCTTGCAAGAAGAAGTCAAAAGGTCAACCAACTCTGACGAAACCGTTATGAAGAAACAATTCGATTTTGGTGGAAAACCCTACCAATTAGAACTCTTCTTTTATGACATCTATGAGCAATTTGTCAACATGATGGATCAATGTCTCAAAGAATGTGATGGTTTTCTCATAGTTTACAATGTTGCAAGTCGTAGAAGTTTCCAACAAGTTGACATTCTATACGAAAAGCTTTATAGAGCTAAAGAGGGAGGTACCATTTCAATGGTTCTTGTTGGAATTGAGTATAGTAATAAGAGTAATGCTGGTTCACCACCTTCCACAACAAGTCTCCTATTACAACAACAACAGAATTCAACCACAACACCAATCACTAATCAACCATCTCCATTGACAGCTACAAGTTTAATGAATCTCAAGAGTTCAACAAGTACAAGTGGTCAATTGATGCAAGACAATGCCGATCTATCCGATTCCTCAAGAAAAGCCTCAATTGTTTCACTTTCCAGTGCCACCAAATACTGGAATAATAACAATAATTCAACAACCATCCTATCAAACACAACCAACAACAAACATCACTCAACCTCACTTCGATCCAATTCCTCATCCTCCTCCATCTTTGTAACTTCTCAAAATGGTAAAGAAAGACAAGTTTCCAAACGTGAAGGATTAAAAAAATCACTCTACTATTACGTTCCATTCATTGAAATGAATAGTGATGAACCAAAAAGTTTAATTCAACAAAAAGTTAAGGAAATTTTTCATGACTTGTTGAGAGAAATTGTTCAAGGAGGTAATTTGAGGTATAGTGCAGTGAAACCACAACAATTGACTAATGCACAATATTTGACAGGTCAATTGGGGAGTAGTTGGAGTGGATCTGAGAAGAGTGGTGAGCAAGCAGTCATAATTGAAAATTACATTCCACCAAATCAAGATTCGTATAATATTGTGATGAATTCTGTCAAGGCACTTTTTACTAATTTGAATGTTCATGGTTATTGTTTGAATACACCAATTAATGATGAAAGGGAACTTGCACAAGTTGAATTCCTAGTCGATCATTTTGAATCTTATCAAGTCACTTGTCCAGTTATTGAAATTTGTTTGAAAAGATTTGATTTTAGAAATGTCAAACTCAAACTCAAACAAAAAGTAACTCCACACAATGAACAACAAATTCTCTCCTTCCTATTTGACATTCCACTCAAAAAGAAGAATATTCTCCAAATGATGTTTACAAAAAGTGATGAAAATTATCAGAGGGAAATTAATGAGAGATTGATTTTTGCAATTTTCATTGCTACATTTGCTAAACAATTATATTCTGAACAGAATCAACAGTTATATGATGGAACTTTTATGGTTTCTTTGGAGGATGAATGGAATTTCATTTTAAATTTGAAGAATTTATTCGAAAGTGTGAAAAAGAAAGTGAAAGAATATGCAAGTTTGGAAGAATTGGTTGAAGATCAAGTAATTAGAATGGTAGATTGGATGGAGAAGAAGATTCATCTCAAGAGAGGAAATGAAGTTGAAATGTTAATGAAATTCCTTCTCCAACATGTCACTTCCCCAATTGACTGTTATGGTTTTGAGAGAAGAATTAGACCTCATGTACTTGGTAATAGATATCTAATTCTGAAGAGAATTTTCTCCAATCACCACTCTAAAATTTACAAATCTGTCAAAGTCAAGACAAGCTCACTCTGTGCTTTGAAACATTTGACAAATTTCACAAAATCAGATTTAACAGAAGTTGGTAAAGGTGTCGAGTCCATGATACTATTTCCAAAACATCCAAATGTCATGACATTCTCTGATTATACCATTAGAAGATGTAGATCTGAACGATTTGAAATTTTCATTGAACTTCCCTATATGAATGGTTCCAATTTGGAGAAGAGAGTTGAATTTATGATTAGAAATCATCGATTCATGAATTATTTAGAGTTGATTGATGTTTGTTTGCAGTCAACGAAAGGTCTTTCACATTTGCATCAGAATTCGATTGTTTTTCCTTCATTGAAATTGGAAAAGATTTTGATGAATTATAATGAAGAGAAAGATTCAAGTTTTAGATCGACTCAGTCGTGTGTAACACCTGCTGGTAGTGATTTTAAGGCTGATTTGTTATTGTTTGATAATAGTGTTTCGAATAGTTTGTCAGAAGCAAAGCAACAAGAATTGAAATCAGTAATTATTAAGGCATTTGATGAGAATGATACATTATTGGGTGATCAACACAAGTCAAATCTCAATGTGAAACTCACTGATTGGTTTAAACCTTGGGATTTTTCAATCCTTGATGGAACTGTCCAATTTAAAAACAGACAAGTGATGGAACAATATCACAACAAGCAACACTCAAATGAATGGTCTACTATTAGATCTACAACACCAACATCAACCACTTCAAGTACTAATCATTCTACTTTAAGAAAACAAATGGTATTGCGTGAAATAATGTCATCCAATGTCAATAATCAAGAAAAGTTAAATTTTGATGGTGATATTGAAAGATATTTGGATGAGAAGGATGATATTTTCAGATTGGGATGTGTTTTTTATCAACTCATTACAAAGGAATCATTTATTAGGTTGTCTAATTTGCATCAACATGGTGAAAGTTCAGATAATTCAACAGTTTCGTCTCCAACCTCAACTACAACTGTAATAATTAAGAAGGAAGTTGACCATCAAGAATTGCTGAATGGTACTGGACAAACAGATGGTATTGCATCTTCTTCTAATACTACTGTTGGAAATAATTTAGAAAGTGCAACTATTCAAACCAATGCAACAAATTTCGAATATGTTTCGATTGAGGAAGCAATCTCAAGAGATGAAAAACTCACTCATCAAATCATGGCTTCCAAAATTCACATGAGTTTATTGAAGAGTGAAGCTATTCCTCACTTAATCTCTCCAAGACTTCATAATCCTTCCAACAATTCTTCCATTAATCACCATTCGGATGGTTTCGTCAAAATTTCAAGCTCTGAAACAAGTTCTCCAATGTCTGCTTCCTCTCTCTTGGCTTCTCCTCCAAGCTCTGAAAGAATCAACCCTTCCTCCTCAACTCCATTCAATGCATCCAATGAAACTTCCTTAAATACTACACCAAATATGGAAAAGTTAAAAAAATCCTTTTACTACTGTTCACATCAAAATGAACAACTCTTAATTGGTCTCCTCCAACAAATGACAAGACTGAATCCTAACCAAAGACCTTCCCTAAAAAAGATTATTCTCATTTTAGAAGTCTTGTTGAAATATAACCAAATTGACCAAGACATTTGTGAAACTCTCCTATCCAAATAATAATAAATAATATCTATGATGAATAACAGTTTTATGGACGTTTCGTTACAAAGCAGAAAAGGAAGGCCTAAAACACACTATTAAAAGAACCATTTGCAGAGATACTGTATTTCAAATAACTGTAATAAATAAAATTGTGCAGTAGTTGTCTTGTAACAAATCGTGTTT